GCTTGTTAACGACACGAACGTTATGAAGGCCCAAATACTAGCTTACTGACCAAGCAATAATTTTAACTTAACCCCTGTACGCAGTCCAGGGTTAAAGTACAGTAACTCGGAGAGTATACCTCTGTGTATACTCTTGTGTGTATACCCCTCGGCAAGATACTCTTTGCCATTTGACAAACTGGCCCCAGTTAATCGCCAATAAAAAACCACTTACCAGTATAACCAAGTTTCACATGAATTATCCAATACACAATGAAAATTATACATAATGTAGAAATTTCTTTCCTAATTTGTAAAGATCCTCATTTGGACACGCTTCTTAATCGAATTATATATATATATATATATATATATATATATATATATATATATATATATATATATACACCTAAACATTCTGCATTTTCACATTCCTGTAAATCATCTTGCAATCAGTCTTTTGAGGAATATTTACCCACGGATGAATTTTCAATTTGTGTTTATCAATTTTTATCACTATACAGTGCTGTCTTCCTGGCTTGGCGCTTTTTGATAAATACTTGTTTACTTGTACTCCTGGAACTTATTTAGAACACAGAGATCTTTTGTAATGTTCAATACCTTAAGCACCGCATCTATGAACATGTATATATACAGTATACAAGAGCATCTCTTACCGTAAATGTGCGCACTTTAGTAAAAAAGTGATGTTTAAGCTGTCATCCTTTCACTTACAGCGTCTTGACTATACTGACTTCCAGTTCTTTTAAACAAAGCCTTAACATCTAGCAATCGATTCATGGTGTTGAAATGAGACCCCGAGTTGTACAACCCAAGAGACTTTGAGTCAGTTGTTTGCACATTATTTTCCGCCCATCGTCAATATAACAACCTGTCCCAGCCCGTCCTCATAAACAAAGTCTAAATGCTTGACAATCCAGCCGCCAAACCCCGCTGTTTATAAATGAAAAATGGTTTTCACACGACTCACAAATAATCACGTTCGATCATTATTTGAACAGTGCTTCGTTGACGACCTCTGTTCGAACCACAACGCTGTAAATGCTTCACCCTCGTACTACAAATAATCGCCAACAGAACCTAAATACCTAACCTGACCTATGCCGATCTATACACAATATGCTAATATACTATATTATTAATTTATATTTGAGAAAATTCCTTGTTTGAATGAATAGCACGTAAACAAATATGAATGCGTCTGTGGGGTCGACCGCTGGATGTAATAGACTTGAGTCGAGGACGGGTTGGTTTAAGAGAAGGATATATAAGAGAAGAATCATCAGTTGTGAGGCGTGTGGTTTGGTGGCTAGATTAACGAGCATTTAGTGTTTGTTGATAAGGACGGGCAGTTTGCTGATATTGTAAACTTTAATCCTTAATTACAGATAAATACTGCTGTTTCTAAATATCATAAATTGATTGTATGTCATATTCCTAAATCTCATTTACAATTTCAAAATTAGTAATTATATTCACAACGGCATTTTATAAATTTACCTGAGAGCCACTAACACTAGTGGCCTCGATGAGGACAGGAAGCCGGCGGCTTGTCGAGGGTCCCCCCCCCCATTTGCCTTGATGACCTTTTCCAGTTGTACTTTAAAAGTTAACAGAGTTTGGCCATTTACTGCTTCGGCGGGTAGGCGTTTCCAAAGGTTTATAACACTGTGGGTGAAAAAGCATCTGTTCTCAGTCTTACAATGTGACTTGTCGAACTTGAAGCCGTTCCTCCTTGTTTTTGTTACATCTGACCTTTTGAAGAAATTTTCTGGATCAACATTCTCCAAATTGTTCAGTATTTAAGTTTCAATGAGATCCGCCCTGTCATGCCTGCTTTGGCAGTGTTGTTAACCCTGTGATCCTCGACCGTTCCTGATACGAGAGTTGACTTAGTCCTGGAATTATTTTTGTTGCGGGGTGTTGCACCTTCTCCTGCGTGTGAAGCCTTATCAAAGGCTTCAGCAAACTCCATGTATACCTCATCAACCGGAAGTACTTTGTCAGTCTCTTGTATATTTTCATATCTTTCAACAATATCATCTATTACAGTATATCTTTCAACAATATCATCTACTACAATATATCTTTCAACAATATCATCTACTATATATTTCAACAATATCATCTACTATATATTTCAACAATATCATCTACTATATATTTCAACAATTCATCATGTTACCATATCTCATTTAATTTTAAGTATTGCCCTTTAATACACGTTCAGTGGTTCCTATTCTTTTTTACTCTCCTTAAAAACTGTACTGTATATCATTTGCTTCATTTGTTTAACAATATATGTTAATTTCTTGTTTGGTCTTGTCTCCCTAATCAAAACTTTAACCTAACTTTATTATTTTAAATTATGCCCGAAACGCTTTGCATGATAGTGGGCTTATTAAATGTACTGTACATAAAATTAAAAATGTTAAAGGTGGGCTTATTAAAGCTTAAATCATTAAACCCTTGAATAATATCCTTATGAACATTTGTTAAATAAATAAATTATTATACACTTACATTTTATTATATTCAATGCTGTTTTTTTCAGATATGCATTGACTAATTCATTACCAACGTTATCTGGCTACGTGTATTCTTAGTGGTACTGTATGCTGTTTGAATTACATGGTATAACTACAGCATTTCCCTGGGAAAGTCTTCCTGTATTATAGTATGGAATATCTAATGAAATTTTACCTTATCAAATTTCAAAGCTTCACTAAGGAACTACTGCACTTTGGATATTCTACTTTATTAAGGGAAATTTTTTAACATTACCCACTGAGCAAATGGGTAATGCACAATGCTCTTAAAAAATAAAATCATGCCAGGAACATTAATATGTCTATTTGACATAGAACTGTCATACGCTAAGGTTTGCTGTTTACACTATTTTAAATACTCAATTCCTTGGGTTTACGAGATATCTTGTCAAGGGTTTTGTATGCTAACTGAACCATAGAAAATTTCAAATAAGAATTCAAAGTGCCTATATACCACAGAACAGATCTAGCAGAAAAAAAAAAAAAGGTTCCATAGGGCAGTGTACTAAACACATGCTTTACTTTGGCCTTATGTGACATCACTTGTATATTTCTGACAGGCGTGTATAGTATTTACTTTGCAAAAGGATGATTTTCTACCATTTACAGAGGAGAGACTGCTGTAGTCACAACAGACTTTACAGAATGCTGTAAATAAAGGTACTACAGTACTTGTAAAGACACATCTTGAAATATTTGGTCAGCAACATCTGTGCCATTACATTTAGGAAGAGAAATAAAGTAGAGGAGCGTATCTTATACTGTAACTGTAAGGGTTACAGATAAAGTGCCGGAAAGAAAGACAATTTCTGGGTCTCATATTTGATACCAAACTGACTCTGAAACTGCATATATAAAATTTTAAAAACCCTAATGAAGGATCTTAATCTTTTTAAGATGCTATCACATACAGAATGGGCTGCAGATTAGAAATTCTTCTCCAACTACACAATACTCTCATAGTACTGAAACTGGCTTATGGGTACCACATGTACTCTGCTGTGATTAATACCCTGTAAGACTATCCGACCCAATACATCACTTGGATCCAAGGCCTTATATGAGAGTATTTAAATCTACATCTTTTAACAGCCAGGTATACTGTCATTACATAAGGAAAATGCTCTAATTACATCACTTTTCTTCTGAGGTAGTTGAAATCCAGTATTGGCCATTTCAAACAGGCCAAGTTTTGCTGGGTTCCCAGTCATATTGGTACTTATTTACTTATAAATGATACCTATTTACTGTATAAATGAGCATGCAGACACTGCCGCTAAGGAGGTTATCCACAATTGCTACATAATCTCCCCAGCTTGGTGCCTTCTTCTAATAATTACAGTATTTACCTCATTCAGCTTCATTGTTTACAAAAAACCACCATACGAGCAGCTACCTTCATTGCTTTAATAACCATACAAATAAAATAGTATAGAGATCACAATATGTTTTGGATCATTCACTCTAGAAATTTACACACGACAGCTTGCTAAGGGAACTGGCTTATAGTCCACTAGGGGTCAGATTCTGATTTACCTATTAAGACGGGTATAAGACTGACCATTACTTAGTCTGGAGGGAAGTAATTATCAAAAAAGTTGACAAACCCATAATATTATACAGTATCGTTAGTCACAATATTATAATATTTCAAAGCTATCATTCAGGATGCCAATACAAGAGCAAAAACACACAAGATGAGCAATGTCAAAAGGACTACTTCCCCAAGGATTTTAATGGATCTCATGACATGAAGGAAGAGTGGGAAAGCAAATTGGGCAAAATTCTCCATTCAGAAAATCAGGATAGTCTATGTGGAAGTGCAAGACTCTCCGCGGAACGATGTACTAACAGCATGATGCAAGTCTCTGTTCCAGTAAGTGCCATGAGTGAATCAAGTGTGGGCAATTTGGAACCTAGCCAAGACAGTGTCATGTTATTAGTACAAGATGATCAGCATTGTTAGCTTTGTAACCTCTAATGTTCTATTGTAGAATGACATTCTGCATATTTTGAGTTGACAGTCATGAAATGTTGATTAAGCTCTGCCTATTGCACCACAGCAGCCATGCCATGTCATGTTTCAAAGCCTTACTATTAAATTTTTTTTTTACATATGCATGCTAAAACTTTTGCACAATTTTGCACCAAAGTCCTACAAGAAGGGCTTTATGAGCCACATTCAACTGCCCACTTGCCTGTCACCAGAAGAGGAGACTTCTCAAGGAATACATTGCACTCTCTGGCCCTATTCTAGCCCCTCCTAGACACAGCATAGCAGTACCCATGTCATAGGGAGTAGAAGAACTCCCAGAACCCCATCAACCAGGTATCAAGCAGTCATAAGTTACAATTTTGAAGAACAACACACACAATATATATAATACAATTTATATCTTGGCATTAATATTAAGTCACCCATAACAAGAAACTGAAAAATGAAACAAATTATGATTGATATATTCATTTTATGCTTAAGTGTGGATGGTTAAATTTACTCTATTAAGAGTGTATTCCTGAAAATTCAGCCTACAAGACTGAAACTACACTATTTTTCTGCATAAAATTTTACATAGGGTAAATTTTACTTTACTTTTCATTAACAACTTAAATGAAAAAATATTCAAATTATAGTACCTGTACTATATGATAACTTTTCTCAAGCTTATGTATGCTAGCCTAACCAATTTTAACAATTTTAATTAGAGTAAATGGAATTTTAATCTAGTCCTGAATTATGAGTATTCAAGATTATATTATACACAATAGGAATTTTTTAAAAGAGTTCAAAGATACACATACAGCACAATGTCATCATAATAAATCCAAAATTATGCAATGTGTACAGCAACACCATTAGGATCTTAATATGCTTGTTTAATAATAACATAAAATGGAGTATATTTGCTGACCATTCTCTTGAAGATCAAGAGCTTAAAATTTCATACCAGCCTCGAAGAACCGAAAGTAATTTTTTAAACTGTAAATATGCGACCGATACAGATAGTAAAAAGCACCAAAACACACAGTTTTGATAAAAGAGCAAACAAACTACAGGTTTTTGCACAAGAAGTATCAAGTTATTTTTGTTCACAAGTGCACAGAACCTACCAGTAACATAACATACTCAAGCATAACCAGCCATTAAAATAAAATAAGGCATAGATACAATGCTGATAAACTAAATAAAGTAATTGCAGTGGCACAAAATTCGGTCATAAATGCTATACAGTTCAAGGCAAGAAAAGGATGCAAATCAAGAAATTACCCATCCATCTACTGTCCTGGACCACTGAACAGTATATAGGGTCATCCATCTATCTTGAGCATCAGCTCACCCACTGGAACATGTCTTACAGATCCTATAATACACAAATTTTGTAATTTAGTTATAACAATTTTATCTTAATCTTTTACTATATTACATAGTTAACTATACAATGCTTACAAATAAAATCTGCAATATATTATAACTACTTTCAGGCAGATATTTATTCAATAATGTATTGCAATAACATACATTAATTAAAATTTTGTTTTGGTAGCCCATGGATACCATGAAAATTTTGTTCTACTATTTTCTCAGGTAGTATTTGCACAGTTCCAGGTAAACATTTGATATTTCTTGACCCTTATTCCATTTACCTGGACTATGTGGGTCTCGGACCGTGGACCCCACGCATGTGTGAGGCCGGTGCTACTGCTAGTTGATAGCACTATCAACTGCTAGTTGATAGTGTTCGATAGTGAAATAAACAACTGTTTATTTCCACAGATGTGTGTGGATGGTAATTTATTTAACCCTTATTATTTCCCATTCCTCTACATATTATTTTCATTAAATCATCGTTTTTTATTGACCGCATTTACTAACCAAATTTTTTGTTTCATAATCTTATTTGTTAATGAAAAAAATAAAGAGAATGAATGCTGCTTTTTGTTTACAAAATAAAGGTACACATACTACAGTTGAAATTTTGTCAATTATGTGTTTGAAAATAAGAGCCAAGATGTTGGAAAAAATTCGGTATGAATGTAAAATGTGGCATTGTGTAGTGTAGCCAGAGAACTGTATGTAGTTGCTGCACCTTATTACTACACATTCCTTTATTATTATTAATATAATGTACTTTACATTCATTTGCAAAACACATCAACAAGAAGCTAATATTTACAAGCAGTTTCAAGTACAATATAGTAACTTAATTTGAGGAGATATGAATGCACATCCAATAAAAAACATACTTTAAATTTTGTGTAAATTCATTAACAATTTGTCATACAGTTGTACTGAGTTTACTGTAGTCTCTCTAATTCCATTTTATCTTCACTTCAGAAGTTTGCATAACCTTGTTGGTTGTTAAATTCCTAGGGAGAGTAAAAAATTCTTAACATTAATGTAGTACAGAACATGAAAATGTAAATATTTTTTGGTAAAAGCCAGCAGTTTTAAATACACACCTTTCATGGTTGCACAGCAATTGATGTTTCAGGCAAAAATAATTAATAGCAACCATTTTAAACGTATTTAAAAAGACGAGATTGTTCCTAACTTTACATAGGCAGTAGTGCATCTGAAACTTCCATTCCTTAGAATGTATCTTGAACGTCCAGTAACTTTTTTTTTTACAAGAAAAAAAATTCACACTGATAACTGTGCATGAAATAATAAAAAGCAAGTATTTAACCAACACTGATCTCTTTTTCACCAGAGTAATCCACAGTAAACTCCACTATGATGCATAATGCATCATACACTGCCTTAATTGTCCCTTTAAGTATTTTAAGATAATAAACTCAAAAGAGTATTAGAGCATTTGAACACCATCAATATTAACCAACTTAGAAAGTTCGCTCTTGCCAGAATCATTCTTTTCCTCTGCATTTCCCCATTCCCCTAAATCACCAGCCATGACATCCTTCCATCTGTTGGCTTCTGCTGCTTCTCTCTGAAACATTATACAAGTAGGAAGTAGCTTCTCAACCAGAAATATAATTGATTCTTTTATATACTGTACCAGAATATTCACAAGAAAAAAAAAGAATGATGATGAAGTTAATGTCATGAAAACTGTCATTTGGTATCGTTTGTATCCGAGATAATATCCTATAAATGAATTAATATTATAGTAATCTCACTTAATAGTTCTTAATAGTCCCTCATTTCATCTGAATAATAAAAGAAACCAAAGGAAATCCAATTCCTCTAAATTAATGCCAGCAATCAACAAGACTTGTCAGTACTCTGGAAAAGGGGACATGTCATTGGCAAATATATAAAACAGGTTGTACAGTACAGCATGTGGATAAATAGGGTAATGTCAAGTTTAACTGCTTGGAGAATAATATTTAGATTAATATGTACTAATATGTAAATAATATGACAAAGATTCATGGTTATTCGAGTACATGCTTACAGTTGATACATAACATCATCATATAATATTGTTGTGCAGACAAGTTCAGTTCCATGTCATATATATAATTAACTTGAATGGATGATGGCAGCAACCTTCTATCTTTCTACTATACTTCTACTCTTATACTTTCCTTAATATCATTCTCTCTATCATCATTCTAAAACTTTTTTCTCCTGTCCACTCTTCCTCACACCTCCCTTCTATCTCTCTACCTCCCTCACTCACCGAGTTTTTAATTTTTTTGCCATTCTTTTATTTGATACATTACAACTTCTTGGCACTACTGTTTTCTTAATTTTAATCTATTTTGCAGATTAATTTTTTGGTTAATTTTACAGAGTAGAAGTCTGTCTCAATTTTGTGTGTATGAGATCTTTACTTATTTTCTTGTTTCCAAGTTTGGTCTATTTAATGTCTCCAGCCTCTCCTCGCAGCTCTTGTTGTTTATGTCCAGAAGCCATTTAGACGCATCTTTGCGCATTCTCTAATTTATCCTTATGTTTAAGGGGGCATTAGGGTGGTGTTGGAAAAGTTGTTCAATGTCAACCAATATTATTTGACTAGTTGTACAGTATATGAAAAGTGCTGAAATTGTCCCAAGTTTCAGTACTGCAGCGTAAAAAGAAAGGGAGATTTTTTTTTTTCAACGGTTTTTACACATTTTCAAGTCCACACTTCAGAACACACGTTTCAGATATAATTATTCTGTGACCATTTTCTGACACATTAGCATATAATAAAGGATTGTGTGTTTTAGAATTTCCAAAACATCTTTAGTTTTCCTAATACAAATGTTCAAAGTTCCCCCAAAAAATTATGCAAATATGGCATGTTTATTGCTATTATAAAATCAATAAATGAACTTAGAGAAAAATGAAAACAAGCACATGTAGAGACATGCCCTCCACATATACTGTGTAAGGTTCATGTAAATTGAATAAAAAATGAATCAGTTTTGTAAACGTTTGTGTCAAGTGAAAAAAAATAAAAAGAATAAAAGTCTAAGGTTCTAAAATCTGTGGCTGAGGTTGACATCAACCAATTTTCTCCAAAATTGGCATCCTTACAGATAGGCTTATGTACAGTCAGGTGTGTAAGTTTGATGCAAATTGCCCCCCCCCCCCCCAAAAAAAAAAAAATTCTTAAATTTTTTTCCAATTAAACTAATTATAATATTTGTTTAATATATGCTATTGTGATAGCAAAGAGTCATAGCTATGATTTCAGTTGACACTTTTGATTGATAATCGATTTTGACCATTTTGGCATAATTTTCACAACTACTTCAATATTTTTTTCTCCCTTCCTATTTATGCTACGAAGCTGAAACTTGGACCAGATGAAACACTTTTCATATAGAACTTGTCAAAAAAGTTTGATTGAAATTGAACAAGTTTTCATTTTTGCATTTTTTGGACCAAGATGCCCCCTTAAGATATGCAAGTTTATTAAGATAATTATCTAAATTGATTAAGATTAAGATGTTAAGTACCATATGACTGCTGCATATTCTAAGTTTGGGTTCATACCATGAATCTTTTAAGCATTTTTCTATCCATTGCAGAAATCTGGCTATTTATTTTTACATTGTAATAAAAAGCTAGAGATAAAAGAAATACAGTATATTAATGTAAGGAAAATATAAGCTAGAGTACTAGCATATAAAGCAGAAAATCAATGCTGGTTTTTGTGAGCCAATATTTTTTTCAAATTCACCCAAATTTGGGACGGGAAACTACATTTATTGTATTCACAAGTCCTCACATTCAACAGAGCCCGTCTCCATGGAGTGTGACTACAATGTCGGACAGTTCGTTCCCCACATAATAGCCATTTACACCTGGTGCACTAATGACCTCTCTCAACATTAACGTTTTTTTCAGCATATTTCTTTTAAAAGTTGTGGATGGAATTAGCTTCAACACCCTCTTCCTTTAGTGCATTCTACAGTACAAAGAAATTTAAGGAACAATAAAAAGTTGGCTGACCATCTGACAAACCAACTGGGTTTTATTTTTTTGGCAAATAGTACAGTAATGCAATTGTTATGAAGTAAGTAATTATCAATAGAAGGCACCAATCTGGGAAGGCTATGTAGCACCATCAAATGTGCGGGATAATCAGAGGGCGCTAAATATCAATTGTTATGACAAGGATGCCTGTTAAACCTGTTTAAGTACTCCCCTCCCCTAGCCATGGGTAAGACTATCCATACAGACATCCTTCAAGTGCTGGCTAGAGCCAACTATGTCATGGTATTAAGTGCTCAAGTGAGGTTAGGTTTGGTGTGGTAAGGTAAGGTTTTGTACAAGTATGGGCAGTGGATTATTAATTTCCTAATTTTCTATGAAACAAGATTGGTAGACTGATCAAGCTGATATATATCCACCATGGTGCTTGTATATTAAAATAAATGAAATTTGACACAAAGTGTACTTACATCCTTGTCTTGCCTGGCAAACTTATCAAACATACCACCATAGATTTTCTTCTCTTTCACCTTATCAGCCTTGATTTGTGCAGCACACCGTTGCAACTGTTGCTTTGCAGCTTTGTTTGTTTGATCTATGTCAAGGCAAACTTGGAAATCCATTTGAGCTAGTTCTGCTTCACCCATGTTCAGGTTGGCCTGAAAAGTTTTTCAACAAATTCCAATTTACAAATTTATTATTATTTAGTAAAATATACTATTTCATATCTCATTTTGTGACTTGGTATATAAAAACTAAACATTAAACAAATTGTATTTAAATGTCCTTTACTGCCGGGCTCTTGCTAGTTTCTAGTAGCTTGCACTGTGGTAAAGCCAAGCCTTGAGAAATGCACCACCCCTGAGAGACCTACACTGATCTATACAAAGCCAGGACCAGAAACTGGCTCTAAAAGATGAGGGAAACTTGGGGATCAGAAATCAACCCCGTGTAAGAAAAACACAAGCCAGCCACCAGGGAAAATAACCCTGGCACAGAGTTGGATGGAATGGAACACTGTACACAGAACATGTAATGTGAGTATTACTAAACAAATCATGAAAAAATGGAATGGCTCGCTGTAGATTTAAATGGTCTCAGAATTGCCAATATCACTTAGCTGCAGGAAGAGCTACTCTTAGGATCCCAGCAAAGGGGAAGGGGGTGCACCCTCGACTACATCAGAGGAGAGCTGATGGGCTGTTTGGGACCCTGGGTGACCTGGGCTGCCACTTGGTGACAGTAGTTTGTTTCGTTTTGGTTGTCTTTCTGGTTCAATTTTTTTTTTTTGGGTGTAGGCTGGTTTCTGATCCCCAGCTACCCTTCCTACGGAGAGAGCCAGCGAGGGTCTCGGAGGCTTGGTTTACTTCTTAAGAAGTAGTGGCACCAGACTGTAAGCTACTAGGAGCTACTAAGGGTGCCTCACAGAAAGTAATTTGCTTATTCAGAGAACACTACTAACATTCATTGCAAAATTGTTGGCTTCTCAAGCACAGTACTGTGCATCATATTTAAGACTATCTAGAAATAATGACTAAGCATGCTTATAAACATTTGCAAATCACCAGAAATTCAGCATTTAGCCTGCAATAGTAGACTAATACAAGTGTTGACTGGGAGGGTCACGTATGCAGAAGGAATGAGAGCATTCACATGAAGTTTCGAAATGCTTAATGAGAGTCAATATATTTAACTGGACACAATTTGGTTTCAGAGGAACTTCAGACCCTTTATTTAAATTGCATTATGGTAATTTTTTAGGTCTCATTAAGCTGCTTGTGAAATATGATTTAATGAACAAATGCACTCAAATTTAAGTCAGGTCATGTTTAAAGAAACTCATATTCATCAAAAATGTTTTCAAAATAATATGATCAATTTGTTGGGAAATACTGTTTTGGGAAACTATATTAAACCATGTTAAAGTAGTCAAATATTACACCTTTCTGAGGCTGCCATCCAGAAGTAAGTAATGCAGAGCAGCATTTATTTACAACATCATTTCTATGAGAAAAACCACAGGAGCTGTGATGAAGATTCAAACCTATGTGCTGGGTATTCCCAGACACACGCTCTAGATGACTGGGCCACGGCATGGTCAAAAGAATTGCAACCTAGGTTTCTGCTAAACTCACAAGGATTCCCGAGGCTTCCACTGAAGCTGAATCAGGATTTCACACAATTCCCCCCATGCAGTGGCTCTGTCGTCCAGTAGTTCTACCTCTGACACCCCTCTTTCAATACACACAAATGACAGTAACATGATATATAGCAATGAGAAAATCCACTGGAGAATTTTCTGTGAAAACCTGTGGATTTTCTCATTTATATATCATGTTACTGAGTTAATAGACAGACATACTCTCATAGACATACTCTTTGGCACCCAATTATCAGCATACTCCTCTCATTCTATCCAGGTGCAAAATTTCTAAAATAGTGAAAGTTTGGAGTTACACGGCATCTCAAATTATCGTATCAGATTACCTCTGTGTATTGAACATGAGATGTATAAGATACATGTATTTCAGTGAATGTTATTTTGTTAGCAGTAAACCAGTTATAAATACAACGGGCAAAAGATTACCTGAAAGTATGCTTGATTTTCTAAGAGAGAACAGGTTAGACTTAAATAATTGCAAAGCTCACAGCTATGGTTGTGGTTCCAATGCGAAACGGAAGTTTCTGCACTGCCTCGGGTACAGAACACATAGGAAAATCCGCAGGCGTTTTATATACCGTGAGGATATCATTCCCTGAACTTGGTTATTGGTAAAATGCAAGAAGTTGCTTGAAATCCACCTCCCTGTCTCTCCTCCTAAGTTAGATATCATTACCATTAGAAATGATCCTTGTTACTGTGGGGGCACATGTCAACAAGAGCCAAGTGGAAATCTAGTTTCCTGGGTGTACCTAAGCCATGATTCAGAGAGTGACAAAGTCATAAAGACCCTTCTCAGAAATACTTCCATAAAATTTAGTCAACCCCATTTCTTCCTTTACTTCTCTCTGAAGAGCCTTTGGCTGTTTCTTCTCACAGACATACTCTTCTCATTCTATCCAGGTGCAAAAGTTCTAAAATAGTGAAAGTTTGGAGTTACACGGCATCTCAAATCATCTGGATTGCCATAGAGCTCCAAATCGTATGTTGCTCACAACAGAGCTGAGAAACGTTAGGGGTGTCAGTAGTATACTGTCGTATTGTGGTGTTGCATCATCCAGCACTCCGTATTACACTGTATTATGGGATGGAAGCCTACGGCCTTCTGCTTGTATAATCTGTAGCTGCATGTTTATATTGTAAGGAATCGGTCATCACAATTTTGTCAGATTGTTTCCAGTGAACTTAATGTATATTTAGAAATACAGTATCAGTGCAGTATAGTGATTTTGGCATATTTAAACATTATTTGGATTAATTACTAAAATTGAATATACAGTATCTGTAAATGAATTCTCGTGTCTTCAATTGCTTATTTAATTTCAATTAAATATGTCACTTATATGGGATTTAATGATAGGACTAAGGGCTGAGCCAGTCATATTTCCTTTCTTCCAAAATAACCATGACTAGAACTATAAGTCCACTTTAGACAAGAACTGGGACCAGGACAATCGGTTCTTTTTGAGGAATCGGTACCCATCTTAGCTCAAAATATTCTGGTGCTTTTCTTCCAGCTGTTCCACCACTATTTGCCACCATCCAGACTATCATATCCACTGCCATTCCATTTACAGTAGTGTCCTTGAAGGCTTTGTTCTATGTTCCATACCTTTTCTCTACATTACTGACCTCAGCAGTTCTGTTTAATGGCTTGGGTGTCATAGTAATACATACAGTACTTTTATTGTGGGAAAACTTACCTGACCTCTTCTAAAGTAAGCTTTGACATTCTTGTTATCCATCTCAAGAGCTTTAGTGGAATGTTCTCGTGCACGAGGGTTGTCGTTCAGTTTAAGATAAGCCATTGCAAGATTCAAATACCCAGCAAGCAAAAGCATATGACTTTCAGCCTTTTTTTCATCATCCAAACCTGAAATATGATAAAACCAGGCATTGAGAATTATAAAACTACCACTTTCATGTGGCACTTTGTTTGCTCCTTGAGCCAGGGAGAGGTTCCACCCACAGCACGCACGAAGCTCTCAATAGCCTATGCCTCACTGTGACGAGTAACTTTTCAAATGGGCTTGCTATCTAGTTGTGGAGGGAAGAAGAGGGAGATAAAAGTTCAGTCCACAACCAAGGAGATTAGGAATGACACTAAACACTTAAACCATAGCAAGGAGTCAATTATTCCTCTGTAAAGAACAACCTGGCATGCTAAACTGACTGCCACCATATGCCAAAATCACCACAACAGGATTGAGCAGGCAACCACCTGGTCACCCAAACATGCATGTCCAGGTCACACAAAAAGTAAAAAATCTATGGGATGCCAATTGAGGGAGGAACCCCTGCCAAAGGCTCTAGACCATGGCATGCCCAAGTTCTATCCTGCTCAACCACGAGATGGAGAAGAGAAGGGGCATCACTCAGGGAATACAAATATAATAGGACACCAAAAACCTTCGAATGTGGAGACCCCTACTCAGAACATACACCAGGCTGACCACCATGGGACCACCATGGCTGTGCCACATAAGGAAGAACCCATAAAATGTGCCAAGATAACAGACTGGTGGCCTCCAAATTTAACACTGGCCACATCAGAAGGCCCCAGGGCACAATCTGAGGAGATGGTAAAAAAGTTGTGTTAAATGTAACAAAATGCCTCTTTCAGGTGGGTCCTTACTGCTGGTTATCTGGATAGCTACACTCAATTCACAATCTATGCTAGCCCTTGTTTCTAACTGCAAACCTACAGGAATACAGAGGCCAAAACCTTGCCTACCTTTCTGAGTGCCTAACCCCAGTTGATGGGAATTTAGGTTAACCTCCAACCACAGGGGGGGTTTTCCAGGGCCACTGCTCCCTGCGCCTCTCCGAGGGGGCCCATGCTCTGGCTAGTTGTCCCCGGTAGGCAGAGCTCCATTGACTATTGCCCTGGTCTAAAGATTGCATATTAGCCTGATAGCTCCAGGGAGCTGATGCGGCTCCCTCTCAGAAAAGCAAATCAAGCAATATTGAAATGCTTGAATTTTTGTATACTTGACAATGCCTCACAATTAGTGTACAGCTGATGGAATTTTTGGGATTATTTATATTCAACAAAATTACTTTGTTAACATTCTGACACCACCAAAATCAAAGTTTTGACCCAATGGATAGTTTTGCAAATGTGAAATGATTATACACTTTATACGAGTTGCTCAGCCAATGGATGAGAAGCGTGGCACATTTGGACAGGAAAATGCAGGACCTGGCAATGTCAGTATGTCAACTGACTCTGCCTTTGCAAACATGTGTCCTTCATCTCTGTTGTGGTGATATCATCATCTAGTGGTATTTGGTGTAGTTAGCAGAGGAATAACTGGCAGTCCGTATGATACAAAATGTGTGTCAAAATAAGTGTTGACTGTTATGGTTCTGCTTTTTGGCATCACAACTGGTGGCCTCCTTGATGGTAAATGAAACTATTTTTAAATCTCTCTCTCTCTCCTTCCAAACTAGATGGCAAGACTGTTGACAAAGTTACTTGTCACCGAGACCCAGGATGATGAGAGCTTGATGTGTGAGCAGTGTCCGGAGTGGACTTTGGCTCACCTGGCTTGGGCAGTGACAGGGAGCCAGAGGAGAGCTTAATCAGAAATGCTAAACCAACATAACATTCTGTGTGATAATGCCAAAACGTGTACATTATGTGAATGTGTCAAAGACTACATATAGAAACAAAAAATACTTACATGGAAGGCAAATATTTGTGTTCTACATTATATTTTCATTCTCTAAACTGGCATTTTTTATAGCATTTCATATTTCAACTGATACCATCAGTACTGACATTTTGTTTTCTATTAAACTTTGCACTCACTTGTATATTACATGTACAACTTTTTGCATTTAATGTTCTATTTCATCATATATCTTGATGTAAAATTTGTGTAACCTCACAGCAACGTTTTGAAAATTCTCTCGGACTTCCATTTTATACATACCTTTAATGTATATAGAATAATAACAACACTTATCATACTCACCATTATCATACTGTAGAAGATCAATTATCTTCTTGTACTGCTTTACTGCTAGTCGATATTTCTCTTGTTTGAAGAAAGTGGTTCCTCTATCTTTGCATCCCTTCGCCTGGTCAACTTTTTCCTCCTGATCCATTTCCCAGGACTCTTTAGCCTTTTCAAAATTTCTCAACTCGACCTCATATTCTAAGGAAGCACCAGGTGGAACACCAATGGCTACATTCCCTGCAGATCCAAATGCATACTGTGGATAAAAGTAACACATACTGTACCAACATTAATAACAGCTTCACTTTACAATGTGAGTGAAGCTGATTCCTAAGTATGGTACTAAGAGATTTATATTTACTGCTTGATATGGTATGGTCACATGTGAAAACCAAGAAAGGCCCTACCCTGGCCAGCAAATCACATGCCATAAAAAAAAAAAGAAAAAAAAAAAAAAAGACGATGAATGTAACGAAACGCCATTTTTCTGGGTGAGCTCCGGAGGTTTCCTGAAGTTATCCAGTCTGTTATGTGCCTTATTAGTTTGGGGGTTATCAGTTATGAGAGTTCTGTGCCTACCGGGGACCACGAGCCGGAACTTGGCCCCCCCCCTCAGAGAGGTGCAGGGAGCAATAGCCACATAAGAGCACAGTATGTCATGTCTGTCATCATCAGGGGAGAAAGCACCCAGAAAGATAGGCAAAACAATACAAACTCTCTGCTGGTAAAAACTGCAACCTATATTCGAACAGAGCCAAAGAACTCCCCCATAAGAAAAACAAACAAAATCATCATCCAATAGTGCACCCACTCGTTAGCACCCCCCCCCCCCCAAAAAAAAAAGAGGGGAGGGGAGCCCGCTCAGGCGAACAAGCAGCTCACCAATCTTGTTCGTAGAATGGTGAAAAACCGCCGACAGGAGGGAGGGAGGGTTTCAGGGAGGCTCTAAGGCTCACCCAGAAAATGGTGTTTCACTACATTCAACGCTGGTTTTCTGTGGGGAGCCCCGTCGGCTCCCTGAAGCTAACTACCCACAGATAAGTAAAAATAGGGACTTGCCCGGGAGGTGACAGCACCGCAGGTCTCACAATGAAGATGAGACTTGCAGCAGGCAGATGATTGACAGGCTGTGACAGATGTCCCAAAGCAATACAAGGCCGCAGAGGGCCTGGAACGTTGACAAGATATTTGGCGGCCAGGACCGTATTCGATTTCCAAAACCCCTGAGCCCAAATGTCAGTCCAAGACATATTCCCAAAGAGAGCAGCGTGAGCAGCATATTTCCTTACATCATGGGTATTAGGGGAGACTGCAGGCTGACTAGACTTTATAACCCTATGGACAACCTGAGAAATATGAGCCCTGTAACAGGGAACCAGGGACACCGGATTAACACAGAGTGCATCCATCGTCGCCGAAAATTGTCCTACAGGTAGCAATGTAAAGCCACAACCGGACACAAAACATGATGCATCCCCAACCTAACCAACTAAGCATCAACAACCCACTGACCCCTCCGTAGGTTGTTGATGCTTAGTGATTTCATGAAATCAATCATGAATTTTGCCAGATGCATGGTCATTTCAGCAACAATCACCACTCCTTACCCAGGGCAGGACGGAAACCGAAATCCCCCACCCAACCCAAAGGTCAAGGCCAATGCCAAGCAACGGAGACTTTAATGGGAGTGTGTCCCGAACATCTCAGGGAGATAACCCTGAAAATGCAAGGGTAGTGCTTATAACCATTTTCTAGGGCTTGCCTAGGGAAGCTAGCCCTCGATGCATGCAGCCCTGCATACAGAAGAACACCTGGCCACCATGACCACCCCACAAAGCTGGTACAGCCACACAGGGCAAAATTCAGACAGGAGAGCAAGGCTTGAGGTAACATGAGACCACAATGCACATCAAACAAAAACTGGGGTGGTGAGCCACTTGTGTGCTCGAGCTGGCTTCTTCTTCACCCTTTCGAGGGAGGGGGTGTTAACAAGTGGGCAAACTTAATTTGATATTGTTTCACCTATCTTTCTGGGTGCTCTCCCCCCCAGTCGATGGCAGACATGACATACTCTAAATGTGGAGTATTCACATGGCCATTGCTCCCTGTGCCTCTCTGAGGGGGCCAGGTTCTGGCTTGTGGTCCCCGGTAGGCACAGAACTCCCGTAACTGATGACCCCAAACTAATATAGCACATATCATTCTGGATAGCTTCAGGGAGCCGATGGGGCTCCCCACAGAAATGATGGTCAAGTGTGAACAGATAATGCTTAGAGCACAGAGTGTAAATAATATAATATGGGAGTATATAAGTACACATGTACAGTAGTAAAGCACCATTAAACTTACCATAGCAATCCTGCATTAATATTACCTCCTCTCGGTAACTATGCCGGTAAAATCCTCGCCTAGTATTATGTCACGGTAGCTGGCTAATATGTTTTGTGGATATGTTTAAAACCCCTTCTCCCTACTTTAATAAATATGTACAGCACTTATGATCTAGTTGTCCTGGACTTGAATAATATTACTTGGTTGCTAAGCCCTTGTTATATTGTTACAGTCTCAACTTTATGATCCATTTATTTTAATTCCACCGCCAACTTTTGGAAACCGCTATTATACTGTTGTCATTAAATTCATTCATTGATTGTCAGAGTACAATATTGTTTGTTAGTTTATAAAGCAGCCCAGCAGGGATAAAATTCCCAATAAATTAATGGTGCATACTGCCAATGGGCCACTCGTATTAGCAAAGAAAGCAGTGATAGTAGCAAACACGTGTGCATTATCCATATGCGGATACACATCACACTGGCTGAACCAAACCATCCAACATATAACCTGAGACTGCCTGACCTTAACACAAGGAATTGAAGAAATACAACTGACAAAGCAAAATTTGGGGAAGAAGCAGTTTGGCAAAATAATGCCAAACTGCTGTAACAAGGCAGAGACCATGATATACCCCCCTTATCTGGCAAACCAAATATCTACCCCCAGAAGACCCTCATAAACGCAAAGGACTCATTCTTGGCCAAAAAGGACAAAGAAGAATGGAGCCAGAAAGGAATCTCTAGGACAAATAAACAAAATTTCCTTCCTGCAGTGAAGAGCATGAAATTCGTAAACATGAGCCAGATGGAATGTCCTCCAAATTGTCCCATAAACATGAAGGATGAGCTTTGATTATCCTTTGGTTTATCAATATGGTTTATCCTTTGATTATCCCAAAGGATAAACTTGGCCCCAACACTACCATTATATTCACTAAGGAATCATGAATCAAATTGAGAGAATCCTCAACCAATACCTCAAGGCTAGGTTCTCAGAATGTTTGGTAATACGTTTATTGTTTGTGATGTGTGTCTATGTATGTATTAACACGATGTACTGAACGGGGTGAGAATAGCTTGAGCTACCTCATCCCTTTGTGTGTATTATACATCAATAAACTTATTTCAATATCAATTTCAATTTCAAGGCTAGGCCTTTTAGAGCTATTGCCAGACGCATAAGTAAATGCCAGCCAAACAGATTGAACTCGTGGCCCAGTAGGGAAAAGAACAAAGGTAGGTCTGGTTTAGCAAAAGTCTGCTTTACCAAAGCCTCAAAAGTGTGTTTGGATGCCAGAAAACTGCATGCAGTAGAAGTTGAGACATGGGTGAGTGCGGTAACTATTACTAAACAACCAACAAAGTAAAACATGGCAACAAACCACCTGGACAAAGCCAAAACTCGCAGTTTAATCGATAAACAAATAAATAGCAGAAAACACACGATGCAAGGTAGCGAGACCAATTATCGCACACTAAATCGCGGAGAGTACAGATGAGGAAAGGTTTATGATGCCACGAAATTAAATAAAATGGGTTTTTATTCACCACCTAAGCAGAATCCCATAAACATGCAAGGCACACTTATAAACAAAGCCTAATAAATCTTTTTTAGTATGCACTGAATTTAATAAATTCAAATTAACAAGTCTGGCTTAAAGACCAATTACCCAAAACTACTCAAGACACAGTAGGCAATTTAGAAAAACCCAGAAAGGATATGTGGCACATACCTTTGGTGATAGTTTGATAGTAGATTTCTCTCCTTTTTTAAATCTCTCTAGTGCCCTTTCTAGGCCTTCTGGAATATTGTGCTCAGTTCCTTCACCAAGAGGGAATTTAGCATCTCTGTCATCAAATACTGTGCCATTCACTCTACCGATGACACACACTGTAATTATATTAACAAACAAGTAATAACCATTTTCAATTGTTATTTATTGTGCTGTTTATACCTTTTTATAATTACAATGTTCACAACCAAACTTAGAAACAGGCAAGTTCTTAGGATTTTAAAATTCGAGTAGATTCAAGATTTATCAATAAAGAACGTGTCAGTTTCAACAACAGATTGCATTTACAAAATCCCCAGCGAGAGTTGTGAACAAATGCATATTGGAGAAATTGGTAATTTTTTTATATATTACATAAAACAAAATAAATATAACTTTTGAACATGTGAATTATATGCATCGTTTGTTCACAAGAGATTATGGTTATGCAATTAATTAGAATACACTTAAATCAAGTTTAATTCAAATTTATTGATAAAACTCTAAACATTAGCCACAGACTGCACAAGTTGGTACCATTTATTGTTAGAAAAGTTACTAATCACGAGTGAACGGACAAACAAATTGCCTTCATGAAATTTCTGTGTCTGCATTGTGGACTTCCCATATTCTACAAACATCAGATACAATAGTAATGGTGGATTTGTATGTAGGTTGTGCACCTACAACGTTGTCTATAAATTATAAAAATTTGAGGAACGATCAAATTATGAATTACCCGGTAATAATAATTTGAAATTGTGCTTTGGGAATTATTTATTATTTTAAATGTTATAAAATCAATCTGTATTATAATATAGTGTCAGATCATTTGTTGTTGGTCATGATTAATAATGGTGATTAGACCTGTATTGCTACTTAGTTAGAGCCAAGTTTTCTCTTCATCTTGAACTTGAGGATCAGACATCAACCCATCTCTCCACACAGATCTTAGTCCTGGCTCCCCGTCTCAGAGATCTGGTACTTTTTCTTCCCTCAAGTTTTTTACTTTATGTTTTCTTCTCACCTCTCTTCCTTGATTAGATTCTTTCTTAATGGCCAGAGTTTACCTTCAACATCGGTCAGTAGTATTTTAGCATTTCTAAGCACTTACACTATCTATTTAGCTCAGATCAAAGGTATTCTTAGGGGGGTGACTCTCCCATTCTCAAACCTGCCAATTTGCCTGTACTCAAGACACTGTTGTCTTGTCCGAGTTCAATATTGAGTTTGTTAGTTTATAAAGCAGCCAAAAAGGGACATCTTTCCAAATAAATTAATGGTGCATACTGCCTCCAACTACACATACAATTTTTGGCAAAGTTATATCAGTCCTATAGCTCCAGGGAGCTGAAGGGGCTCCTCACAGAAATACAGTAAAATAAATAATTATATTAATCTATATAAAGTTTTGAATTACTCTTCTGTAAGATACTTGCATGCTTACATGAAATATTTCAATGTTATTTGAACAAAAAGATCTAATTACAAATGCAATATCTCAGCATTCAGAGTAGAGAGCAGCAAATTTAATAAAATTTTGAATTTATAAATAATTACTTGTTAAAGCAAAATTGAAAATGTTTAATATTCTCTATAGAAATACATATATACATAATTCACTGACAATGAGTCACAATAACGTGGCTGATGATATGAAGACTAAACCACACACCAGAAAATGAGGAGACGACAACGTTTTGGTCCATCCTGGACCATTATTAAGTCAATTGTGATGGGAACAAGGGAGGCATGAGCATTAAGTGAGACAAAGAGAGAGAGAGAGGTGAGGAGGAGGAAATTCTTAGAAGACGGTAAGAGCTCTAAATGCTCTAAACTTTTTATCAAACGTTACCTAACATAAGCATACCAATACTTTTTCTTTCTCTGTCTCTCTCCCTCTTTTTTCTTATGTTCCCATTCTTATACACATTATTACTCCCTTACACCTCCTTTATTACACCCATACCATCCGTACCTTTCGCTTTGCTCTTACCATCCTCTTAAGAATTTCCTCCTCACCTCTCTCTCTCGTCTAACTTAACGCTCGTGCCTGCCCTGGCTCCCATCACAATCTACTTGATAATGGTCCAGGACGGACAAAAATGTCGGCGTCTTCTCATTTTTTGGTGTGTGGTCGAGTTTCCATATACATAATTAATGTGTATGAACTTACCATCTACAATTGCACCATCATTTGGGGTCAAGTATCCTTCTCCAGCAACAATATTTCTTCGGATTATTCCCCCATCTTTTTTAGAACTGAGATCCTCACCATGCCACTCAAACAACTCTACCTTTAAATAACAAAATAACAATGCATGATACTGTATTATAGACAAACGCAGTGAAGTGTAATCAATGCTCCTACAAAAAGAAATAATTATAACCAAACGGGTAGAACACTTTGAAAGAAATTATATAATAACAGAAAGACAGCAGTTTTCAAATACTGAAGGAAGATCATGTGTAACATATCTACTTAGTTTCTATGACAAAGCCACACAGGTTTTACAAGAAAGGTATGGTTGAGTTGACTGCATTTATCTGGACTTAAAAAAAAAAAAAATGTTAAGAGTGGTGTACCACAGGGTTCAGTTCTAGCCCCAGTAAAGTTCATTATTTATATGAATGATTACCAGAAGGAATGCAGAATTATATGAACATGTTTGCTAATGATGCTAAACTACTAGGGAAGGGGGGGGGGGTGATAAACTCGACTACTGCCATGCCCTTCAAGGTGACCGGGACAAAAGTGTACGGAGCAACACTTTGCTGATGGAATTTTATTTTGTGAATAAATGTATTGTTATGGAATGTTGAAAAGGAGAAAATAGGCCCCACACAACATACAAATTAGGTGACAAGGCTTTAAAGGTTTTTGATAAAGTAAAAGATCTATGGGTGGTCCTGGATAGAAAACTGTCACCTGAGAATCACAAAGAACATCGCGTGAGTAGCTTATGCAACACTTTCTAACTTCAGAATTCGTTTTACATACATGGATGGCAACATATTGAAGAAACTGTTCATGACCTTCTTGAGGCCAAAATTGGAATATGCAATGGTTGTATGGTGCCCACATCTCAAGAACCACATCAATAAAATAGAAAAGGTGAAAAGACATTCAACTAAATGGCTTCTGGAACTGTAAAACAAGAGCTATGAAGAGAGGATAAAGGTATTAAATAAATCACAGCTAGAAGACAGAAAAAAAAGCAGTGATATGATCACAACATATAAAAGAATAACAGGAATCGACAAAATTGGCAGAAGAAGAATTCTTGAAACCTTCATCTTCATGAACAAAAGGTCATGGACTTAAGCTAAGGAAACAAAGCTGCCAAAAAAACATTAGAAATTTCTCTTTAGCAAACAGTGGTAGTTGGAACAAGTTGGAGCAACGTTGGAACAAGTGAGTTGGTGGTGGAGGCCAAAACTGTCAATTGTTTGAAAGCATAACATGACAGTACAGTACTGGGAAGGTGGGACACCATGCGCATACCTTTCATCCACTAACTACATTTAGGTAATTACACCATGTACAGAATTCTCATCAACTTAACAGACGATTACATTTTTCAGACACACCTATGCAAGTTGATCCACCAGGCAGTTGAAAACTCAGCATTTCTCATTTCAATTTCACTTGTCAATTTTCTCCCCCCCTTTTTTTTTGTTTCTTTAGCAATACACCACTGACCTTAGTGATCCCAGAAGTTTGTAGCTAAGTCAGTTCTAGCCCAAATGTTTCAGTCTAGAAGGGAATTAGCACCATGCCAGTTGCTCATACGTCTGTGGTCCTTGGGGTATGGCTCACTCACTGCACAAAAAAAGGTCGATTCATTGCTAACAAACCAAGTTACCAATTTCAGCATCAACTTTCATCCCTTGGATTTGCAATTTGGACCATTGCAAATTGAATAAATAAGCTCTAAATGTTAACATCCAAGGTTCTGAAGTTCTCTCTTTGATAGTGGATGGAAGATATGCATGTCGTACACCTTTCTTATGAGAGGTTTAAACAGCAAATATCATAAATTTAATATTGGGTAATATTAGACTGTTAGACTGACTGCGAGTAAGACTGCCCTGGTCTTTTAATTTGTTTAACCACACGAGCGTGAAACAAAATAGCTTATGTTAAAACATCCAATAAGGGCAAAAAGTAGGTGAAATAAGCAAGTGTACAGGCAACTCAGCTATTTTGTGGGGATGCATTCCAAGACATCATGACAGAGACATTTAGTTAATGATATTTTTTTTTTTTACTTGGAAAATAGGATGCATTCCAGGGCCATGAATTTGATTACACAAAACTTTTAATTGGCACTAGACACTATATGCCGTGATATGGTCACATAAGCTAAGCGACGTTAACGGCTATACATATAAAAACCACCAACCCAACTTTTTTAATTATGTACAAAAAATTACTCCACATGGTTACAAATTCCCATCAACTCCACAAAATGGAAGCTGACATGGCATGAGCATTAAAACAATAACTAGAACAGCAGAAATTAACAATGAGGATGTGAAGTGTCAAGACAAAACTATAAATTTTAGAAATTGACACAAAGTAGTTTTGTGGAAAACTCTGTAAATGTCAAGTCATTGAAGAGAATGTTTCTAGATGGCTTAGTAATTCTGAACAAATGAATGGTGATAAACTGGTGAGTTTGAGAGAAGGAAAAGGTGAGTAAAGCAGAGAAGATGGGCAGATAAGGTTGTGTGTGCACAAGTAGGTGTGTAAGTTCCAAGGAGGCAGTCTTCGCCATTTTAAGTGCTAATACCTGGAGATGAGACCAGATTGCAGCATTTATTGTATCCAGGTGCCAGACTCAACGGCCATAGGAACTGGTGGAAAATAACATGATTTTAAAAATATTTCTAGGCACCTGGATACAAGTAGATTATAGCAGAGAATTCCGATTTCTCATCCATCAACAGTTATCAACTACAGTAATAAGAGGGTAAGAAATCTGCAGCAGGCCACTCTTCGTTCCTTAATGTCTATACCAGAAGTTGAGAATTCAAATGAAATGCTGCTCCCTGATCTAGACAATAATGGGACAATATACACAGATCTTAATGATAGACAATATGTTAAAAGATATTATGTACTGACAATAAGAACATATGCAAATTTATAAAATATGTATGTTGATACTGTATATTATGAATAACCATCCTTATGGAAGGCAGACTTGATTATGTAATATGGAGGAACCTTGTACAAGATATTTTAGATTGCTCACATGTAAATCACTTGGTTAGCTATTATTTTAGAATTTATGCTTCCTACATGGTAAGACATTAGACAGAAAATAAATGTACCACAGAGACTGCAGTACCACTATTAATTCAACCCATCCTCTTAAAATTACGTCGCTTTTGCTCGTTTGGCCGTATGGCCAAAAATGGACATAATTTAAAATGAAATCGGCTCACGAAAGTGACGTACTGTCCTGTTTTCCGTTTTGAGTCCTCTGGCTTACTCGATTAGGTTAGGAGAGGAACTTTTCAATTAATGGTTTTCAAGACGTTTTGAAACCTTAGAACTTTCTGCCCTCCTAACCTACCAGAGGACCCTTACCTTGCAGTTTGGAAAAAAAAAAAAAATCCAAAATTTATTTTACATTTTTTATTTTTAAATTATATCCATTTTCGACCATATGGGCAAATGGCCAAATTCAGATGTAATTTGTAAGAGGACAGGTTGATTTTTATCATTGAGGGAAGATAACATCTTCCCTCAATGATAAAAATTAGGACCTAGTTGACAAAATTACTACCAATTAATTTTGAAACAGATCTCTTGGGAAATTCTTGAACGCATTGTCTAACAGATTCACATTTAGTTTTCAAGGGCAACTCTCACTCCAACTATTTAGATTAATGATTGGACTCAGTACACAACACTGTTTTGCTGAATGTTTTGCTCATATTTAAGCTTTCCTCAAGCAGTTTTTATTGACATAGCAGCCTTGAATACTGCAAAGAAGGGAAATCATACCTAAAGCAGCTTGATGAGCTGTGAATACAGCGGTTAATTTCTGAAATGAATAAGGGTTATTTGTTGAACTGAGCAGCTTATGTACTGTTTAATGAGAATGCCATAATGATGATGATGATATGGTCCTTTGTTATACCGATAGTTGTTTATGAGCTGCTACCAGGTCTAATATGCAAGTCCTGCTTGAATGTGAACTACTATTTTTATACATAAAACACTGTCAGTCGATGTGCTACCTGTGCTACCCCGTATACCATAACCCCACATAACATATAGACGGGAATGCTCTAGACAACTATGAAACCTAGATATTTTGGAGCTCTGAGTTTCCTTAGGGACTCTGGGTAATTTTCTTCTCCCAGGAAGAAACTGGGAGAGATTAAGGAACTGGTGGGTTCTTGTTGGTGCCAATTATGGAATTATGATGGAATGTTCTACATAGCATTTATCCACTTTGTGAGTAATTATAATGCATCTCATACTGTATCCAGGTAGAACTGAAATCTTTTGAAACTGAAAAATAAGCTTATGCAAGTCATCTTAAGAGATCCAAAGCCCAAAAAGAATAGTAGCCAATATTGAGATCCAAGTTGTAAGTGCTTACCATATGATTGAATTTTGTCCATCAGCACATTTTTTTTGTATCAAGGCATTGAGAAGCTCAAAGCCCCCTACCTTGAGGTTACCTTGAGATGTTTAAAGGTAAAGCCTCTTATAAAATTTCAAACTTAACTGTCTCAAACGTTAGTTTTAGCGAGATCCATAGGAGAGAAAAATGTAATTATGCATTTTAGCTTTACAATGTAGCAAGCTCCAACAAATTAACCCGAGGGCCAAAATCTCTCCTGCGAGAACACCACGATAAAAAATTTTTAAATAAAAATAATCATATTTTCCTCACTATTGCAAATGCAAATGTTCATACTGTGTGATATGAAATTAACTCACCTCAATTACTGCCCCCCCCCCCAAAAAAAAGACACCATGCAATATGATGCCAACTAACCTCAAACACCAAAGTAGCATTGGGTGGAATTTTTGGTGGACTGCCTCGCTCCCCATACGCATATTCACTTTTGCATGTTAGTCTACTTATTTCTTCTTTCTTCATACTAGCCACACCCAAATCCCAAGCCTTGATAACTTCACCTGAAAAAAAGTATTATTTTTTTTTGAGTGCAAATCACTACACATAAGAAAATACTATTGTAGCATATGCTATCATTATCGTTCATCGATATACAGTACAAGCTTTCCTCGTCACATCACTTATCCCTATCGTCAATTTAGAGTTTTGATTTTGTTATGGGATTTTGTCTGTTCATTTATGGTGATACAGTAACACATCTTCCCATTCTGATACACAAACAGCTTATGAAAGCCATTTTGGGAATTCATTCCATACATCAGTTGAGGACTTCTGTATGGCATAGCATTTTTGTAATTCCCAAGATCAGGTTTACCACAGAGGGAAACAGTGACATGTCCATTCTTCCTCTAATACTGTTCAAACTGAGCCAACAGCATAGTTCACAGTGAAATTGAAATAAGTTTATTGAGGTAAAATACACACAAAGGGATGAGGCAGCTCAAGCTATTCTCACCCCGTTCAGTACATCGTGTTAATACATACATAGACACACATCACAAACAATAAACATATTACCAAACATTCTGAGAGATAAACATATACATTCCTCCTTCACACAGTTCACAGTGATGTGCATTACACTGGTTATAATACAATTACAAGCTGGTACAGTACACTTTACAGGTGCTAAAGGCAGATAATTACCATCTGACCCTCTTTGGTCAAAAATGCATAATTTGACTGTACTTTACATAATGTTTATCAATAATCCAATTCATAACAATATTCTCTACCTTTGCCAAGAGTGAAATCAAAGCGTTCCCCCCTGTCACGACTAGAGTCAAATTTTGTTCCATCTTCAAGAGTGCCCACATAGTGGACAGATACACGATCACCTTGCAAGGGCCCTTCGTCTCCTTCTCCCAATTTTAAAATCTGTAGACATTAATACAACAGGCATTATTCATATTAGATCATATTTACTTTTGAGAAACAATCCATTACCACCTCCATTTTGCCAAGTAAATGAAAGGTGCCTCTAATAACTAACTTTGTGGCCATTTACTATAAAATGAAAATAGAGTTCTTGTATAACAAAGAGCGAGTCATTATACTACTAAAGGTGACCGAAGTCCTTATTTTCCCAAAATATTAGTCAATTACATAAATAATATAAAGATTATAATATCCAGAGCTGTACATGACATACTATGATTTAATCACTTTTTTAAAAGCAGAGAAGGAACTTTAAACAAAAGGCTTTGCGCATAAATTAAAAGCTTCATGAGCAATGTACTCATTTACTGTACTTCCTTAAGAAAAGTTATATTGTTGTCATGGACAGGACTGCAAACAGAAAGCAAGTCAGCATGTCAAGCAAATGCAACAGGGAACTCGATTCAACCCAGAATGACCTTGTTCAGCTACACTCAAGGCCCTTTCCAGTGCTACTTGGTACCAGCAAGAGACCCTGCTAATCGCTAGCTGATCTACACACCTGCAACACCATCAACAGGTGGCAGCACCTACTTGTCAATAATTGTTCACCTTCTACTCTGTCAAGAACCACCTATAAAGTTGGACAAAATCTAGACTGAAGAACAAAAAAGAAAAAAAAAAGAAAAAAGAAAAGAAACAGCATTGAATGTAATGAAATGCCATTTTCTGGGTAGAGCCCTGGAGGCTCCCTGAAGCTATTGGACTGATTAACTAATATTAGTACGGAGCTTCAGTCATATGGAGTTGTCATAGCTACCGGAGACCAATAGCCAGAACATGGTCCCCTCAGAGGTGCAGGGAGCAATGGCCCATGAAACTCCCTTGCAAGAAAGTTTTCATGTCTGCCATTGACTGGGGTTAGGCACCCAGAGAGGTAGGCACCCCAAAACAGACCCCAACTGGTAGAAAAATTGCAGCCAGAGACCGAACAAAGGCTAGAAACTTCCCCCCCAAAACAAACAAGGAACATGTCATCACACCACTCACCTCTCATTTGCACCCCCTGGAGGGTCCCAACCCACTGAGCCAGCTGCCAGACCATTAGTTCGGAGACTGACTAAATGGAACAAAAACCACCGACTGGAGGTAGGGAGGGTGCCAGGGAGCCTCCGGGGCTCTACCCAGAAAATGGCGTTTCATTACATTCAACGCTGGTGTTACAGTTATCTCCTGCATAGCAGTAGATTCTGCCTGTTCCTCACCACCTCCATATCAGCATGCTCCAACATCAAAAAACAACAACAATACATGCCAAAATATATTGTCTAGACACGCCTTCCCCACCCCCCTCCACCCTACCTCCCACGAGAGACAGTGCACCTGCCGTCTCACCAGCTCACCCGACACCAAACAAACTATCACGATGGTCGTTATATTGCCGGTTCCTCGTCTACAACTCCAGCATTTGCGCCAAAATGACATCACAGCCCATATAAAAAGGACTTGCCAGCGTTCAGCGCAGCAGATTACCCTTCTAGTGCTCATTGCTTCTGCACCTATCCTCACCTACGGGGCGAGGATAGATGCAGGATTTGTTTTAAAGACGGCTTGACCATTATGTTAATCTTTTCCATGCCACCTTTTCTTTAATAATCAGTGCTTTAAGAGATATTGTTCCCTCCGTGCGCCGCCGTAAATGCACCTTAACCAACATACTGTATAGTACTCACCTCCTTTATAATGCCGCCATCTTGGTTGGGTGAGAGATCAATTTTAATTTTATCTGGTTCCTCACCACCCATTATCACCAGTTTTTACACCCTGCAAAAGTTGTATATACAGCAAGAAGGCATTTGGGAAAATAAAATAGCAGTTATAATACACAAGATATTACATATTTTGTTCAATTATCATAAAGGTAAATTATTAAAATACATTAGGTGAATAGAGTACTATATTTAAATGATATAAATACTTCAGGAGGTGGTAGTGACAAAGCAAGATGAGAATGACAAAATATAAAAGGATATATATTAGCTGGTACCATATAGTACCTGTATATACTAACGTATTGCAATGCTTCACAGTACTGTACTGAATATACAAGTGTGAAGAGATTAAGATTTAATTGATGTCTTCGAAACAGTCACTGCAGGGATGACAAAAATGCAATACAGTACTGTATATTCATTATAAAATGACATGACCCCAAAAAAGTAACGATCAAAGTTCTTGTAGTGTATAATAATATGTACAGCTATGTTAATGATACAGATAAAACATTTTCCTACAGTATTGCCAAGGAAAATAGGACGAGATTGCACAGTTGAAAAGTAATTGAAAATGGAAATACTCATTTTATAATGATATACAGTATGACCAAAAATAAAAAACTTACATTTACCAAAATCTCTATAATTATGCCAATAATATAAATAAAAAATATTACTACAGTATTAACACTTTCGCGCTCTCGGCGCTTAAAAAAAAAACAATACCCCAGATGCTTTCGGCACTTCGCGCGCCTACGCGGTAAGACCGAAAAGTGTACACTCTTTTGACTGTCCTGACAATAATTGAAGGCGCACGTATTTAAATTTGGTATCACTGTGTTCGCAATGAAATTGTCTATAAGAGCATACCTATAAAATGCCGCCCAAGCATAAGGAGTATCAACACCAAATAAAAACTATGCAGATCACTCGCCGAGAGCGCCAAACAGCAACAAAATGTTTCCACTCTCTTAATGGTTGCGAAGCCTACATTTGTCCTACATCGCTAATTTTGGTATCATTGGAATCGCAATAAAATTCTCTACGCGGACATATGCATATGAATGTTTAATATAGGTAATTGCCCACCCGCAAGAGTGTGTGAAGTGGAGAGTAGTTAGCCGCGAGCGCACTGGCGAAAACACGGGGGAAATCATGCTTGGAAAGTTTATACGTTTCCTGACCCTACTTTTCTATGTACGTATTTCTTTTTTATACCAATGTGTTCGCAATAAAATTTTCTATAAGATGAACTGTATAACATTTGTACAAAGCATGTGTAAGAGAAGCGCCAAATATAGAACCACGTCGCTCAGTATGCGTTCGCGGCAGAAACGAACGCATTGTTTTCGTTCGTTTGATGTTTGTCATGTTTATACTTGTTGAAACATTTTATAATTTGTATGACAGTGATCGCAGTAAAATTCCCTACACAGACATATACATAACACATACAAATATTTCCCACGTGTTGGATATATCAACGGCTATAGGGAACCCACTGCCACACGCTCGCCACACCCCCAAACATACTTTGTGTATTTTTTTTTTTACTCATAGAAGTTTATGTGATATAATATTCATTCTGGTACCAAAAAATTCGCAAATAAATTCTCTACAAAACAAAAGTATCCCCATCCATTTCGGTTAAAAAATGGAATTTATAGAAATATTTTTTTGATGGACGAGAAAAGTAGGCAGTTATGCGGAATCGTAAGAGAAAACGGCGACGAGTTATCTCTAATATAAAGCGCGAAAGTGTTAATGCTAATGAAAATAAAATGTGATCAAACCTAATAAAATTTGGAAATACAGTGGGGGCCTCGATTTACGATGGTAATCTGCTCCCAGCGTCCTATCGTAAGTCAAAATATCGTAAGTCGAAGCGATTTTTCCCATAAGAAATAAAGGGAATTGAATTAATCCGTTCCACACCCCCAAAAATATTAATTTAAAAATACATTTTATACTGAATACAATTTTTTTCTCTAACTACAATACAGTACATATGTTTATCTTACTTTATGGAGGACTCATGATGGCGTATGGAAGATGGTGATGAGGGGGGAGGAGGAGAAGTGTTACTGTTTGGAAGGGAAGTCCCCTTCCATTATAACATCAGGCAGTGATGATTTCTCTGGGGCACACTCTCCTACATTTTCCCTGCTTACCATTAGGACCTGGTTGTGGTTCACTGCTTCTTTGCCTCACTAAAAATTTTTCTAGCGAAACTTTTTTTTCCCTTCGTTTTAACATTTATCTATAGTGAGGCATCACAGTATCATTAAAAAGGCTATGGCAACAGCCTACTACAGCTTGCTCTGGATGAGTTGTTTCAATAAAAGTTTGCATTTCTCCCCAGTCTACACCACTTCCTAATTGTTGAGGAAAGGACATTCTGTTCTGCCTCTTTCCCTGAAGAAATTTGCTCATCTGCCTCTATGGTCATTCTCACATGTGTTTTCATATGTTGAACCTTACCACTGACTTTCTTGGGACCCATGGCATATATATAATAATCAGTTTTATGTTCAAAAAGCAAAAAAAAAAAAAAAAAATGGAATTTCTTATAAGCATTATCGTCACTAAGTGGGCGACTAATAAACTGAGGCAGGTCAGCCAGCGCGACCATGAACCATGCGCTCAGTCGACCCAAACGTGTATCAATGAATATCGTTAGTCTACGACACTATCGTAAGTCGAGTCGCATTTTCCGATCAAGTTTATATCTTGACTCTAAATTATCGTAAGTTGGGGCAATCATAAGTCGAGGTGCCACTGTACTAGTGAATTTATTTTATAGCAAAATATATTATGACAAAAAATGCACATTTATCAAAACTATACAAATCCTTGTATAATTACCTAACTAATACTTATAAATAAAATAGTTTCCTACAATACCGTACTTGATTTTGGTGTCCAGGAGCTGGAAATAAGGCCGATTTCAGTACCAGTCTCGGAAACAATTTATTGCTCAAATGCACCTTTCTAGGTGTCTAACCCCATGTCAGTCAGCAGTTTAAGGATCATACATCCTAAAAAGAAGAGAACAAAATTACATTAAATTAAATATAACTCCTATAATTTCATAAAAAAAAACTTTTTAACTATACTGTACTTGTACATCAAATCCTGGACAAATGTTATACTGTACAGTATTTATTTTAACAGGAGTCTTTCAAATAACCTTCATTTTCCATTTAGGGAGCCGGTCGGCCGAGTGGACAGCACGCTGGACTTGTGATCCTGTGGTCCCGGGTTCGATCCTGGGCGCCGGTGAGAAACAATGGGCAGAGTTTCTTTCACCCTATGCCCCTGTTACCTAGCAGTAAAATAGGTACCTGGGTGTTAGTCAGCTGTCACGGGCTGCTTCCTGGGGGTGGAGGGCTGGTCGAGGACCGGGCCGCGAGGACACTAAAGCCCCGAAATCATCTCAAGATAACCTCTCAAGATAGATTCTATGTTTCTGGAGTATATTTAAATAGTTCTTGTCACTTTTGTTTTTTGTTGTATGAACTGAAGCAGATGCAATATGCACATTTGTATACTAATGTCCAGAGACCAGATACTTTACTTTAAACCTTTAAAAAAAAAAAAAAGTCTTAAGACAAGCAAACCATTCCACCCACTGGAAGAGGAGGAGGATGGTGTGAATGATAAATATTTCAAATTATGAAACGAGCTCACCACAAATGCAAGTTTAGCTTAGACTGTACTTGTAGTGCACAATAACTTGTGATAGTTCTCGAACCCATTGATGACAAAAACAATGTACAGTACATTAAACTGTGTAACTAGCTTTAAGATTTTTTTTTTTTTTTTATATATACAGTATACAAGAGTTCTTACATTCTTGTACAGCCACTAGCATGCATAGTATCAGGCAGGTTCTTAATCCTAATTTTTTCCCTTGGCGCTCAGTCAATCCTCCCTGGCCAGGATACGAACCCAGGCCAAAGCGTTCGCAAAGCGCCGGACGAGTGTCTTACCACTGCGCCACAAAGACTTGCAAGACTATAACTTGCTTAGCTAAATGAATTTTTGGGGTAATTTCCTGAGCCCATTGTATGCCTCTGTAACCTTTTCCACAACCGCCCACAGGATGGGTATGGGGTGTATAATAAGTGAACTAAACTATAAAACTAGGTGAGCAGCAATGTAACTTCTACAGTGTACTGTACTTCTAGATATTAAAAGATTTGTCCCATAATAGATGATCCTTTGTGGTTAGGTCAGGATAGGCTTCCTTGGGAGTCATCGTTACAAACCACATCATCAAATTTGCAGATGATAAATATTTATGGTAAAGTGGGAAATGATAATGATATTGGTGCCTTGCAAAGAGATCTACATGAACTCCACAAATGGTCAGATGACTGGTAAATGCTTTTTAATATCAACAAATGCAAAACCTTACATTGGGGCATAGCAACCCATGCCACACCTTCGAAATCAATGCCATTACATAACAGCAGCCTGATGAAGGAAAGGCCCTAGGAGTCAAAATCCACCACTCATTAAAAGTTGTACAACAAGTAGGAGCAGCTATCAGAAAAGCTAATCAAACCCTTAGAATAATCAAGCATACAGTACTTCTGAATTTAAGGAAAAGAAGATGGTGATTCAACTGTATAAATATCTGGTGCTGCATGTCATTTGGATTATTGAAGCCAAGCGTGGAGACCTTACTTTCAGAAGGACATAGCTGCTCTGGAGAAGGTGCAGCACCGGGCAACAAAAGTAATTCCAGAGATAAGTCAACTCTCATATCAGAAACGGTTGAGGGCCACAGGGCTAACAACACTGCAAACCAGGCATGACAGGGTGAAACCCATTGAAACTTTTAAAATACTAAACAAGTTGGAGGATGTTGATTCTGACAATTTCTTCAAAAGTCCAGATACTCGTCTAGTTGCACTTGTGTGACTTGAACTTTGGCTCTTTGGTCCCGCCTTTCGACTGTCGGACATAACACAAACAAGGAGCAATGGTTTCAAGCAACAATATAGAACTGAGAACGAGAGATGCTTTTTCACCCACATGGTAATAAACCCATGGAACTGCCTACCTGTCAAAACCACAAACGCCAAAAGCCTGGACTGTTTTCTAAGAGAAGTTCCGGATCAGCCGGGCTGTGGTGGGTATGTGGGCCTGCAGGCCGCTCCAAGCAACAGCCTGGTGGACCAAACTCTCAAGTCGAGCCTGGCCTCAGGCCGGGCTTGGGGAGTAGAAGAACTCCCAGAACCCCATCAACCAGGTATCTGTTAGGTTTTAAAATCCAACCGGAGATGATCAAGGCAAATGGGGGGGGGGCCTTCGACAAGCCGCCAACTTCCTATCCTCGTCGAGGCGACTAGTGTTAGTGGCCCTTAGGTAAATTGGGTAAATCAGGTTTCACCACCTTCTGATGGTCTGATCTTCTGATGGATTGATCATTATAGGCTCATTCACATTTGTCTAAGCTTGGTATGGTTAGATTAGCTAAGGTTAGGTTCAAAAGCATGTAAGGCTACTGCATATAGATGCCAGGAAAGATTTCACAGCATCAAATTACCTTCCCTGTCCAACCAGATGCTCTTGTGGGACTTAAAATATATTTCCTCAACATCAGGTTTCCTTTAAATATTCTGCACTTATTGGTTTTTACAACAAGAAAGTTCAATAACAAACGTGCTACAAGTTCATCAGAAAGCACAACGAACTTTTGTGTATCAATTGGACACATTGTGGGGGAAAGGTTTCCTCACACCTGATGCCTCTGTTCACCTAGCAGCAAGTATTATGGCGAGTTGGGAGACCCTCCATAGTTGCCTCCAAGGCAAGGGTGGTCGCTGCCATAGGCAACTCTATAAAAATTTACCCAAATTTATCCAAGCGCCACTAATACCAGTAGCCTCAATGAGGACAGAAAGCCGGCGGCTTGTCAAAGTTCCCCACATTTTTGCCCTGATGATTTTTTCTAGCTTAAGTTTAAGCAAGTTTCCTGCCCAAAGAACAAGTAATGCATCACTAAGGTTCATTACACCTCAGACAACGTTAACAAGCCAACTGCCCACTTTCTTCTTTATAATACAACTAACATGTTTAGGAAGGCATCGTGTTGTTGTACCCAACTTTGCTGGCATACTGAATATTTAGAGAATTATAAACACGTTATCCCTAACAACCGTTCATCATAATCTTGTGAGACACGTTAGAAGAATGGTAATAAATAGCGTAAAGCAAACAATGCCGTAACTGTCACATGTGGTCTACACATATATAGTGCCAAACACAACTGTGACAAGTCACAGTTGTGTAGGAGCGTGGTGGCCCCGGGTGTGTGTGGTAGTGGTGGTAGAGGCAGCCACCACACACCTCTGGGGCCCACACGCCGCCTCTATCATCACCTCTCTACCTATTATGGCGGCTTGTGTGGGAGGAATAACGTGCTGATGATCCTGGCCGTCCTGTCAGCGTCCACCCCGAGCACTGCTCCCACCTGCCTGCCTGCCTGCCTGCCTGCCTGCCCTCCGCCACACGCTAACCTCCTCTCTCCTCGCCTCCTGTCTTACCACTCCCGGCACGCGCGTTATGGCACCTACACTAACTTATTGACTATAACTAAATACACTTTAGTCCTGAGGACAGTCCAGGACTAAAGTATATTATCTGTGTTTGTACACTTGAGAAGTTAGCTTCGCCTGTCCTAAGCTGTTACCCAGGAGCAGTTGCTGACATTAGCGCTCGCTGCCCACCTCACTACGGATATTAGCTAACATTAGCGCTAACTGCCCACCTCTCCATGGATATCAGCTAACATTAGCGCTGGCTGCCCACCTCACCATGGATATCAGCTAACATTAGCGCTCGTTGCCTTCCTCACCATGGATATCTGCTAACATTAGCGCTCGCTGCCCACCTCACCATGGATATAGCCAATATTAGCGCTACTGTTCAAAACCAAATTACACATTTACAAGCAATTTATGTGTTTTAGATAAAGTGATTAGCATAATTTCAATTTGAACACTCATACAGTGCATCCAAAAAAGTATTCACTGCCTTATCACTGCGCTAGTTACGGTGGCGCAGTGGTAAAACACTTATCCGGCGCTTTGTGAAGGGTTTGGCCTGGGTTCGAATCCTGGCTGGGGAGCATTGACTGTTAAACGTATATGTTTCCAAGTGGACAATGGAATGCCCTCTTGGCATTCTAGTATAGTCAAAATCCTTATGGAATCTTGAAGGTCCTGTCTCCAGTGACAAGATAGGGTGCGAGAAGTGCTCATTCACTATTGCATTCATCTGGATATATATAGTACTGTACAGGTATATTATATTATATATATATATATATATATATATATATATATATATATATATATATATATATATAAATTGTATCCACATACTGTAGTTGGATATAAATATAACAGTATAATAAATATAACAATTGTATCCACATAGTTGGCCCTAATATACCTGAGGACCACTAGTGGCCCCAACAAGGATAGGAAGCCAGCAGCTCGTCAAAAGTCCCTCTATGGAAGGTTGTGGTGTGCAAGGCAGGAAGAAGCAGAGAGACTGTAACCCCAGGATTAGTGAGAGTATATGGCACTATAGTGACAATCCTTGATAATATTGTAAGGAATAAAGAGCCGATCACACTCGGTGACATATTAGGTTGTATTAAAAGCTTATCATACTGTATCAGAATAAGAAGATACGGGTGGGTATCACTAACCTTATAATTGTTGCTCCTATTAGTTGCCTGATAGATGTGTACAGTAGTTTGTTATGTATTAGTTTTTGGAGTTGATGTAGTCAGTTAGGGGAATACTGTATCACCAATTGCTTCAGAGTGAAGGGAACAGGAGTGTAGAGGTGGGTGTATCTCCGTTGACACTACAAGAGAAGAATTGCTAATGTGATGAGAGAGGGGTAGGTGGTGACAGTTAAGATGTAGACATTGAGGAGCAGAGATGTAGACACTGTCTTAAATAAAGTATGTATGTGTCTGTTCTTTTTGCTGTTGGCTTACTTCTAGGTAATGCTGAAAAAAAAAGGTCTGGCAGTAAATACCCTATTGTAGTCTGCTTGTGCTGCTGTTTCAAAGGTCAAAGTCTCTTTTACTTTTTCCCCCATTTCTTCCTTTTTTGAGAATTCTGGTGATAATTTACCTTATTGATGTTTGATATGATGACAAATATCTCTCATATTGACTTTTTTGTGCAGCGAGAGCATGGTAAGAGACCGACAGATTGGGCATTATGAAATCCATACTGTACTTTGATCATTTTCAAAGTAAAAACTGCTAAAATAATTTTGCATCCACCCATCACATATGGCTTGTAGAACTTTCAGGGAATAATTGCACAGTCATGCTTTTCTTTAGTTTTTATTATGATCATGTTCCTAGCATTACTATATTACATTATACAGTATCACTTGCAACATTAGTACTGTATACTGTATCAACAAGTAACATTTCTCTAAATATTTTTGTAGAAGCATTCTAGACCCAATATGTATAAATTCTATAATGCTGAATTTATGATGCCAATTTTATTTGCATACAGTATAAATCTTAGCAACTTAGTAATAATTTTTGGTATAATTCATTAGCATAATAAGGCACTGATATAAATATGGAAAAATTTAAAAACACAGAAAAGTTAATTACAGATTCAATATTATGATGTCTAATGCAGATGTTCTCTCTGTAAAATAGTCATACAAAATAAAGACAGTTTTTATGAAGCAATGTAATATTGTAGCTAGAGTTTATAATAACAGCTAATTATCCTGCCTGCATTCAATAGGACCCTTGCAAGCCTCTCCATGAGTAAGTAATACAGTACTGTAGTTCTATATAATATTTTGGCATACCTGTACAATACAGTTCTGCCCATATGTCCGTCCAAGATCAAAATGTATTTCTGTACCTACTTCTATTTACTGTACACTAGTAGTGTATATCACTTTGTGATATATAAACATTTGTACTGTACAGTATATCTAACCTTTTCGTATAAACTAGCTGGGTCCTTCACATCACCAGTCCTATCTCTCCACAACAACAATAACAACAACAACAACATACAGAACTTTAAGCCTTTGGCCTTGCACCTCAAGATCATGCATGTCTTATAAAATACTTACAGGCAGTTTAATTAAATATAATCTTACAAACACACTGAGCAAATTACATACATACATAACACTATGAAAACATTAAATATTCTATATTTCAGGTACATAATGCAAACAATATAACAAACAATTATACATAGATATAACAAATGAATTGTGGTACCATTGACAAGCCACCTTCTTCCTGTCCCCATCAAGGCTACTAGAGAGATGGTATCCTTAGGGGAAAACCATGAAATGGCCATCAATTCCCATGCATATTAGTTTTCAATTTTCAGGGACAGGAAGCCTGTTATTCTTATCAAGAGATATACCCCTCACCAACGTCTAATCCTTTCCCAGGAATGCAATTCACAACAGTTGACCGACTTCTATGTGACCAGAGGCAACAAGTATGCGGAAATGTACCTAGACGTCTCATTCTGCTTGGGAATCGAACTTGGTATCATCAGAGTACATGATGCACACAAAATGTTATCACTAGTTAAATAGTTATCACTATTAAAGAATAAGGTGGACTACCAATCATATGATCTTGAGATGATTTCGGGGCTTAGCGTCCTCGTGGCCCGGTCCTCGACCAGGCCTCCTTTTTGTTACACACCCCCCGGGAAGCAGCCCGTAGCAGCTGTCTAACTCCCAGGTACCTATTTACTGCTAGGTTACAGGGGCATCAGGGTGAAAGAAACATTTTGCCCATTTGTCTCCGCCTCTACCGGGGATCGAACCCGGAACCTCAGGACTATGAATCCGAAGTGCTGTCCACCCAGCTGTCAGGCACCCGATACATGAAATACGCCGCTCTTAATCACATAATACATGAAAACTTAACTACTCACAAGTCAAGCCCAGCCCAGGGCCAGGCTTGACTTGTGAGAGCTTGGTCCAACAGGCTGTTACTTTGAACAGCCAGCAGGCCCACATCCACCACAGCCCAGTTGATTCGGCACTTCTTGCTGAAAAGTGTCCATTTTTTTAATGAATACTTTCACTTTTTCTCCAGCAATATTTGTTATACTTGCTGGGAGGATATTGAACAACTGTACAGTATATGTATATATGTAGAGAGCATGAATGACAATCGTTATCATACCTGAAATTAATATTTTAATATGCATCAATGTTTATTTTAATAAAATTTTAAGTAGTTATTTTAAACCAATGTAATTTAAGAGCATTAAATATAATTTCTTGTTAAAGATGATAAAACAAATATTTCATATTCCAATTTCAGATTGTGATAACTTTGCACCGTACATTTATCGACTATAAAAATAACTCCCCAAATCCATCATCACACTATGTATGAACCCAATTCTGTAATGTTCCATGCAAACATAAATACAATATTTATGTTTATTCACATTTTGTTTCTAAACGTATTGTTATAATGTATACCCTTATAATTGGATTTCTTCACTGTTTCATTCTCTCTCTCTCTCTGGACCCACCCTTCCATGAATGGTCAATGTGCAGAATTATTGAACTTTGAAAAATGTCTTAAATAATCTAAGACATTTAACAAATATTGTATACATTTGATAATAAATTACATAACTTTTTTAATTAACAAGTGCTCGAATTAAAAAATAATTTATGGAAAGAACAAGGATTACCCTAGCTAGAAAGCATATACAAGTCTAAATTATATAAATACCTGTAAATAGAAACACACAAGTCGGGAAAATTACACCATGGGAAAACTGGTATTAATTAGTAAGGTAATGCAGAGGTGCATAAAGTACTGTACACCAGATTGGTAACTGGTGATGCAGTGTGTATCAATGCAGTTTATTACTGTAATGCACCACAGCAGTTTATTACACTGTATTAATGCACTACATTAATACACTGCAGTGATGCACTATAGTAATACACTGTAGTGACACACTGCAATATTACTGCATAGTAGCCACTACAGTGTATCACTGCACAAATTATGACTTTAGTGTATCCCAGAGCTAACTTATCAATGACTACAGGGAGGGGGGGGGAGGGGGGAGCGAGATCTAGCTCTTGATGCCCTGGCTCCTAGCCATATACCTGAGGGCCACTATCTCCCTAGTGGATTTGACAGGGACAGGAAGCCAGGGGATTCACCCAAATTCCCGATTGTGAGTTATCGAACTCGACTGTACTATAAGTGAAAAAATGGGCAAAAATGATTCTCCTGTTTTCTGTCCTACATTGTGGCTTGAGCTTAAAGCTGTTGCACCTAGTATGCATTACATTTGACCTCTTAAATAAGTGGTCTGGATTAATAGCCTCTAACGCGTTCAGACTGTAATTTAAAGGTCTCAATAAGATCAGCCGTCATGTGTGGTTTGTAATATTACCCTCAACCATTCCAACTGCACTACTAGTAATTACCTCTCTCTACGACTCCAGTGTGTGTGTGAGTATCCAGCTTGCACTGATGTCCCCTTGTCTTGCCTAATTTAAGTTTAAATAAGTTGCCCTTGTTCATTTTGACTACTCAAGATCCAGTATGTTGTAATCATATCCCTTCCATTTCTTATTCTCCACCAAGGCAGTGAGTTTGAGTGCCCTCAACTTGCTCTCATATCTAAGCACCCTTAATTCTAGTATTAATTTATCTGCAAATGCAAACCTCTGAACTCAAACCTCACATTTCCTTTTGTGCTTTACAGGGTGCAGGTTCCATGCATAGGCAGTGTATATGGACTTGGAAAGCATCCATGCATTCCAAAGAATCATTGCAGTGCATCACTGTACAGTGTGAACCACTGCCATGTCACTGTAGTGTATCTATCCCAGTGATGTAAAGCCGTAGTGTATATATAGTGTAAAGCTGTAGTGAATGTATAGTGTAAAGCTGTATGTGTGTATCATTGCAGTTATCACTATTGCATCACTGCAATGTTATTACTTTAGTATGTCATTGCAATATATGTATCACTGCAACACAGTAATGTGAATCATTACAGAGTATTACCATAGTGTCTTTATCATGCACTAGATACAACACGGCTAGTAGGCAGGACACAAAGACCTAGACATCCCTTCCTCATAGTCACTAATAGACGAGTGCTGATAGGTAATAAATGACGTGTGTGTGTATGACTGTGGAATATTACCATTATATGTGTATGACTGCAGTGTATCACTGCACAGGGTTTTTCCACTGTAATATGTTTCACTACAGTATGATTGTAATGTAGACAAAAAAAATGTTAAACTAAGGAACAGGGGTTGAGAAAGGAGGAACCCATTTTGCATCCCGCACAAAAGTACTATAGTACCATGAATAACTAAAGTCAAGTGTTCTCTAGATTGCCTGACTTAAAAAAATGAATTTTTTTCTCTGAACCAAACAAAGATTCCCAACTCCTAATCAAGTGAAATTTTAGGAAAACAAATAATAATAATAATAATAATAATAATAATATAAAGATTATTTTACATGAACTAATATAATCATGATACATATTTTTCTCATCTGTTTTGCACTCTAGAATCACTGGGAAGGTTTAGTACAAAAGACCACAGATAGTGTAAATGTAAATTTGTAGTAAGGCACAGATATTATTGGTATAAGAAAAACTTGAACAAGAAACCATGGTAATCAAGTTTTACAACTTCTAAAATGAATGCCATCAAATTCAAGCTGTAAAATGAAAGAAAGCAAAAGAATGCAAAAAGCTTACCTGATACCTTCCATATTTCGAATATGGATAAGTTAATTACAGGAGTAAATTAACAATTATTTAAAACTCTTATGGATGCAGGAAAAATCAATTGAGACAGACTGCAAGCATCCAATGAATTTGCAAAATATATCATACACACATTTAATGCACGAAATGATTTATGATGCTGATCACACTTTCATTTGTTTTTTCTGCATGCATGTTTAATTTGCAAAGAGAAAACTCATGAATATATTCCAGACCAACAGGTCAAAGGTCACAATCACTGTTGCCATAAGTGCATGCTTCGTTCTTGTCCACTTGTTGAACAGTTATATAGTCGTAATGATTTGGCGCTGTTTTATCCCTTGTTCAACAGTTAGTTTCCCAAAAATTGCAAATCCAATCTTTAGGATAATGTCCATGCTGATTAGCTAGTAGTGAGGAAGAAAATGCATTTCCATGACAATTTGACATTTACAAGTTTCATATATACTGTCTTTATCCACAAAACCCTTCAAACCCATAGGCACACTAAAACACACTGATTAAATATATCTAAACACGTTTCTATAAACCCATATATGTTATGGATTAATCATCTGCCCTTTAAAATTTAACAATTGAGAAAAAGGTGGGTGTGCACATGATAGTAGTAAGTAACTGGCAGATAATGTGAAATTCTTATAATTTGCGAGGTCAGTAATTAATCTTTCTTTGAGTTCTGACAATACAAAAACTTTCTTCACAGGTTTCGTAACCTTGGTTTCCTTGGGCTCGGAAACAATGCTAGGTGTACTTGGAGAGCTGGTACTGTACTTGGAACTGGATACACTGGGAGTTATACTGGCAGCTTCCATGCCAGATGTATTGCCACCAAGTCCTCTTTCAGCACTCTCGCTCAGAGATGAAAATCGAGGCCCGCCATCTTTTTTAATTACTTTAGGGCTTGCATCGTTTTCTACCATTATTTCTCCCTGAGAAGAATCTTCCTGTTTTATCTCATTGTGCTGATTAACTACTTTCATCTTTGGCTCCTCATCATCACTATCGTTACCTCCGGATTCAAATTTGTTAAAAGCACTTCCTGCAGCAATATCTTTATTGCTGTTAACTGTACTTGCTTCATAGTCCAAGATATTGTTAGGATTTATGTCCTTTTCTTTTGTGAAAGTATCTGAAGTATCTGTTCTTTCAGATTTTAGATTTTGCTTTTCAACATCTCCAGACTTCACATTTTGTGTGTTATCTTTATTTCCAATAACATGGCTAAGAGGCTGATGGATTGTTAAAATATTTCCATGTTCCTTTAATGTATTAATGCTATCTTCAATTATAGCCTCATTGACTGTCAACTTACTTTGTTGATCTGGTGACGGAGGCTTAGTCTTTCCCTCCTCACAGTCCTCTACAATTGGAACTGGATTTTCTTTTTTAATCTTGTTTCCTTTGTGCTGTACCCAGGGTGCTGTAGGATCCAAAATAAGGCTTACTTGGTCAGACACAGGCAGCGACCAGTCATCATCCTTTGTGTAACAGCACGCTAAGGCTCCTGGGTCCACAGGATGAGCCTCTGGAAAATACAAATTTATCATACACTGTATAAATAAAAACCATGAAAATTTCCTTCAATTCACATTTCTAATACCTAATAAAGTGGAATTAAAAGTAAGTAATTATCAAAAGAAGGCACCAAGCCAGGGAGGGTATGTAAATGGAATTAAAAGTAATGCACAATATCAAACCTTTCCAATACTGTATTCTTTGGTGAGCTGCTTTAAAGATTTATAATGCAGATAAAACAGTTTTTTGGGGGAACTGTACACCTATAGATGGTGTATCTCCATAGGAAGTGAACACCCACAGGTTGTACACATCCATACAAAGTATAATGGTACCTAAGCTTACAAATTTAATCCGTTCCCAGAGACAGTTCATAAGCCAAAAATTCATAAACCAGAGCAAATTTTCCCATAAGAAATAATGTAAATTGAATTAATCCGTTCCACACTCCCCACAAAATTAACTTCAAAGTAAATTTTATACCTAATTCACATAAATATTCAGTATTAAAGTACTGTATGTACACGTTATTGCTTACCTTTACTGACGAATTTGTTGGCGTATGGAAGATGGTGAGAATGGGGGGAGGAGGAGAGGTGTTAGTGTTTGGAAGGGGAGTCCCCTTCCATTATAACATCAGGCAGTGATGACTTCTCTGGGGTACACACACTGGCATATTTTGCCTGTATATCACTAGGACGTGCTTGTGGCTCACTGCCTAATTTTCTCACTAAAAATCTACCTATAGAGGATTGTTTTTCCCTTCGTTGTAACACTTGTCTGTAGTGAGGCATCACAGTGTCATTATAAAGGTTAAGGCAACGGCCTACTACAGCTTGCTCTGGGTGAGTCATTTCAACAAAAGTTTGCATTTCTTCCAACAGTCTACACCACTTCCTAATTGTTGAGAAAGGGACATTCTGTACTGCCTCCTCCTCCCTAAAGACCTCTCCTCAGCTGCTCCTTGTGAAGGGCTAGGAGTTCTTCAGTGGTCAGTTCTTCACTGTGTTCCTCCACCAACTCTACATCAGCCCTATCCAACTCCAAACCTAATTTCCGGCCCAGAGTAACAATTTCCTCAACAATAGGCACTTCAGGTTCAGGCTCAAACCCCCTCATAGTCTAGTTCTAAAACACATTCAGGCCACAATTTAAGCATTGAACCACTGGCTTTCATGGGACCCATGGCGAGATATATAATAACTTTTATGTTGAAATACCCAAAAATCCGAACAACACTGATATTCTTTACAAAGAATTCAGGCGCGATTGTCACTAGTCGGGAGGCGCTGGTAAACTGAGGCACAGTCATTGTACCACCACGTGCCAGGTCGGCGATATGCGTACCCACATACTTCGTTTCCCGAGGCAAAGTTCATAACCCAATTAGGATTTTACGAAGAAATTGGGCTCGTAACCCAAAAAGTTCGTAAAAAGGGACATTCGTAAGCCGAGGTGTCACTGGGAGTTTACATCTAACATGTATATACAGTGGAAGTGTTTGTCCACAGGAAGTGAATACTCATATGAAGTACTGTACTGTATATACTTGTATAATGTATACCCATATACAGTGTAGAGTACTGTATAAGCATTGGAAGTGTATACCCATATAAATATTGATACCCACAAAGTATATACTGATAGGAAGTGTATACATTATACTTTACATCTATAAAATGGGCAATATACACTAAATGGCAGTGTACACAGTATACATCCACCTGAAGTGTGTACACACCTAGTCAAAAGACTTTGCATTCTCAGCAAAATCCTAACTTCACTGTCACGAAAGTCAAAGAAAGGCAAAAGCCTGCCAGTGACAGAAAAAAATGAAAAAATACTGGTGAGGTCGATCGACATACAAATGCTTAGAAGTAATGTTGTGACTAAATGAATCTAAACCAGTGCGTATCTGAACAGTTTAGGCCTGGAATCAGATCCCTGAGACTCTGCAACAGGAAGGGGCACCTCTAGAGCAGAAACTTCTGTTGAATGCAATACCTAACAGAGGAAAACTCAGCCCTTGTCAGTACGGTAAGCATAAAATGAGAAATGACAGTGAATACATACACACACAAAAAATTCAACAATGCACAAGCCCACAGCACACAGAGACAGTCTCAGCATGAATTGAATAATCTTCCTCACTGAATGACTGTGATCTTAGAAGAGAAGTGCAATCACTGGCTGTATACATACTATTGCTGTATGTATTGTTGATAACAACTGTAGATAACATACCGTATGTATGTTATCTATTGCATACTATGCTGTATACTATTGGTGTTGTCACCTGGTAGCAGGTGGTGGCCAGACAGAAAACTAGTTACTGGTTGTTAGTACGTGAACAATATCTTGCAGTTGGCAGCCTCTTTGATTTCATTTATTGCTTACCAGAACCTTTTGAGTAAAGAGTTAAGTACTCTCTGACTGTCATTCCAGAGAGGTGTACAAAGACGGAATATCACACTGATCCAAGCTGGAGGTCACATGTACCAGAAAATGTGGGAGATTACCTACGGAAGCAAGTGCTAAGGAGCATTTTATTTAAATTCAACTAATTATTTTTCCACTCTTTACTGAATACCTATTCGAATATTAATATTTAATATTCCCTCTACCCCCCCCACCCCAGCCACAAATTCAGAATGTTTGAGATGTGTAGTAATGAACAAAATATAATCCAAAAGTTCCACAAAATACAAGAACATGACATGTGTGGGAGCCCAACACAACGCTGAAAATGCTGTAAATCCACAAATCAGTTTTGATTAAGCACATTCAAGCCTTCTTCCATTAAAATTCACCTGCACTGCTTAAAATTTGACATATAAGTGCTTACCTGCATACCACTGAATACATAATCTTTGATACACAGAAACAGAACAGGTACTTCATAGTTACAATGTAAAGAAGGAAAAAACAAGCTTATTAAGTCTCTGAAATTTAACCCTATTTCTTACAATAGCCTATAAAGTTAATTTTCCTCTGAATGAGTCTTTTCCAGGAACCCATATTTTGTGTAAATTATGGGGACCCAGTACAGTATTAGTATATCTTACCCGAATTATAAATATATCCACCAGCTTCAATGATACACTCTCTATTGCCAACTTTATGAACTTGTCCTGTCACCCCAGTGTTATGCATCCAGTTTTCAGAGTCAAAGAGCAAAAACAGGTACTTTGTTGTTTCTGCCAAGAAAAAACTTTCCATCCTGTTCTCTAAAGTATGGTCATTCACATTCTTTACCTGAAAGGGAAAAATGCTTTTACTTGAGATACATGAAAAGAACCTTAAAAACATTCTGTTTTATAAATATATTAATCTTTTTCCATTATGAGTAAAGTACTGTATGTGTATAGTATTCTGCTTTTCCAGCTTCTTACCGTCTAAATTTTGCCACTTCTAAGATACTGTACTAAACACTGACTGAAAATAAAAATTTCAATCATTTTATCAAGATGTTTAATGTTACATACACAAGAGCCCCTAACTTGAAACCTACCGTATTATTACACGCAACATAATACATTAAGTATTCTTTTTCTCCTTTAAGCAAAATCAGTGTTCAATTTGAAAATAAAATTTTATCTGCATTCACTTGAGAAAAAAAGTTTGTCTTCAAGTGAATGCAGGAGTACAGTACAGCTTATTCTTTCTGAAGCCACTCCACACATTCTTGTTTCTCACTTCAACCAAGTGGCAACTGTTTCACCTATATGATAACCAAACCAGGTAGCAGAGTTCTTTAGTAAAAGTTTAGTTAACATCCTATATATAATCACTTCCTGCAAGATATGAAAATTCTGATGGAAACAAAGTGTTAAATGATAAAGGTACTAATAAATACATGGATTTATGTAATTAACTTAAGGATGTATCACTGTTTAGCTGTTGACTGATTAAGTTCTATAACAATATTATACAAACAAAAGTATCTTCTTACTGTGGCATAACCACATTCAGTTTTAGCTGTATGCTGTATGCTAGTCAGAATATCAGCACCCATCTCCAAAAATGTATCATCATTGGTAGCTTGGAAGAGATACATCAGACTCTCTATAAGCTCTGGTCGCAATGGGTAGCCTTCACGATTCACTGGAGCTTCAGCCTGCAAGTAAATTACAAAAAAAAGGAAATATATGAAAAATGCTGGATTTCAAACTACTGAACGCTTGCCAAGTCACCAAGTCTGATACCATTCTTATCCATCACTCTCACAAAAATACAAGCAGCAAGATTACATCTATTATGACATTAGAAAGCAAGGTTACAAGGAACTTGAATTATTCTTGTAATAGAAGTTGATAAATGTCTGCTATGTCATGTTCAGAGCACTTCTAAAGATCATTATCTTATCCCATTATAATATAATTACAAATTAATTAAATAAAATACCTTTGGTAATACATAATAATAAAAAAACTAAGAGTACAGTAAATACTTCCAATAGGAAAAAACTGATAGTGCAATACAAGGCAGAAAGAGGCCCACACAAAGTGAGACCACTGTATTTAAAGCGAGACAGACGAATAGACAAAAATTAGTTGCAGAGATAAAAATCACCCAGACTGCAAAACTATGGATATATAAACATGGGTATATAAAATATAACAATATAAACCATAACCATATAACCTATAAGTACTTTATATAAACTATGGCCATGAAAACTGTCAATGCAAACTGTCAATGTATATTATGATCATAAACTATGGCAATTATAGTACAAACACTTAAACAATATAGCCAGGTTAAAATATGTACACCAGATAACCCAAGAGATAAAAAATTATGCAAATTTACTCCTATTGCTAGGAAAAAAAGCTCACCATACTTGGATCTATCAAGAGTGAAACTTAAAAGTGTCAAGTACAGTAGTTGAATTTAGTATTCACAGAGATTCTAATGTAAGGCCAGAATTGTGTAGATATATTAAATATTAAGAGCAGACCACACACTAGGAGGTGAAGGGACGACGACGTTTCGGTCCGTCCTGGACCATTCTCAAGTCGATTGACTTGAGAATGGTCCAGGACAGACCGAAACGTCGTCGTCCCTTCACCTCCTAGTGTGTGGTCTGGTCAACTTAATTTAGCCACGTTATTGTGACACATAGCCTGTATATTAAGAGCAGCTCAAGGTAGGACACTGAAATAAGGATAACATATCTAAGCATCGGACTAAATAAGGAACACAGCGAGTCCAAATACTCTGCGGAAAAAAAACAGTCACTGACCATTTTAAAAAGGCTGTTGTATGGATTAAAGTATTTTATAAATTTGAAAGTATTGAATCTGTTACTTCACTATAGTAAACTTACATATTTCTCACCTGTGGAATGCTGTAAAATTCTGGAGTGAACCCAAATTGCTTCCACACCTGATGATAATTGAAAATTATCTTCTGTGCAGAATTAATATCACCTGCAAGTGCATTTCAGTATTAGGGAATTCCATCATCATGATCATTAACCCAGTTTCCAATTTCATTAAGAATTCAGAATTACCGCAGTTACTTTCATACATTTTAAGATTTATGAATACTACAAGTTCTTCCTCAAATAGACCTTTCAACACAAGTCTAAAAAATTTGAGCTGAAAATTGTTTGTCATATTGCTTTAATTGGCATTGCTTTTATATTGAAAATATTTTTCCTCGTTGTATTTTATCATCAAATTAGGAACAAATAGTGTTTTAGCATTTGTGCAATTCAAAATAGGCGAGTTAATTTGAAATCTCCCTTCTGATCTGTATCATTCAGCTGCTCCCTCTGTTAAAATCTCAATGTGTCTTGCATATGTGATATTCAGTCAGGCAGGGAAGACAAACACCCTTGTACTATAGGGAATGCTGAAGCATATCTGCATACAGTAGTTATAATATTTTGAACAAGTCACTAGTGAAATAAATAAATTCAGCCAGGAAATAATCTCCAGCAGTCAATGCAAAGAAAAATCAAAGCCTTTCCAAGACCTTGCTTGGCATCAAAAGTAATTGTCAAACGAGTGCACTAACCTCCAGCTTAGCTGCACGGTCATCCTTATCAGACCCCACCAGTTGGTTACTACAGTAATTTCCCAGCCCAGAGTCTATTGACACGAACTAGACCACAAACTTACTAAGAATGTTTGAACAAATGAATGAAAGAATGAATGAAAGAAAGCTCTGCACAAAGAAGCTTGGGGGGACAATTTATGGGGTATTATGAGCAGCCAAATAATTATGGGCTCAGAAGTAAGCTGTTAACACTTATATTCAGGAGTTAGAGCAGATTTCATGGTGTAAAGTCTTCCACCCTTCTTAGCTAGCCACACTAAGGATGGTTGTGTTTATTCAACGTTTGTGAAGCTATTTATTGTCTTAAAACTTTGATTTGGTTTCAAAATGTTTGCAAATAAATAGTCGTTAGTATAGACAGAAAAAATTGAACAGGCATTTAGGTTTATGATAGGCATCAACAAAAGTTTATAAACATTTGAACAACTTGGTCATTTTTGTTCATAAAGATTGTTTTATGTACTGTAAATGTCTGCAAATGATTTATCTACTGCATAACATTGTATACAAAGAACTACATTTTGAAAAATCAAGCTATGAATGTAATGAAATGCCTTTTCTGATGAGTCCCCCATTGGCTAACCGAGCTAAACTCTGGTACCATAAAACCTTAGCCAAACATACTAGGCCTCTAAAACCCTTCCATAGCCTACTGGGATCTAGGATTAGAGTCTGGCTCACTCAACAAGGAGAGGGAAGCAGGGACTGAAATATACGACACAACTGGGAAAGATGCACCTTAGCCCAAGCACAAGATAACAAGCAAACGCTTGAGGAAAACTTGGGACTCCTAGGTAACAAAGGGAAGTCACTAGCCTCGGCTCACTGCACGGTATTGTGGTCCATGTCACAGGTGTTATGTTATTTAGGCTGAAAACAAACCATTCTGAATATGTTAACTAAATACTGTATCATCATCATCCAGAGAGTCAGGAAGGTTTTCTTTTAAGGCCCTACAGAGACTTTTCAGCCTATGGAATTGGTGCCTGTATGTTATTGTTGTCTGACCATTGTTGATCAGTTAATATGCAGCAAATCAATATACGGTACCTCTAGGACACAAAGTAATGTAGCTCATAAAATAGAATCTCACTGCCAATTCTATATGACTATTTAAATACCTAAGCCCTAATTATATAAGATGTCAATTTCTACTCACATCCTCCACAATTAGTGTACAGTAGTACTTTAGTACACAGTACTGTATATATCTGTATATATATACCTATATAACAGAAGAGAAAGATGACTTTTATATAACAAGAAAGATACAAGAAACCTATATGTAATGATAAACTCAGACATACCTAGAAGAGCAAGTACTCCAGGCCAATATGCTTCCAGTGATTGGAAAACTGCCATTGTGACATATCCTTTAGTCATCGTAGCCCATAAGTACCAGTCTTCGTGGCGGAGGTATTTATCAATAGCAGTTCTAGCTTGATTAAATATCCTCATTAGCTCAGGTTTTTGCAGAAGAGCGGCTCCTTTTACAAGATATTCAAAATAAGAGTCAATACCAGCACCTGAAATACAGGAAAAATATATAGTGGACCTCTTTTGTTTACTGTGTCATTTATTGGCATTGGACTTTATAATAAAAGCATTGTAAAAAAAAAAAAAAAAAAAAAAGGCTATGAGCTTGTGAAAAGATTTTTTGTGAGTAAATTCTTTTTGCTGCTCCCAGAAATATACTGATCCACTAAGCTTCTTAAGGATCAACTGGCAGTCAGGTTGGAATATATATATAACATATCACAGGCTTTATGGACAATGCTTGGCTAGCAGACATGCATAAGCAGCGATTGTGCATCAGAATCTATGTTAATGAATAATCAACCACCAAAATTCAGTAGCTGCCTAAAATATGGCTTTGGTGATAAAGCATTAAGTTGTGGCAGAATATCTGAATAGTTTGCAAGGTTCTCAGATGTATAAACCTTAGTCGACATTGGTGGATGTCAAAGATTTCCACGAGAGTACAGTAATTATTATGGGAGCTGACAGCTCATATCACACAATTATTTCTGGAGATTTTGCAATATGATGTACAGTATCTCAGTTAGGGTCATCTCATGATGGCACTGTCTGCACAAATGTTTCGGTCAAAGTACAACACTGCTGCTCTTGACCTTCGACCTTCTTTACCAGACTTTTACTTTTTCCACAAACTGAAAGTGTGGCATGAATGGAGAGACATTACAGTTATTTGCAGCACATCATTGTAGATGACAGGTATTTCAAAAAGTGGATATTTCAATTTCAGATGTTCCTCAGAACGTGGCAGGTCCCTTGGAACACTGTACAGTATTTAAGTGGGAGAACGTCTTTGGAGGGGGATATAATTCATTTGTATGACTATAAACATACCTATTCCAGAATCCTGAGCTGCCCATCTTCCTGTTAAGACATCAATATGATTGCCAACAAGGTTTATTGAAGAACGGTGATCCCAGACACCATGCAGAGCACGCATAGCCACCTAAGAATAAAAATATTAATAACGGAGGCAAATTTGGTAAAGAAAATTTTAGGACACAAATTTTCGAGTTGACAAATCAATGTAGGAATCAACATATAGTATGGCATACAAAACAAAATATTTTATGTTTATTATCTTGTTATATTAGGAATATACATCACAGCTTATTATATTTTATGCATGTGATATATACCATACAAGCCATACTTCATAATATACTGAAGGGGAAAACTAAGATTGATTGATTGATAAAGATTAAGCCACCCAAGAGGTGGCACGGGCATAAATAGCCCGTAAGTGGTACAATTTTTTGTTCAGTAAATCTTTTCAGTGGAAAAACTAAGTTAATTGTCTGAAAAACATCAATTTCAAGAAATATTTATTTCTGGAGTGGTTACACGGGACTATATGACTCACAAGCAATATAACAAGCTTTTATCAGTCCAATACATATGCAAACCATAGGGGTTCTCGAGGTCCAAATACTTGAGCTACAAACATCCTTATTTGTAAACATGTACTCAACATCCATATCCCATACATCTAAACCTATGTATACACAAAAATACCTTGTATACATAGAGGCATTCATATAAACACTTTAGTTTATATTTGCTGGCCTGATAAATGTACTGTTTGAGCAATCTAAATCATTATGTTCTGAGAAACCTCTAGAACCAATTACAGTACAGTGTTGTACCTTGTATAGACTAATCTTTGCTCTTCTGTATTAAGAATAAAATGCGTAGAAAAAATATTTTGTTAAGAATTAAATTTCCAACCCAACTTAGTCTTACCTCTTCATAGACTGGATCACCAGTAAGTCTAGAGAGAGTACCAAATTCTATAATGTATGTGCCTACACCAGCTGTACAGGTAATTGGCGTCTCTCCCTCTGGAACGCCATCTCTTAGGTTCACCGTGCCATATGGCATTCCTGTTGAGAATAATGACAAATTTAATGCAATGTACAATGTTGAACTTTCAAACAAATGCAATCAATACATATTCATTCATTATGCAGTAATTACAATACTCCCTCCTCACTTTCACAGGGTGAAAAGGACTCAGCCTAGAATAATAAAAAAAACAAATATAGTGAAAGGAGGTTATAACTACTGAAGAATAAAAAATATACTTCGATCATTCATTATATCATTGATACTACAGTACATTGTTTCTTGGATAAACTTGCACCATCACACTTCAACAATCATATCATGCACGTCATATGCTACTGATAAGCTCAATTTCTAACCTGTTGGAGTATCAAAAGCAGGAAGAAGTCTATCAGCAACATCTTTTGATATCCTCAGAAGAGGTCCTGCACAGGGCCAGCCATCTTCCACTTCAATGCCCATTCTGAAAAGTGAAAAAAAATTCTATACAGCATTATTTTCTGAAATAAATATATTTGTTTAGATTGTTACATGCATATAGTCCCTGTGGGGACCAAGCATACTCGCCCTACATCTCGTGAGCTAATTTGTCAACATTCGAGAGACACCAGCTTCCTAGATTGTCACACAGATAGGCAGGTGTGCTGAGTGCAACAAAAGATTTAGGTAAAGCAGACATTAACCCCAATCAACATCACTGAATGAAAAAAAAAATAGCACAAAGCAGCTACAAATTACAAAGAATTGCAGTATTTACACAGCTGCAATTCTTGTAAATTGTAAGTGTGTATAATTTTTTAACACTTAGAAATGATAACTCTACTGTATCTTGGATTAGGGTATTACATTTTCAGAAGCAACAACCAGTACAAAGTAATAAATATGCTTTAATAGAAATTAATTTCCTAGACTACAGTATAATGAGATGAAAATATAAATTAGATGTATAGTACTGTATACTCACTTTTTAGACATGAGATGGCCACTCAGAAGCCCACCAAGTATTCTTATGTTTGTTTCAAATACAGAAACATTGATGTTTACATCAAAGTTTGCCTTTTCTATAATCAGCTCTACCACTCTTCGAAATTCTGTTTTGTTTCCCATGACACCCAGAGTATCTAGGGCATCAATTAATGTTAGAGAATAGCTGTGAAAAGAAAATATTAAAAATTAACATTATATACACGTACAGTATATATATATAATAGTATTTTGTATTTACATTCATTTAGCATTTTAAGACATTGAACGAATATAACTAGGTAAAGGGTTTAAGATGGTTAAGGAGTTCATATATACAGTAATGTATTTGATATGAACACTGTACAGTCAAATATCCCTCAAGTCAATATGAACTGCAGCCCATCAATTTGATAAAGTTTTCTGCTGCATGGAGATTTTTTCAGTTTTATACTATTTAGCAAGGACAAAAATCACATTTTGGAAATTACACATGGCAAATTTTTTAAAAGAAGGTTCAATATGCTAGGATTACAAGAGGCAAAGATGATAATGAAGAATAGAATGCAATAAAGTTATAAGAAACTGAAAAAGAGGAGGAGGAGGAAGTATACCTGTTAATGAAGTGGCAAAAGACAATGAAATGCAGGTATTTGTGTATGATATGAAATGCAGGGTGTTAGTGTGTAAAATGATTAATTTGTATGCAAAATGCAAAAGAAAAGTATAAACAAACTAAATATCTACACTGTAACCAGTTTTATGCACTGACAAGCTGACTGTGTGGCAGCCCAACCCCATCTATCAATGGGGTTGGGCCCAACCCTAACAACTTGCTGTTAGCATCACATGCACTGCCCAAGCCAGATACATGCAATGTTAGGATGATAATAAGGTACAGTAGATATGATAGTGATAGATATACCATTCAGATTGACTACCAGCCAGCAATCCTTTGCATCTTGACATAAATATTATATAAAAAAAACTTAGCTTTACAGTATTTTTAACCAATTTATCCAACCTCATGCCATCTGTAACATTCCTGACTTCAAAGACATGAGTGTAGAGTATAAGCATATAACCAGTCAAGGACAGGAAGCCAGTGCATGGTTTATTGAAGTCCCCCAGATAATAATAATGTGTTAGAAAAAATGTATGCAAATACTGTCTCCTCACCTGCCCCAAGTGTCATGACCATCACATGACAGTGGTCGTAATTCATCATAGGGGTAAGCATACTTCATGTACCCCTCATAAGCATGATAAAACATACCACGAACATCCTCCCTGAAAAAGTAAATATGAACTGTATAATATTTCCATTAATTTCAGTGTAGTTATATTACTATAACAAGACATCACAACATTAGCCCTCCAGTACAATTTCACAACACATGCAGGACTTATGACTACTATATATCTCTACAGTGAGTCGAGAACTTATACACGGGTTGACCTCACCATACATTAAGCAAATGTCTTCATTTACTTTTTGTGCTAGTATACTCTTAAAAATATAATTTGTGTTAGGTCAAAGTAAGGTTAAATTAGGTATGGGATGGTCAAGCACAATACAGCCGAGTTGGCACTGTCATTTTCCTCTCCCTCGCTCAAATATTTATTTGATTTGATTAATCTTTAGAGTTTGCTTATTGTAAATAATGCCTATACAGTACTGAACTACAGTATTTATGTGTAAGTTCATGAGGCCTACAAGCATCTAACCTGTTCACCTCATGACCATTGTATTGATCAGAAATTTGAGGGAAATGAAAACAGTTTGTAATGTACTTACTTCACCACACATGTAAACTGCTTAGCTTAAAGAACAATGGGGCCCAGTTCCCAAACCCACTATGAGACTAACCTCTCTGACACCACCCATAAGACTGGTACTGTATACAGTCTGCAATACTGTGTACTGTACTTATCAAATTAAACTTTATTAACACAGCAGGAGGGAGGGAGGGAATTATCAGGGGGAAAGCGCCAAGCCATTAGGACTACTGTATATAGCACATGGAAGGGGTCAGAATAAGGACGTTGGGATGGGACAGAGGAAAGGAATGGTGCCCAACCACTTGGAGGGTTGGGGATTGAGTGCCGACTTGCATGAAGCAAGACTGTCGCTCTACCGTTCTAGCAAGAGTTGAAGCATTTAATCCAATGATTACCATTTCAACAACCATACTATATAATCAAGCATGATTTATACATTAAATGTTGTCACAACATATACACCTTTCTTCATTACTGTCACCTAAATATTGCATGTCAATTGCTAATTTATTTGAACAAGTCATATATGTTAGCTTTACTTCTTATTTGGTACTGTATTGTTTACCCCATTAAACCTATTAATAATTTAACTTAATTATTTTAAGTTATGGTCAAAAACACTTTGTATACTAGTGGCTTTATTAAATATGCATCTGCATCTTTATATAACAAATAAGCTACAACTGTAACATGTTCTTCTGCTGAATATTTTTTAAATAGAAATAACAATTATGAAGTGCCCTATTTCCAAGCATTTATGTTTAAAACAAGGTGACTGCCAGTATGGAGAGGGGAGTTATTCTCTTGCATGTCTGTGTATCAAAGTATTTAGTCACTAATGTGACATGTTCTGAATGATCTGTAACCATATTCCTAAGTTGTATAATAATAATGTGAATTTACACCGAGGTTTAGCTCAGTGTTTAGCTCACTCCTTAATAAAACCAAGTCTGACTGTCATTTTATTCCTGATACATATCACTTATACTTAAGTAATACCTAAATATAATTTAGACTTAGTTCATTTATTATTTAACAAATGAGTAAAGAATATACAGAATTGTTATCCAGAGCTCATAACTGTAGTATCACAGTTTCCCGGAGGGAGATGTTGGTTGAATGAAAATTGTGCCATATTTTGTTATAATCTACGTGGAGACAAAATCCAGTACAGTCTGGGTGCCAATAATATATTTACTAACATTTGCATGTGTTTATGATATATCAGTATTCAAATATCAGTACAGTATACAAATATTTGATGTCTTGTTTTTTCACCATTAATGATAAACTATTACAAATGATGACCATTTCTTTTACCCCTCTTTTCTCTTAAAATTCCTATACTACCAGTACTAGACTATTGACTGTGAAAGCATTAGGGGCTAATCCTGAAGAAACAAAATCCAAGAGTAGAAAACTGTTACCCAATGCTGAGTACATTTAGTTCTAACAAACAAACATTCTAACAAACATGTTAGAAAACTTTCACTGGAGATCAGACCAAAGTTACATATTAACTAAGAGTTTAAGTGTGGGAGACCACTGCAAGAGTTGGCAACACCTAACCAACTAAGCTTAAGTTTATTACACACAAATCCTTTTGACCATGTTGTAGCTCAGTCGATTAAGGCAGCGTCTGGGATGCTCTCGGACACAGGTTCGAATCCTCGTCACGGCCCTTGTGGATTTGTTCCTAAGCTTAAGTTTATTCGTCCAGAAACAATGGTCAGCTGGAATGGGATGATACTGCTCGACCCCCACGCGAGAGTAGAAACTCATTATTGGTAAAATTATTAAGTGTGCAATATACAGCAACTTACCTTAATTTAATTCTCTCACGGTCAGTCATCCCAGTTGAAAATGACATTAAAAAACATACTTGAAAATACAGTAAAAGTGAGAACATAGTCATGGTCGTCGCTGCTGAGTTGTTATGACAGTTGTCAAGTGGCTCATATGTACACCTCGTATATACAATATCAACAACTTATATTACAAACATTTCAAGCATTTGATTTTCTTTAAAAATACAATAATAATTAATTATAATAAAAAATATTTTATTATATCACACAACAGTCTTGTATATTGAGCTAGGAAGTTATAACAAACTTAATATTGTAACACGGAACATTAAACCAAGGCCGTAAACACGCAGCATTCGAGTATATAAAATAATTTAGAGCGAGTCGCTCAAGGCTCACACCCATGTTAAACACTTATAGTTAATGATAAAAAAACACTCTTAGAATGTCAAAGTTACAGGAAATACAATTTCAAAGTTGATTATATTTTTCTAAATAATCCAGCTGGTGAGCTGTGATTGGCTGTCTGGGCCCCCGGCTACAGCTAGCTCACAAATAGCTCCCAGGCTAACTCTAGAGCCAGACTAATTAATATGCTGTACTGTATTTACCATTGAGTAACCCTTCAGTAGCAGTTTAGGCACGGGAATCGAATCCGGAACCTTTCGGTTGTAAACGGATTGCGCAGACTGCTACGCTACAGGGGCGCTCTTTATGCTGAATTGCACCTAAGCATCTTCTTAGGGCATACTTAGGAACCTTCGTAGGCAACCTACTTACGAAGAAATACATGGAGCTTCGTGAATCTTGGTCTGATCCCTGGATGGTCGTCGCCCCTCAACAATATATAATGTTGATTCTCTTACGTTTTGAGGCTGCAGCCATATCTGTCGCCCCTTGTGTGTAGTATTAATAAAACGTTTTGAAGATGTGGTCTAGATTAATATTTTTCAGTTTCATCGGTAGTTAAAGGTTTCTTAGTACAGTTGGCGTCGTTCTAGAAGCAATTTATTTATATATACCGTACAAGAGTACAGTATATATATACTGAACGCTCCTGTGCCAGGCAAGTTACGGGCTCACCATAGCCCATGCTACTTGGAACTTGTTTCGAGTAGCTAAATCTATAACAACAGTTCCTACGTTCTTGTAAAGCCACTAGCACGCATAGCGTTTCGGGCAGGTCCTTAATCCCAAATTTTCCTCTGTATTTGACCCGCCAAATCGTTTAACAACGTACCCATTCACTGTTGGGTTAACACAGGCTACAGTTAAAGATTGGCGCCCAGTCAATCCTCCTTGGTCAGGATACGAAAACAGGCCAAATCGCCAGGCGAGTGTTTTACCACTGCGCCACGGGGACTGCTAAATCCTATAATCTGGGATGATGAATTAGATTCCCGGGAGGGACAGAAATGGTTTGGCTAGTTTCCTTTCATCTGCCTTACCTTTCGGTGATTTCGGGGCTTAGCATCCCCGCGGGCACTGTCCTCGACCAGGCCTCCATAGCCTGGTCGAGGGACCAGGCTATGGAGGCTATAGAGCTATTGTAGTAATGATGGGTGACCAGGCCATTTAGCTGTTTTCACTAACTCATCTTGCAAGCATAAATTACTACATAACCCCAAAGCCTGACTTTTGTAAATATGAGTTTGCAGGTTATCATAGGTGCATCAGGAATAGAAATGAGAGTAAGAGAAGACGTTATCTACTTTATATGTACAACAGGTTGGTGAAGTATGATGGTAACAGATCATCTGTGACATTTTCACTAGTTTTTGGCTGGTGATGTAGAGCTTGTGATGTCATCTCTGCTTGGGAAGATTCTGAAGGCTACAAATAAAATTACAAGAGATGCTGCTTCCAGTTAAGCATGGACGACAACTACAATACTGTACCATCCTATTAGCGTTTCTGATGTAAGCATATCAGGTAGACATTGGAATCACTTCAGTAGTGTACGTCAGACAAGATGGTTCTGCAAGAATTGTGGCCAAGAGGATGCAACAGATGATTTAGCAACAGAAAGCCTGCTTGACTCCAATGGTTTTGAGCAAGCTAGGTATGGATGACCTTCAGGTGGGTTAAAAAAAAAAAAATATATATATATACAGTACACTACTTGGAAACTTAAGTGTTTTTTCTGCATTTGTTATTGCTAGATTTTCATAATTTGCTTATTTCATCATACTCCCTATGTTCATACCTTTAGTGCTCAAAGTGCAATTATCCTCACGTGTTGATTGTTTAGTCTAGTGCAATGCAGTTACCACAAAGATCTACAATTGTGTCAATGTCTAAATACTGTACAAACGTTGCTCATACGATTCCAATATACCAATGGTCTCTCCCAACAATCACAGGTGGGACCATACAATAATTTGGAGTCAACACACTTCCTCTCCAGCTTCCCACCATCAACATAAATGACAGCACTTTCCTGGCTAGCATAATGATCTTCACTGCACATATGGCATCCTTGGTGATATTTAGCGCCCTCTGATTATCCCGGACATTTGATGGTGCTACATGGCCTTCCCGGTTTGGTGCCTTCTATTGATAATTACTTACGTCACTGCACATATTTTCTGTAATATTTTTAACTTTTGTGGAGAGATTTCTTATTTGGAATATATTGTATGAAAAAATACTGTATATATTTTTTGTTTGACCCTGGCTCCCATTAGCATGTCATACTGACAAGGTGCCAGAAGGAACACTGACTGCCCAGCCCAAAATAATAAAATACAATTTTTTTTTATTGTCTATGCTTTTAAATATAAATTTATCGGTCAGTAATAAAGTTTTTGTTTTTGGCACACACTCGGGGCCAAATAGTACAGTATTATTTTCGAAGTTTTAGTAGGTTTTGCACATTATATACAAAATTATGTATATTCATTATGCGTTATAACACACAAGTAGGTCTGAAGAAGGGTGTTAAAATTAGACTCATAGTAATATATATTATTTAAAGACATATCAGTAAAAAGTGTTCACAGTAAATGTACAGCCGCCTTTACAAAAATATTTAAAATAGCTTATGTACTGTAGTATATAGGACATGGAAAGTGATGGATCTACTACAAAAAGTTCCCAAATTTGTTTGCAGACTCATTTTAGAGGTTTAAATTATAGACATCAAAGTATTTTTGTTAACTTCTGGCCATCATTGATATAAAATCTTTCATCTAAAGAAATGAATGGTGCATTGAAATTAATAATATATCACTGACAAGAATGCTTGCTTCCAAAATTTTTATTTTATCATTAATGGCATATTTAAAACAAATGATTCAAAATTCACTTATTTTTGTACTATATAAAAAAGCCATAATGGTCAAGTTTTGTAACTATTGAGTTGGAAATAATAGCCATCATTACCACTCACCAACACAACAAACACAGTAGTGAAAAAAATACTTTAAGTACCATATCATGACAGCTGCATGCTGAATGTTGTAAAAAAAATAATAATTACGAATGTTATCTTTCTTTTGGCAGTGCCTCTATAGGTTACCGAGGCCAAATAATTCTTTAAACTAAAATAGTGGGTACTGTATGTATCTTTTATTTTAGCCCTGGGACTCTGCACAGTCACTTTCACCTTGATTTTATATCACCTTTAATCTTCCATGCTCCTAAAGTATAACGTAGCCAGATGACGATAAGGTCAAGACCCATCTCTAGCCAACTCAGCACGGGAGTCATCTTGGTTCCTGGGAAGGTAGTCAATTATTAAAATGCAATATTAAGTAGCATTGAATATCTCTATGCTAATAGTCAGACTTTTGGCAAAGGTGACAGTGGAGAAAACAGTCAGTATTATTGTGAAGAAAAGTTTAAAATGTTGAAATTTTGGCCAATTAATTACTTGTTTACTTTGTGTCCTACTGACACTTACCTGAAAAAAATTACACCTGTAATATACCATGCCAAACTCAAATGGTATTTCCTTAGGTCACTTTCCCTCTGTTGTGTTTCAAACTTTCCAATTATGCCTTCAAACACCTGCTATAGTACTAGAATGGTAGGATGGTAAACTCAGCATTTATCATCAGATAGAAGAGAAAACCCCATTTGTCAAAGTCTAGAGCAGAAGCCAGAGCTAGAACCATATTGTCCTTAAGACTTTAAAGTTGACATGGCCAAATTAGCCAAATTTCCCCAAAGTAGAGGAAATGATCTCGGGAAATTGGTAAAGCCAGGAGCAGCACTTGCCAGTGTTGACACTTCAGAGCACATGCATGAAACTTTGTTGGGGCTCATAAACAGAAGAGAAGCTGCCAAAGTATGACCTGGTGCCCAACAAACTGAATATATATATACCCCCCCCACCACAAAAGGAAGCAAGTGGCCGACTGTACCTAGTGCACAGCTATAGACTCCTATGACCAAGGGTTAAAAACCATGAATGTAAATGAAGTGGGAACACAGAGCTAAGCCACTGATACACATTTGCACCAGCCTTAATAAAAAGCTAAATGTGTCAAATGAACAAAGTTCATTTAATGTATCACACTATTGTGATTTCTGTGTATATTAAACAAGCTAGATATTCAAGGATATTCAGAGACTAACCCCACACACACATAGCTATATGAGAACTACAGTACAGTATATTGGAATGAAATGGATACACACGACTCACAATGCATAAAGGTTTCGGGATAAAAAGACAAACCAACTTAAATGAAAACGGATCCCAGCCTACCAACACACACACTAGTTAACAGTTGGGAAGTACTAGTCCTGTACTGTAACTGTATTTGAGCTAGCTGAGAAAGTGAACATTTGGATTGATCATGCAGCCCATCAGGTAGTTAGTGAGACTGTTTGGCAATCAACAGTTCAACATTGACAAGTAAGGTCTTGAAGGACTTTAGTTTTTTTTACGGATAGACCTCTGATGATCATTTCTAGGCTGGGGAATTTCTTAGAACAATATGACCCTTAGTAATGCTTAAAAATTCCTTGTAGTATTATGTGGTATATTATCCCTGGCAGATTGCACTACATGATATTCAAATACACATTATTACACATTGTAACCTTAAATGAGGAAGCAGCAGAATGTAAGAGCTCAGATGTTTGGTTGATGGAACAAAAAGGGCTAGGAAAGCTGACTAGAAATGGATATTATTTTTTGGGTCTCGACCAAAAAACTAGTGGCGAATGTAATGAAACACCAGTTACCAAGGAGGCTCACTGAAGCTAGCATACTGATTAAGTGCCACACTACTTGGGGCCATCAGTCACAGAGTTCCTGTATGCCTACCGGGGACCACAAGCAAGAACCTGACCCCCCCCTTCACAGAGACGAAGGAAGCAATGACCTATGAACACTTTACATTTAATCATCTTGCCATTAACCAGGGAAGCATCCAGTAAGGTAGGCAAAGCAAAATGAACAACTGCCTGGTTGAAAAATGTGACCTATGCCCTAAAAAAAAAAAAAAAATCCCCACAAAGAAAAACAAGCAAAACTTCGTTGAATTACCCCCCCCCCCCCCCACCCCGCTTGTTAGCGCCATCAGGGAAAGAAAGGGAAGCCGGTCTGCCACCAGTCGGCTCTTGAATGATAAAAGTCACCGACCAGAGGGAGGGTGTAAGAGAGCCTGAGGGCTTACCCAAAATCTGGTGTTTCATTATACCAGCTACCAAAACCCCCGAAGTTGATACCCAACGAAGAGAAGGTAAATGGCGAAAAGCCTATCAAGAACCCTCGTACTGTCGCCGAGAAGATTGCAGGTGGGATACCATCAAGCTAGCCACATGATCACTATACAGATGGTGATAAGCACATTACAAAGTCCAAACGTGTAAGGTGGAAGAGAAGGCCGAACCAGCACCTGGGTTCAGACACCGAGCAAGCAGTGCCTGAAACCAAGGCTGGGCCGGCCACCATGGGGCCTGGAAAATCACTCTTCCACATTAGGATTCCAGCCAAGCTAGAACCCGGAGCAACAGCTGGACTAGGAAAAAAGGTACAGGTACCCCACTGCAACCAGTATTGCCGGGAAGCATCCACCATGAAGGCCTCACAATTGGGGGAACAGTGCCACGTACAGAGGAAGTCACAGAGATCAAACCGACACAAAGAAGTCCACCTCTGGGCACCCATACGTCCGGCAGAGCCCCCAGGCTCATCAATCAAGAATTGATGGCGGCCTCTCTTCCTCTCCCCCAGCAGGAGGGGGGGGGGGTGGCACTAACAAGCAGGGGATTAGTTGGACAAAGTTTGCTTATTTTTTTTTTTGTTGGGGAATTTTTAATATTTTGAGGGCATAGGTCACATTTTTCAACCAGGCAATTGTCTGTTTTTTTGCCTACCTTTCTGGGCGTTTCCCTGGTCGATGGCAAGATAATTAAATGTAAAGTGGGGCTCCCAAAGAAAAACAAATTTATGAAATATCTAAAAATTAATACTATATAAGTTTTGAAATTTTTAACGAGTTATGAAACATTATATCCTGTGCATCAAGGTGAGTTACCTTAACAAAATTATGAATATGTAGCCATTCTGTTATTTTGTTTCTGTTTTAGGTCAGTATCTGACAAATTTTCTGTCTTGGCTGTGACAGATATTTGTTTATGAATAATATATCACTGACTGTATCACATACTGGTATATATCTGGTTTACATACCTTCTATCTCATTCCATTCAACAGCAACTTCATCAATTGGAATTCCAAGATGTTGAGCTAAATGCAGCATTTCCACATCAAAAGCCCTGGAATTATGGGAAACATTTTAGGACATGTAGAGCGATTTTCCATTTGGTCACAAGAATTTTCATAGCTAACCAGAAGCTGGGGAGAGTGCAAGCCTTTTAGACTAATAAACATGAAAAAAAGACCTGGTATTACACACACACAGTAGGTAATTACACTAATTACTAATAATAGCACTAATTTTTAATTACATATTTACACTAGTACTAATTACTAGTTAATAATTACCTAGGTAATTACACACACACACCAAAAACAAAAAAGTTAAACATTTTAGGCATAGGCATTTAAATTTATTGATCAATTCTAGCATTTCATTATTCCCATATTCACAAGTATTTCTCTCAGTTCCCCCCCCCCCTTATATTTGTGACAACTTGCGGTGCTTGAATGGCCCGTGTGACTGTTGGGAGCTTCACGCACGGGCGACCAGCCCCTGATGACGTCACAGCGCACCTTGTCCACGTCCCCACAGCCAAAGTAAGTGGAATTTGGTATTTATTTCTACATAGACAGGTTCAGGGAAGGGAATTTATCATTTTACAAAGAAAAAAGAATTTTTTGGGAACACTATTTCATGCGCACAGGGGGAATTTCACAATAAACGCGGCACATCACAGTGATTAATAGTTAAATAATTGGGCATAATTTTCCTTGCATTGACAGGAAACGAAAAAATTAGTGCAATACTGTACTGTGTCATTGTATAGAAAATACCTGTAATCTAATTCCTTACTTAATTTGTAAATACACTACATTTTATTATATAAATAACTGCTTGATTCTGACCAGGTCATTTAACCTTGGTGCATTTTTTCAATTTAAGCATGTTTATCTGATCAAAACTGCTCAAAAACCATATTGACCTCGAGACTTGAAAGTTGAAATGGCCAAATTTCCCATAAATAGAGGGAATGATATCAGAAAATTGATAAAGCCAGGATCAACACTTGCCAGTGTTGACTATTCAGAGCACATACATGCAACTTTATTGGTGCTCTTAAACAAAAGAAAAGCCATCAAGGCATGACCTGGTGCCCAACAAACTGAATGTGTGCTCACACCACAAAAGGAAGTAAATGGCTGACTTCCATGATGTCTTTTAAGTGTAATGCCTTTAAAGTGCAGGTATAATTATATACTAGAAAATTTTGTTAAATATTATTCTCTATATATTTAGTATACTGGACAACCATCCTCTCCAATAATTCTCTTTCACGTTGCACAATTACCGTATTTGTTTTTAAATACTTTTGAACTATATTTCAATACAGTACTGTAATAATGAGACACAAATGCAACTCACAAATCGAATAATGTTACTTACCATCTTTCTACATGCAAGCTGTTAAACAGAATGCGAGAAGTCCTCCGTGTCAGTAGCTTAAATCCACACTGCGTGTCACGAATGCCACGCACGGCAAATAGCCATACCAAGGCATGAAAGCCGTACATCAGTATGGTGCGAAAGACTGAGCGTGTTGCAACAGAGTCCTCCTCCAGATGGGCACGAGATCCACACGATACTGCAAGGGCTTCACCAAGATCACTTTCCTCTTAATATTAAAGAAATAATATGCATTAATGTTAAGGATGGGCATGTACAGTTTTAGTTTGATATACATATAGAAAAATTATTAATACATACATAATATACAATGGTATGACCCCACCCAAACAGAACCTAGTCAAAAAAAAAACTTGGGATGCAAGAAGAAGATTCTGTTCAGACTTTAGATTTGAAAGATTGAATGCAATGGACAAAAACACCATAAAAATGTGGCCCACACATTTATTGAATCAAAATCAAGTGCCAAAATTAGCTTTTAAAATTCATCAAAACACTTTTTTGCTTATATTTTTTGGGGGTGGCAGAATAAGCGTGATCATCTGCAAGTCATGTTAAGCGATTATTCAAACAGGATAGATATGGTGCCAGTGCTGTATGGATCATTTTCTAAATGACCAGCAAGTTCATACAAGCTTCTAATGAGACTGGATTAAGTATCAATATAACCAATTATGACAGCCACGACAGTGTTATAAACCGAAGACCTCCTCCCATAACCAAACTGTGTGATCACAAATAACAAGCTTTTGTTTAGGCCGGCCTATCCACCCATCACCAAGCACTACTCCCACTACTAGTGCTTCACATCCAAACCACCCTACAAACATCCTGTGTGTGATGTCGGTCAGTAGGTGAAAACCAGTTAAAATACGTTTACAGTAGAATATCCGTTTCTCTATTTAGCTTAGATCTTTGAATCTAATCAGTGCATTTCAATTGAGTTAGCTGTGGTCAGTATACTAACTAGTGGTGTTTAGAGGTTTTCAAGTGTCCCTTATTTTCCCACTGGCCTTTCTCAGTTTCTCTCGGTGGCAGTAGGCAGTTGGTGACCAGTTGTGGCTTTTACAATTCAAGTTTGTTTTGTGTAATGCAAAGTACTCTGATTTGGTTCAACTAAGAGATTCCTGTAGTTTCCTTTTTGTCAGTTCACCAGGTCTGGTCATCTGCCTCTTTCTGTTTAGTGTTACAAGATAATCAAGTCAGTGCAACCTATAACTTTTAGATTTAGCTTTATTTGTGAACAAGGCTTGGGCAGAAGGGGGGGGGAGGTACTGGTTTTGTTAGACTTTTCTCTTCTCCAGTTTATGTGGGAGGTTTGGTTTAAGGTCTCTGCTTACTTTCTGTATGCCAGGGGCAGCAGTACAGTTCACCCGAGTTCAGCGTGGCAACCTTGGCTATTGTGTTAGCGAGCCAATAATATTTACAAGACACATAGGGTGAGAGGCAGAACACTGTAGAGAAAAATGTCTAGATGGAGTTAGTCGATATTGACGGGCAAAAATATTACTTGCTACTTAAAATATTAAACCCAATGTCCTGTTGGATTTATGTTAGTTTCACCCAATGGCTTATGAGGATTATTACGAGCAGGTAGCAACCTTGTTTGACCATCCATCACAATGGATTGTACAGGTATATCTATACCAGGATTGCTTTTACTGCCCAAATCCGGTCTAGGGCCAGATTTGACATGATAAATTGGTCCAATTGGATGCTGCTTGGAGCAGCCAGCAGGCCCACAAACCCATTACCCACTTCGACCTGGTTGGCTCGGCACTTCTTGCAGGAATGTAATTTTCTCTTGAACACGTCCAACCTTACACTGGCAATATTTCTTACATTTTCTGGGAGGATAATGAACAGCCATGGATCTTTGATGTTCATGCAGTGAGTGAGACAGAGACTAGAGACTGACATGGCACATCTACTCTTCACCAGGTCTATTCTGCAATATATTACCATATCTTCCACTCTTGTATATTGCTATGTTACTCTGCAAATTTGGGACCTGGCCTTCCAGTATCTTCCATGTATATATTATGTGATGCCTCTCTTGTCTCCTTTCTAGAGTTCATTTTGTGAGCTTTGACACAGTCCCAAAATTTTAGGTGCTTTATCATATCCATTCATGTCACATGTGTGCCCTCTATTTCAAAAGTCTTTCCTGCTTTGAAAGGGCAAAGCCCAAGTGACTAAAATAGTAGTATTTTAGTGGAACTCTGGATTTTAAGGTTCTGATACTCCATCTTAAATATTTAGTCATGTCGACACTATTCCCAGATCCTTTACATACTCAACTATTTGGAATCATCACTGTTAAACATGTTATTTTCCATTGCTAAATCAAAGACTTTACTAATATCAGCTTGTAGTTTTCCAATGTCTTTCACAGAAGTAATTTTCATGCTGATTTTTGTATCATCCGCAAAAGGATGACATGAAGCCATGACTTGTATTTCTGTCTATACAGTATCTGGTAAAAGAATGAAAAAAAAAAAAAAAAAGCAGTGGTGCAAGGATTGTGCCCAAGATGAATTCCCTGGGGCACCACGTAGTAGTAGAGGGCATACATCCCCCTCAAAGAGAAGAATAAAGCAGTCACCATGTTTTCCAATCCATCTACCCAAAAGAAGCTTCAGCATGGTGAACTTCAACCACTGCTTCATCTTGCCATAATATAACATCCTGCACCATCTGTACAACCTCTTTCAGACATGAGAATGAACCCCTCAGACAAATGACATGCATTTATAGTGCCACCCAACTTGAGGAACCATAGAACACGCATCCTTAATTCAACCTCAGGAAGCCGAGACTAATTTTGGTTAAAACCAGCCCTGCCCCAAGAGCAAATCCCTGATCTGCTTTCAAAACAAAAATACAAATTGGCTATACTGGCCTCAAAAATGTGCACAACCCAACCCTCAATCTATATAAATAAAAATGTAAATGTTCGTTTGTTCAAAATTGCTAATCTCTGAAAATTCTTCACCAATTGCCTTGAAATTTTGACAACGTTCCTTTCACATTCGAGCGGATTTTTATATGCATACTATATAGATGTCACGTCTGTGACTGGAAAAACATTTTTTTTTTTTAACTTTTTCCATGTGAAGGAAATCTTCGAAACCTCTTTACCGATTGCTTGAAATTTTGACAACGTTGCATTCGAATAGGCGCGCGTGTTTTTATATACATACTATATACATGCTTTACCTGTGACAGGAAAAAACATGATTTTTTGAATTCACCGATTGCTTTGAAATTTGGACACAACTTTCCATTCGAATACACTCATGTTTTTAAATACCTACTATATAAATGCCACACCTGTGACAGGTAAAAACAGGCTTTTTTGAAAAACAGCGCCATCTGTTGCATGTAATAGCAACACACGCTATGCTAAATTTGTTACGATTCCATTTCAATGTTTCCGATTGCATTGATAAATTTAATTTTCATAGATTTTTATTTATTTTTATTTTTATTTAATTATTTTGTGTGACATTGCATTGGAATTGAGTTGTCTTGTTTACTATACTGCTCATTTTGTGAGTATAGTTTATTTTTTTTATTTCTTTCATTGTTTTTCATTTTATTTTTTTTAACTTCTGCTTATTTTTCAGTGATGAGAATATCAGATCATTTGATGTTCCCATTTTTCTGATGGGAACATCAGATCATTTGGGAACGCATCAGACGAGGGAGTAGGGAATAGTGGGGAAGGACTAGGGGACGGGTGTGGGGAATGGTGGGGAGGATGAGGGGTCGAGAGTGGGGAATGGTGGGGAGGACGAGAGGACGGGGCAGGGGGTAATGGTAAGTACGACGAGGGGACGGGGGAGTGGGGGGATGTTGGCAACGAGGGGACGGGAGAGTGGAGAATGGTGGGGATGAAAAGGAAACGGGGAAGTGGGGGATGGTGGGGAAGACGAGGGAGTGTGACATAGTGAGGAGAGTGAGGGGATGGGGGAATGGAGAATGGTGAGGGAGACAAGGGGACAGTGGAGTGGAGTATGATGGGGAGAACAAGAGGACTGGGAAGGGGGGGAATGGTAGGATGGACAAGGGGACGGGGTAGTTGGGTATGGTGGGGAGGATAAGGGAACAGGGGGAGGGTTACTATGGCTCAGCAATGCACATGCATTGCTGAGCCACAGCAACGTGTGGCCAGGAACATCTAGTAGTAGATAAAATTAGACCAACATGGTCAAATCATACCTCAAGAGCTCCCCTGTGAGCACAACAAAATTAAAAAATAGCAGTTAACTTGACTTAGAGAAGCAATGTTGATTTCAGCAGAATGCCCAATGCATAATAACATGTTTGCCAAGTGAATGTAAAAGGGCATTCTGGCCTTTACCCTCATTTAACTTGGGCTGCTTCCCTGGGGCAGTTGGGTTTCAGTGGATTCATAAGTGTTATAGTTTGAAGAGTTTAGAGTTTCTTTTTAACTTGAAGGAAGATAGAGTGATTTATTACAGCACAGTAATTCCCTTTATTTTGGATGACTTATCTCTAGTCCCTACCCACTTCCCAGCCACATGGAGCAGACTGGACAGTTGGAAAAAATGCTTATAACATAATTTATATTGTTGTGCCAAGAATGCCACTGGGAGCCAGGCATGATCACAGTGCCCTATGTTTTCCATTGGCATAAGATGAGGGGGGAACCACAAAAAGAAACAAATCCAATTTCATTTCACTCATCTTCAGCCAGAAGCAGACTTGACAACCAACACTTAACTGGCTCTCAAGACTGCTGAAGCAGCTCAAGCCCTTCCCTGTGCCACGTGATGTTGATAAAGCAGCAGACGAATACAAATAATAAGATGTAAATACCAGTACTTGCAACATGTTTATAAAAACTAAATATCAATACGTACCACGGCAAAGATTTCTTATGCTTGCCTCTAATTTACTGTATTCCGAGAATGTGGTAGCACCATCGGCATCAGCAAATAGAAGCAATTCTCCACGTGAACGGAGCATTCCCTGAAAGTGCCAAAGGACCGAGTTTGATAAATTGGCCAATATGCAATGTATAATTTATCCAACTTCATGCAAGTACTGTATGGCACTCCTGAAAGGATACAGAAAGAGGTTGCCTCAGTGGCACTGTGACAGTCTTTACCCACTTAGAGCAAACACTTTCAAACTGGGCTTGCCCCTCCCAGTAGACCAGGGCATTCTCTGGCAAATGTTACAGAGACAGAATGCCTCTGGTGGACCAGGGATCACTTCTGGCTGAATGACTGGGGAACTCACATACAAATGCAGGAAATGAGTCACAATAACATGGCTGAAGATATGAAGACTAAACCACACACCAGAAAATGAGGAGACAACAACGTTTTGGTCCATCCTGGACCATTATCAAGTCAATTGCGATCATTGACTTTATAATGGTCCAGGACGGACCGAAACATCATAGTCTCCTCATCTTCTGGTTTGTAGTTTAGTCTTCACCACATAGAAAGTAGTAAGCAAGAGTACAAAACACACCCTAGGTGCAAGTCCAGCTGAAGGCAAAATCTGATGAAAATGCCATAGCACTGCAACAGCCAGCTTACCCAAGAACATAAGTCGTGCTTGAAAATTCAGGAGAAAAACCAAAGGCATCCACTGAAAAACTCAATGCAGAAGGAAATCTTATTGAGTGCATGGTGGATGCCATGTGCAAATTGTTCCAGCAGACCAACACCGAAGCTTGCACCAAGCAAATTAACAATAATAAGGCAAACTTTGAACACTTACAAGCAGTCTGTCTCCCCCTCAAGGCCACTAGAGATAGTAGCCCTCGGGTAAATTCCAGTATATTTAATGAAATTCTCATTTCTGGTGAAGCCATGAAAATTTCTCTGAAGATATTTCAGCTATTTAATGGACTATTGTACTTTCTACTGTACAAAACTTAATATGAAGGAAGCATTAATTGTTTATAACAATGTAGAGCTGAAAGCCTTTAACAAGATCAGAAGTATACTTTATTAGGAGATAAGACTTCATCGAGCACTCCTCGGTAAAATGTTATCCACCAATTAAGTCCACTCTTAATCTAATATGTCAACTTTACAATGCCTACCTAGTACGTAAGAAAAATAAATATTTCAGACAATCTCACCATTTTTACGGCTCCACCTTTTCCCCTGTTCTTTTCCAGTGTGAGAACACGTATTTTATCACAGCCATAATCCTTGGCGTAGTTTATTCCAACTTGTGTTGTTTTGTCTTTGCTTCCATCATCCACAAGGATTACTTCGTAAGTAAAAGATTTAACTTGTTTTGTTCTCTCTTCCAGGTAATTCAAGCATTCGTCCAACATCACAGGTACTACGAATAGAACAAAAATGAGAATACAGTAGTAAAATTTACAATACTGGGTAATCACTAATTTCAGAATTATAAAGAAGAAGTATATCTAACTGTACTGTCTCCTGAATTGCTTAGAAATATTACTTTAAAGTAGCTCACGAGTGAGATGACCTTTGGGGGGATATGGATGAAATTTAATATCCAAAATGAGATCTTGTATCAACATATTTTTGTACTAAAGTGGCAAAGATATGCAAACATTAACAACTTATTGTGCATAAACAAGATTTCTATGTTTCCCAGTGATAATGCATGTATAGTTTGGTGTGTCTCAAATGATTATGGTCTTGTGAAATCCTTCAATATATAGCAACTTAAGAATTAGTCTGACAAACATTTTCAAAGCATCTTACCAGTACTGTAGTAATATCTATGGGTTCAAATACATTTAAGAGTTTTCTACTATAAAGGTCCATACTTGAGGAGAAGGGAAAGCAGACTGCCCTGGCTATCTATGTGATAATGGAGTCCAAGAAATCTAGTGTTAAATCAAACTTTTATTTTATGAATGATAGAAAAAAAGCACGTTCTCAAAGCATAAGAATTATGGGGTGCACAATAAACTTTCTGCTGGCAGCAACAACATAAATACAACACTAATACCTTCAATATCAATATTTAATGTTTTTTAATACAATACAGTAACCATGATACCTGGAGCATACCTGGAGAGGGTCTCAGGAGTAGATCTACTCCCCGAGCCCGGCCTAAGACTGGGTTCGATTATACATTATAATACATACCAATTTTAATGGCACCAGTTTTAATGTTCATGCACTGAAATATAACACTATATAATACTATCATTGGTCATAAAAACTGATCATTGTAGTGCAATAGGTTGCTAAGCTGCTAGAGGGAAAATCTGAACTTTAATCAAGTTTCAATGATACACTAAAGGATTTGATGATTATGTTATGTTGCAGATGAAGAGTCACAATAACGTGGCTGAAAAATGTTGACCAAACCACACACTAGAAAGTGAAGAGACAATGACGTTTTGGTCCGTCCTGGACCATTCTCAATTCGATTGTGGTCCAGGATTTGATAATGGTCCAAGACGGACCGAAACATCCTCGTCTCTTCACTTTCTAGTGTGTGGTTTGGTCAGCATTAAGTTATGGTGCAAACAAATATCAGTTTACCCACTGGCTCTCTAGCTTTAGAGAGAAAAAATAGGTTTTACCATTATTTAGTGAAATGTTTTAAATCTGAGCATATATACAGTATATTAACTGCAATAAATTGGCTTTCTACAAGGAAAAAAGTGACACCAAAATATTGGTTTTATAAGAGGTTATTCAAACCTACACAAACCTTTTACAGAAAAACAAAATTTATGAACTATTATTACAGAATTTAGTATTGTAGCATGAAATTATAATATGAAATTAATATTTTTATTCCACACAAAGAATTACTTACATCTTTTTTCTTCATTGTATGCTGGAATAACAACCGAGAGTGATTTTGTCGGTGCATCTGTAATTGATGGAAACTCATGCTGTTTACCAGTTGAGGCGTCAATATAATTTTTTTCAGACTTGTATACTTTATTTGCTGGATAGGTCTCACTGGTAACATATATTGCCATACACAGCTGAAATATAAAAAAAATTAAGAAATGCAATCAGGTTTAACCACAATCATCCTTAAAATCATTACACTAAGATTACTTTATCAATACCTCTTATTGGTTATGCTTCAAAGTCAGTGCTTTACTTTTCTACATTCAATTAGTATGACATTATGGACAACCTGTGTATCACTAATCAGGTTAAGCCCCATTGGGTTTTACCAGAAACTGGATGGATGACAGCATGTCAGTCATTAGCAAACGAAGGTGCACCTACTCATGGCTATAGGGTGATCTTAAAAAGCCATGTCAAGGGCCTATCGTCCCCAAGAATGTCATGAAGAAGACGCATTCATTTTTGTACTTCTAATGAAACTATTCCTCCCCCCCCAGGTTTTCGGGATGACTAACCACTTATCTGAACCCAACAGGTTATCTTTTAAGTCTCAGTCCAGAGGGGGTTCAGAAAGTATGTGGGTGTCTGTACAGTATTTGAAAATGGTATAGACATATGCAAAACTACAAATACAATACTGTACTGTACCTTGGAAATACTGTAGTACTGTACAATACAAATACAATACAATATTTTATATTTTGTACACTATACAGTAGATACAATATTTTAAAGCCTATTTCCATTCCTTATATTTTTAATCCTAGTGTACAATATTGTACAATGTTTACTCCAAGTAAAAAGTACAGTACAGTACTCATCTGTAACTCTGACAATGACTATTGCATAGAAAAAAAAGTATTGTACAATACTGTACAGGGATACTTACAATTAAAGCTGCTGTGACAGCAATGACAATTAAATAACCAAGAAGAGTAATGAGATCCATTTTTGATACCAGACAGATAGTTTATCTGGAAAAATAAAAATTATCAGAAAATATGATGGGCATAATGAGTCACACGGCATAAAATCTAGAACACTTAACATTTAACCTTTCATTCTAGGATCAGACATCAAAAGTATAGACAGCACCCTTAACTAAACCTTGGTCTACCCTCCCTTCAGTCAATATCTGAATTCACTATTATTTAAACTAAATTTAAAGTCCATTGATTCGAGGCAGAATATTTTACATTTATGGGCTTTATGCCTAAATAAGATCTGTAATGTTTAATGAGGCTAGCCCTGAGCATCTGACCTCGGAAAAAGACAGACACTCTTTTAGAATACAACCATGATTTAATTAACCATATGGGACCCATCCCAATTCATTGCAGTGACTAATTCGTTACAACTAGAGATACCTCCAGACTACATTTCCCAAGCTTTATGGGCATGGGTTTGGATCCCATACAGAACAGGGTTAGGTACATTTCTTTTCACATAATGCATCTGTTCATCTAGTAATAAGTAAATAGGTACCTAGGAGTTAGTCAGCTTCTTGTGGGGTTGCATCCTGGGCAGGGTCAGAAATTCAACTTCGAGGGGAAATCCTCGATATAAATCTAACGTGTATGAATATACTCTGGCCGCTTGTTCCCAGACACAATGAATTATTATTATTATTAATTATTATTAAATTATTATCAAAGTTCTTTTTCCTTGAATTTACCAGAGGGTAATCATCTATCTAGTGGCCATGACAGACAGGAAGCCAACTGATCGTCAAAAGGTCTCACCCCCCATTTTTCGATCAAGAATTTTTTCTTGGTTAACTACTCTACTTTACATGGATTTTGCTAAAGCCTTTGATAAGGTACCACATAAAAGACTGACAAGGAAATTACAGGCTCATGGAATAAATGGTAGAATACTAGAATGGATAAAACAATGGCTGAAACAAAGAAAACAAAGTTGTATTAATTAAATGAGTCCAAATCTGGACTAAAGAAATGTAATAAGATGTAAATGTATAAATGATGAAATGTACCTCAAGAGTCCATTTTGGGGCCAACCCTTTTTTGTAATTTCATTAATCATATATATGAGAATATTACAAACCACATCAAATTAGCAGATGACACAAAGATATATGGTGAAGTGGGAAATAATGATATTGGTGCCCTACAAAAAAATCTACGTGAACTACACCAATGGTCAGAAGACTGGCAAATGCTTTTTAATATTGACAAATGCAAGACCTCCCATGCGGGGCATAATAACCAACGCCACAACTATAAAATTAATAACATTCCATATTACAGCAGATTAATGAATTACTGTAAAAGACTTTGGAGTCAAAATCCACCACTTGCTAGAAGTTGCACAACAGGTAGGAGCAGCAGTCAAAAAAATCTAACTAATCCCTTGGAATAATCAAGCATATCTTTGACTTTAAGAAAAGGATGAGGGTGATTTAACTGAATAAATCTCTTGTGCGGCCCCGTTTGGATTACTGTATCCAAGCATGGAGACATCTTCAGGACTACATAGCTGCTCTGGAGAAAGTGCAACACCGGGCAACAAAAATCATTCCAGAGAAAAGTAAACTCGTATTAGGAACGGTCGAGGCCCACAGGGCTAACAACACTGCAAACCAGACATGACAGGGCAGATCTCATTGAAACTTAAAATACTGAACAATTTGGCAGCTGTTGATCCAGAAAACGCCTTCAAAAAAAGGTCAGATGTAACACAAATAAAGAACAACGATTTCAAGCTCAACAATTCACATTGTAGGACTGAGAACACGAGATGCTTTTTCATCCACATGGTAATAAACCCATGGAACCGCCTACCTGTTGAAATTATACATGCCAACTGTTGAATTTTATAAACTGGAAAATGATTATCAAAGCAAATGGGGGGACCTGCAACAAGCTGTCGGCTTCCTGTCCTCGTCGAGGCCACTAGTGTTACTGACCCCTCAGGTAAATGAGGTACATAAATTAGCTGCCTGCCCCACCATGACATAAAAAGCAACATAACTGTAAACTGAATCACCAGACTGCAAAATGGCCTTCACAAAGACGTGCCTGCTGAGTGAACCACTCCAAACATACCTCAGTCAACGTTTGACAGTAAGAGATGCAGTAGAATTTACTGTATGTATAACTTACCAATGTCAACTAGTAAAACTAAGCATGCAATGTTTATTTCCCGTCATTACAAGCACAGCTTACCTTAAGCTTTAAATTAGATGCAGCGTATTAACTTCACGATCTACCAGACCACATGCCTAGAGTGGCGAGGGCGAGGAGCATGGTGGTGGTAGTGAAGAATAGCGTGATGAAGGTGCTCCAGTCAGCGGCCTCCACCTCACCACATCCGCACACTTGTGACACCCTCTACACGCCTCCGGCTCCTGCCTGGCACGGGCTTCGGCACACCACACTCCCTCACCTTTGACACACTCCCCCACCTCACACTCTGATGCCTGCTTCCAGCGTACACCACACCTCTCGCTTCCGTCCCTAACACACCCTATACATCTGGCTCCTGGCACCTGCTGCAGCACAACGCCAGGCCAGCTGTGACACTTCCCAAGTTTCCGGCCCCTGCTGGAACCTGTTTCCATGCACAGGCGTACCGTACATCCCAGTCCAGCTGACTCACGTCCTTTGCATGTCAATGTTGGCCAACAGGATGTAACTATTACAGAAACTGAAAAAAAATAAGGATCTAAAGGATGACTTAAGTAAACTGAGACAAGGTTAGGTAATTATCAAGAGACAGCACTAATTAAACCACTGCCACTAAATAGCATTTAAGGAAGGGATATGAGGGCAAGGATCTGGGATATGAGGGTAGAGATAAAGGAAGGAAAGGGAACTATCAGGAGTAAGCGTCATTATAGGTACACACAACAATTAATGTGCTGCTACCCTATATGAAGGATTGCAGAGTATAGCTCAAGTTCATCTAAAATTCCCATCTCTCAGGATGGTTGAACAGTAGCTATACATGGAATCGGGAAAGAAAATTATCGAAATGCAGTTCCCGTGGCGCAGTGGTAAAACACTCGCTCGGCGCTTTGGCCTGGGTTCGTATCCTAGCCGGGGAGGATTGACTGGACGCCAATCCTTAACTGTTTAGCCTCTGTTCACCCAGCAGTGAACAGGTACCTTCAATTTGGCGGGTCATATGCTGCGGAAAAATTAGAATTAAGAACCTGCCCGAAACACTATGCGTGCTAGTGGCTTTACAAGAATATAAGAACTCTTGTATATATAAATAAATAAATAAAAAGATGGGATTCCAGGCTTCTAGCTTACACTAGCAAACTCTAGGTAGAGCACAAACAACATACCATGCGAGTTACCATGATGGGTGGTGGAGATATTAGAGTGGCGAGATTCACCAGTAGAGTCCCACAGAACTCTGTACTTGAACCCATCCTGTTTCTGATACTGTACATGTAAACAATCTTCCAGAGAGTATAGACCCATTCCTCTCATTGTTTACTGATAATGCTAAAATTATGAGGATCAAGAAGGGGAAGATAGAAAGAGACTATACAAGACGACCAAGACAAACTTGAGGAATGATCTAGAAAATGGCAACTAAAGTTTAACTCAAGTAACTGTAAATTAATGAAATTAAGTGAAGGAAGCAGGAGGCTGAACACAAGGTACTATCTGGGAGGTGAAATCTTTCATGAGTCAAGTAGGGAGAAAGATCTGATTGATAGTACACCGAACCTGTCCCCAGAAGCCCACATCAAAAGGATATCATCAGTAGCGTATGCTAGGTTGTCCAACATAAGACATGCCTTTATAAACTTGTGTAAGGAATTATTCAGAACATTGTATTCCACATATGTTAGACCAATCCTGGAGTATGCAGCTTCAGCGTGGAATCCATACCAAGTTAAACACAAGTAAAAGTTAGAGAATATTCAGAGGTATGCCACCAGACTAGTCCCAGAGGTGAGAGGTATGAGTTATGAGGAAAGGCTACGGGAATTAGGCCTGACGTCCCTGGAAGTCAGAATAGTTAGGGGAGTCATGATCACCATCTACAAAATTCTTAGAGAAATTTACAAGGGTTGATAAAGACAAACTTTTTAGCATGGGCGAACACGAATTAAGGGACCACAGGTGGAAACTTAGTACTCAAATGAGCCACAGAGACACTAGAAAGAACTTTTCAGTGTCTGGGTAGTTAACAAATGGAATGCATTAGGCAGTGATGTGGTGGAGGCAGACTCCATAGTTTCAAATGTAGATATCATAAAGCCCAATAGGCTCAGGAACTTATACACCAGTTGATTGACAATTTATTGAAAGGCGGGACCAAAGACCCGAACTTCAACCCCCTCAAACACAGTACAAATATAGTGTTGAAGAGTGTGTCCTAACTCTAGCTCTATTTCAGGCAGTTAAAAAGTAACGAGTAATAGACTAAGCGGGGAGTCAATGGATTGGCTCAGCCTCATTCGTATAATTTAATGTTAAATAAAATAGTAAGACAGAATTAGGGTTGTAAGTGATATGGAATATAAATTATGAACTTGTATATTATATTATAGGGAATACCCGGGTGTGCCCGGGTCTCTCTCCCAACTTCCCCTTTCTTCTCTCCTTTCTAATCTGCGCTTTTCTTTCTCCCTTCCTCATTTCCCCTCCTCCCATCCACCTTTCTCAGCAACATCCCTCTCTCTCCACTTTTCCTCTTCCCTCCACTTTCTCTCAATATTCTCCCCTTTCCCATATTCTCCACCTTTCTATCCCCGCTCGCCCTTAACATCACACCTTCTCACCCTTCTCCACCATCTTTCCCATCTCTCTCCTCTCCCCTGTCCCCCCCCCCCTCTCTCCCTATCACCCTTTCTCCTTCCCTGTCTTAAAACATACCTCCTTCCCTTCGAGCATCCCTCCTTTCACACCTACCCCTTCCTTTTCTCTCTCTTTCTTTCTCTCTTTCTCTCTCGTATTATATTATACATTTGCGTATGGCTATGTTATGTATAGTCGATAGGCAATGTTCACGCGTTCGGTCATTGATCCCTGTGCACAGTGTTTCTAATAGTCTTCAGAGAATGTGTGTTGATCTTGCACACATCAATACCTACTTGACTCGTATGTGGCGTTACAATTGATGTCCTCCAATTGCAGCATAGTATGTTCTTATATTTGTTATGTTCTTATGTACAACATTAGGGGGGGGGGTGGTATGTTTGGTGTATAGTGTGGCGTATGGTGGTATGTTTGGTTATATGTCATAACTTTGTTCTATCCCCACTTTTGAACGTTCCTCTTATCCCTTAGAGTGCTATATGGTCATACTGGCTTGGCGCTTTCACCCTGATAATTACTTTATCTTCGTGTATAAGGTAAAATTCGGAGTTCAGTGTAGTGTATGATTGTTGCGTAATGTACTGTAGTGTATGACAAGAGGGAAGAAAATCACACTTATCAGATAAAGTGACAGAGCCACATTAACTATCAAAGATAACATTGTTCTAAGAGTAGATTATTGAGCTCCATGGCAAGGGCGGAACTGTAGCCTCGGAACTGTAGCCTCGGAACTGTAGCCTCGCGCCAGACAACTTTATTTTGTATATTCAACTTATATAGGCTTATGTATGCTTTTATTTGCTTGCCACGATTTCTTTTAATTTGGAACTTTATACGCATGTGTACACACATTCATCATGCATACTCTGTCAATGTTTCTGTATGTATGGATCTGGTACTCATTATAATTTAGACGTAATGTAATGCTAGACACCTATAGAAGTCTCAAATTATGGGTAATTATTAATGTTAATTAGTTAGGCTTTACTTACTCGTGCATAAGCGATATGCATCCTTCGGTTTTCTTGCTAAGTGTACCATTTATAATTTTAGTATGAATTCTCTAACCTTGTATACTTTATTTATTTGCTATGTTCGGGTGCAAGTGCCCCTACTTACGTAGAATAAGTAGAATAACACGTATAGTTATTAAGGTCAATTAACACATGTATCTCCGCACATACACACCATATGCTGCAAATGCAGTTGGAAATTAAAAGCAACCGAGGTTGAAATTGACTAGCAACTGCAATTGAAGTTTCTTTTCCCCGTCAACGCAACTAGAGATGGTGGCCCTCGGGTAAATTTATGTCTGTAGTCTTTCCATCACCGCTCACGGACCGCATACGGGGTGCATAACAAATGTTTGTTTGTATAATTGAACTAAACTCATCATTAAACGCTCACTGGCAACTACCGCGCAACGCGTGTGGCGGTGTTACTGGTCTTGGTATTGGTTATACCCGTGGCTGTATATTGGTTATACTCGTGGTTTGTATTGGTTATACTCGTGTTGCATCTCGATTACTGCCAGTAATATTATACGACCCAATTATTTCAGGGCTACCCAGTTATTAAAAGCTAGACACACACTTCCTCTCTCCCTCCCCCTTCCGAGGGTAAAGCTGGGTAAACGACCTTGATGCAATAATGAATAAACGTTGATAATGTTAATATTATAAGCGTTACTTGGACTCTAATGGACCACTTTTGGATCAAAGTAACTATACCTCCCTGCTACGGGCAAATGACGCTCATCATTGATCCAACGTTTATTGAATGTTCAACGAGCGTTGATTAAACATTGATTAAATAGTATTGCAACATGTTTTGCCACTTGGGTTCCAACGTTGAATCAAACTCTTTTGGCGTATGATCATCATCATTCAAGGGGAGTGTACCTGTAGGTACTTTGGGATAACTGCTAAATATATGGTAGTAAATAAATATGAATGATATCCTAGCATATTTCTTGAACATTTGTGACAGTTCTAAATTCTTTCATATTTACCACATTCCATTATTTGGTGCTGCAGAATGTGTGAAGAATTTTGCTGGCGGTTTACAGTTGGTCAATTGCAAACTGCAGGTACTTAGAGTCCCGGTAGTACAGGTACCCAGCAGTTACAGCAGCTTGTTGTGGAGTTGCAACCTGGGAGAGGTCAGTAATTTTACCCTGGGGGAGGGGGACCTCGATATAAGCCTAACGTGTATGGATACACTCTGGCTGCCTGTCCCCCGACACAATGATTTATAATTAATATTACCACCCAACCGATTTTCGTGAAGTCGAAATGAAATAGGGAATGTGTTACCCGCAGAGTATTGAAGCTACTCTAGCACAAAACGTCAACCTGATTGTGTGACACAGTGGTTGCCAGGATTAGGTTGAGTTGCCGTTACCTGTGGCAGGTGGCTACAGGTGATGGATCTCCCAATCCTGAGCACTCCAGGTGCAAACTCTTTGAGTAGGTACCTGGAGCTTTGCAGTTACTTTATTGACTCTCGTGTTTTTGAGGATATCCTCATATTGCACCCAAAATTTGCCAGTGCAGACTACTGAACATATGGCCCTGTATGACTAACCTTCCTGCGAGATGGGGACTTTTAGTATCACTGCTACCTTATTCACCCTTGTGTTGATGATATTCTCATAATGCACCTAGAGTCTGCCAGTGCAGACTACTGATCATGTATATGACTAACCATCCTGTGTCATGAGGATTTTTTAGTATCACAGAGCTAGCTGTTTGACACACACTGTACTCCCCTTCATATAGTCTAGGGTAGCTGCACAAATGCAGATGTACCTAAATGTGTTAATAAAAAAAATACCCGCGTGTTTTCATGATTTACTTCTATATACAGTAAATGGAAATGTGTATCTGATGTTGGAGGGGAGATGGGGGTGAGGGGAAGGGTGGTGAGAAGTGGGGAAATAAGAGGGAAGAGGGGAGAAGGAGGGAAGTGAAGATGAGGGGAAGAGAGGGGGGGAGTTAAGGCAGAGGGGAAAGAAGAAGGATGGAACGAGGGGCGGTGGGAAGAGTCATACCATCCCGGGCAACGCCGAGTACACCTCGAATAGTTATAAATTAACAAAACTACATAGACTCGGGAGAATATATGAGTTTCAGAAGTAAGTATTTGTACAAAATAAATTAAGGCAACAAAACATCTAAACAGAATTTCATTTGGAGCTTGGGAATGTAGTTACTTAACATGTGGCAATAGAGGGTTGCAAGGTATGGCGGTCATAGTCCGCGCGTCGCCGCCCTCGCGTCGATAACGGCTTGGCAACCGCCCAGTCACACATACGCGCCGCTGTGGAGCAGTGTTGCTGCGGCTCCCTTGCGTACTGCAACGCCGCTCGTTATTTTCTGGCACTAAACTACACCGGTGAGAAGTTTACAGTATTTATTCAGGAGTGTTAAAGTACATAATATAGTAATTTGTTGTTGGGACTTGTCAATATTTTGCCGACTGTCACGGACCCTGAGCTTATTATGTGCTGCCGTTATACAAATTCTAGATTCCAGCTGTGTTAAACTGCTGTTTTAATTTATTGTGATGACCAGACAAGGTATTAACTTGTACATCTTTGAGACCACTAGCGACGGAAAAGTTTTAATTCTTTTCCAATATGTGTAATATAAATTATCGAGTTATGTAAGTGAGCTTGATAAAGAATGCCACGTTCGGAATGTTAGACCCGGACCTGCCTTCAGTAGGTCCAGAATCCAGTGTTTTATGTGACTAACAAGATTAGGCATCATAACGAACTACGTTCTAGTCGCCTAATTGGCCTAAACTCATTAACTACTGGGCATTCATTTAGTTTTGACGAGTACAGATCTTGGCTGTTTTTCGGATACAATATACCAGTTTACAATCATGACATTTAGAAAGAAAAATTCACGTACTGTTACATCATGTGATGGAGGTGTTGACAACGGTGCAGCCAGGTACGGTGTCACATGTTGACAACTTAATTACCTGTGTTCAGCAGCACCTTGTTGAAGCCTTTCGAAACGATCGGTCAGGACTGCCGTGTCTCGGTGTATAGTTGGTTTTATTCTCTACTGAGACTTGGGGATCGTGGATTCGATCCCGAGCAGGACAGAAATGATTGGGCAAGTTTCCATTCCCCTAATGCCTCTGTTCACCTATCGGAAAAGAGGTACCTGGAAGTTTGGCAACCGTTGTAGGGTTGCATCCTGGGGAAGGCCAGGAATTCGACCTTTGGGAGACCTCGATACAAGCCTAGAGAATATATACACAAACAGGCTTCCTGCCCCCGACAAAAAAATATTTGACGGATTACAGATGAGAGGATTGAGCATTGTCGGTGTGAAGAATGAGTATGCACATGGTCGCCCTGCGACACGTGGCGGGCCAAGGAGCCGTTAGTGGAGAGAGGCTGTCGACCAGTGGTCTACACCACAGAGCAACACAACCCTGTGTGTGTGTAACGGGTCTACACCACTGAACGCAACAACTAGGGGCAGTATAGTGCTGGATTCTTGGAATAATTAACGAATTAGAGGTGGTTTGTTGACAAGTATATTAGGTTTTTGTCCTCGGACAAATGGGTTAAGTTTATCTAGGCGGTTATCTAAACCATTATCTAGTTATCTAGATGGTTATCTAAACCATCTCCCCCATCTACCGACCGTTATGATGCAGCCCACAACAGTTGCCTAACTCCCGGACACCTTAATTACTGCTACATTTACAAAGGTATTAGGTGAAAGAACACGTTTCCCAAACACTTCTATCCTGCAGCGTCCAAGCCACTTGGGCTGGACGGTAGAGCGACGGTCTCGCTTCATGCAGGTCGGCGTTCAATCCCCGACTGTCCAAGTGGTTGGGCACCATTCCTTCCTCCCGTTCAGGGAGGAATCAGGACATCCTGATTCCTTTCCCGTGCTATATAGTTGTATTGGCTTGGCGCTTTCTCTAGATAATTCCCTCCCTCTCTCTCTCCTACGGAACTTAAAAAAAAAAAAAAAAAAAAAAAAAAGCCGCGAGAATCTAACCCGACCTTTTGGTTAAGGTGATTGTAGTGACCGCTATTTAAGTCAGTTTCATGTTGCACAAGCTGTGTTCAGAGTGATGCTGACCATTGATGCAAGTTAGCCTCTGAATCTGTTGATGTATTTTATTTAGGCTATGTTGAGATGATTTCGGGGCTTAGCGTCCCCGCGGCCCGGTCTTCGACCAGGCCTCCTTTTTGTTGCACATCCCCAGGAAGCAGCCCGTAGCAGCTGTCTAACTTCCAGGTACCTATTTACTGCTAGGTAATAGGGGCATCAGGGTGAAAGAAACTGTATTTGTTTCTGCTTCCGCCGGGGTTCGAACACGGAAGCTTAGGACTAGGAATCCCAGGCACTGTCCACTCAGCCGCCAGGCCCAGAGTGTAAAATAGTGAGGATGTACAGATCTCTAATATATAGCATAATTAGTTTGTTAGTGAGCCTTCAAATATTTTACTAATTCTAATTTTATTATATATTAGATGGGGTGGCTGGGGGGTCTCGACCATCCCCACTTCCACCTTTCTTTCTCTCATCTTCCTTCTTGCCTTGCCCTCCCAGAAAAAATATATAAAGCACAAACTGCTAAATAAGTCTATGGAAAACACAACCTATATTTCAGATTTAATGAAAATGACACAGGGAGGGGGGTGGGGAAGAGTTTACTATAAATGTTTTCATAAAATAAGGCACTTGGAACGACTCAGACGCGTCATGATTAATCTTGGAAAGTTGGGAGAGACTCGCTATAAGTATTTGGTCTCCAACCTCGGACATCTTTTATAGATATTTATATTTTACTAATATAGATCTCGCTGGTCTAATTTTATTTATTTATTTATTTTATTTATATATATACAAGAAGGTACATTGGGTTTGAGAGAATACATTGGATAGTACAGTATTTACATTCTTGTAAAGCCACTAGTACGCTCAGCGTTTCGGGCAGGTCCAGTGACTTAATATCTAACATATTAAGAGATTTGAGTAGGGGTACCGAGTGATGTCTGGGGCCAGAGTTGGATATTGTTCTAATAGCGGCTTTGTGTTGGGTAATTAGAGGACGTAAGTGATTTTGGGTAGTAGAACCCCAAGCACAAATACCATAGTTGAGATAAGGATAGATAAGGGAGTAATAGAGAGTCACCAGAGCAGGGCGTGGTACATAATATCTGATCTTAGAAAGAATGCCCACAGTTTTTGAAACTTTTTTTGATATATTTAGAATGTGTCCCTGGAAATTCAGCTTGTGGTCAATGAGAATGCCAAGGAATTTGCCATCTAATTTGTTACAAATTTGGGTATTGTTTATTTTGAGATTTATAAGACTAGAGGATTTATTGCCAAACAGAATATAGAAGGTTTTGTCAATGTTAAGGGTGAGTTTGTTGGCAGTTAGCCAAAGATGGACTTTATTTAGCTCAGTATTTACTGTGGCATTTAGAGCAAGAGGGTCAGGACTGGAGTAAATGAAGGTTGTGTCGTCAGCAAATAGAATTGGTTTGAGGTGTTGGGAGGCATTTGGACCCAACAGGGAGCTCCTTTTTATCAAGAGCTGTATGAATCGAGTTAAGCATACTAATAAGTGCATCGTTAGTGCTTTTTTTGGGTCTGAAGCCATATTGGCAAGGGCTAAGTATATTGAGTTTGGCTAGATATGAGTAAAGCTGCTTGTATATAAGTTTTTCAAAAATTTTTGACAAGTTTGGCAGGATTGATATAGGTCTGTAGATGTTAACATCTGTGGGGTCACCACATTTGTGGACAGGCGTTACTCTCGCTTTTTTTAGAATATCTGGAAAGGTTTGGAGTTCAAGTGACTTGTTGAAGAGCAAAGCAATAGCAGGGGCTAAAGATCTGGAGGCTTTTTTGTAAATTAAAGTTGGTATCTCCTCAAGGGCACCAGACTTGGTTTTAAGGGAAAGGATTATCTCATTGACGTCAGTGGAGTTAATAGGCTTTAGGTACAGAGACTGTGGATAGTTACCTGTAAGATAGTCCTTAATGTCAGTACTGGAAGATGGAATATCATTTGCAAGGGATGAACCAATGGAAGAGAAGAACCTATTGAACTCAATAGCAGAATCAGAGGCTGAAAGCTGACCATCGTTATTAGACAGGAGAGTCGGTTTGTTATTTAAAGATTTCTTTGATCCCAATATTAGTGAAATTGTGCTCCAAGTTTGTTTAATGTTGCTCTTTATTTGAGTAAATTTATCTTCGTAGTAATTAGTTTTGGCTCGTCTAATTATCTTAGTTAGCAATAATGAGTAATTCTTTGAGAATTCTTTGGAGACAATTCCTAACCTATACTTCTTCTCAAGGTCGTGTTTTTTGTTAATGGATTTCAGTATTCCCTTTGTAAGCCAAGGATTGTTAAGCCTTTTGCTTGTGACTTGTTTTGTAAGCCTAGGACAGTGGGTGTTATAAAGGCTAAGAGTTGTTTGTAGAAAAGATTGCACTGCTAGGTTGATGTCCCCTATGTTACCTAATTCGGACTCCCAGTTGACATTATCAGCAGCAGTTATAAAATTGTTTATAGCAGTTTCATTGTGCAGCCTAAAGCTTAACTCCCTTGTTTCTAGAGGTGGTTTGCTAATGTTAGTTAAGAGAAATGTGGGGTAGTGGTCTGTAGTGCTATCGGTGATTATACCTGAAGTAAGCGGAGAGGTTATGTTGGTCCAGATGTGATCTAGAGTCGTGGCAGTGCTATCAGTGATTCTAGTAGGTCTAGTGATTAAGGGTATGAGGAGGCAGGAATTCATACAGTTGAGGAAGCTAACAGCAGTAGGGTGTTCTGGCTCGCAGAGGTCAATATTAAAGTCCCCTGCGATAATTAGGTGGTTTTTGTTCAGTCTGTTATCAAGTATTAGATTTCTAAGGTTTGAGTTGAATACAGACACATCAGTGTTGGGAATTCTATAGACTGCACCCACAGACAGGACAGACTCGGCACCCTTGACTCTGAAGCTGGCGAAGATATACTCCCCATAGCAGTCTCTAGTTCTAATTTCTTTTAGGCATGTTAGTTCTTGGTGGTAGTAAAGAGCAGTGCCACCACCTCTCTGAAGTTGACGACAGTTGTGAATTGCTGAGTAGTTAGGCATGTTAAAGAGTTGAGTAGTATCCTCTTTCAACCATGTTTCAGTAAGTATAATAAAAGAGAATTTGTTGCCAATAGTTTCAATCAAGGCACTAACATCATCGAAGTGTTTACCTAGGGATCTAACGTTCAAATTGATTACAGAGATATTGTGATTATGAGTTAATACATTGTTTACATCATGAGCTGCAAAATATCTGCAATTTAGATCATTAAAGTGATTATTGTCATAGATAGTGGATAAGAGGTTAAGTTCTGGGTCTATACTTGACTGCATAAAAGAAGCTGATTGTAGAATCAGAAATAAGTAGAAAAAAGCTATAAAATAGGGAAAAATATATACACAATACTGTACAAAACAAACACAAAGGGGCTTACAGGGGTACAATGGAGTAAGGGAGTATGGCTAGGCTAGGCAACCTAGGCAATTAATGAGATTAAAGAAAAAACATGTAAACATGGACTATACAAAACACAAGATATGGAAATACAAAACAAAAAATATAAGCAAGACTAAGCAATACAAAAAAACAAAAAAACAAATTGAGCAAAAATGAGGTAGATTGCTTACGAGTACTCACAGGTACACTGTAAGTAACAATTTGCAATTTGAGATGCAGGCAAAGCCAGGGGTACAATGGAGTAAGGGAGCATGGCAAGGCTAGGCAACCTAGGTAATAAATGAAATAAAAGAAAAGTTGAATAATAAACATAGGCAAATTTAAGCTAATGATTAATAACTATAGATAGTTCAGTAATGACTGTATAATTAAAAAGACCTGAAGAACTACTTAATAACTCAATTAAATAATTTCGGTAAATGACTAGGTAAGAGTAAGTTAAAAATTAAGTCAGAAAATGAACCAAGGAGACTTAGGATACCTAGCCCCACTAGTTGACAGGGGGTTAATTAAGTTAATTCATTGGCAGTGATAAGGTGAGACAAACCACATTGGGAGAGGAAAGTGTTGAGGTTTTCTTCTCTAGTAATAGTAAACATTTTGCCCTCTGCGGTTTTTCTCACCTTTATCAGACCATCTCTAACGAAGCACTGATGAATAGCATCTGGGTTTTGTTGTCGGATTTGACGCAGGCGGTAAAGGATTTGCTGTCTGTTCCTGGTCAAGCACTCGTTGATGTATAATCCCTTCCGTAGGGATGCAGCTGTCCGGACTAGATTGGATTTCGTGAACTGGGAAGACAGCTTCAGGCGAATTTTCCGTTGATTTAGACCTGATGGATTCTTTTTGCCTACTCTGTAGGCAGCAACAACGTCAGTTTTGTTTAGATTGAGCTGCAATTTGTTTTTTAAGAGATCCTGAGCTATTTCGAAACAATTTTCACCTTCATTAATCTAGCAGATAATTTTAAGTAAGCATTTTAATTGTAATTTATTAAAGTAAAAGTATTTTAATTGTAAGCTTTAAATGTTACACGGTATTATATCTCGAGTTCCAATAAGGTGGAGCCTTGCCTTAATTAAGGCAGTTGTCGGGTGCTAGTGAACTTGCTTGTACTTTAAGTTGGCGTTGCCTGTGTGCCCACAGGCACAGTTCCCTGGATCACTTCTTGCACAGATAATGTACCTTTATTGGTTAGAAGTGTTTACATATTTAAGAGGGATTTTTTGCTTTATTCACTTCACAAAGCAAATGTTATAATATTCAGCAATAATATTATGATATTATTGCACCACTATGACGGGTCCATAGCCTCAAGTCTCCCGGATCTGCTACCAGCTTATTGTGTTTTGTCCATTATCTTACAGGGTATGCATGACCGTTGATACGGGTCTATAGTTTAATAGACCAGTGTAGTAGTTCCCATCGCTGCAATGAGCTGTTGTAGACCTTCATTATCAGCTTGTGTAGCACCTCAACGGCTTCCTTTAACATCAACGGTGAGATTTGATGCATTATCATCACCTTAGATGTGTTGAGTTCTTTAGATTTTATTTGACCCTATTGTTGTAATAATGATCAGTTTTATGCAGAGAAACTGTCATTTCTCGTGTTCAATAACTCGCTTGACTGACAATATTTCTTGGATTCCTTTGTTTAGTTCTTCGCAGGCCTCGGTCATCTGTACTGCCCGAGTTTTAGTTTAATCGCAGCATTTGCTTTCAAAATTTACTGTATACCTTGGCAACTGTCGTTTTCAAATGATTTTCTGCTTCTCCTTTGAATCTAAAACTTAATATCGAACATTTTTGCTACTTTCTAGATTCTCTAACAACCCCTGTACTGTACATTTTGTCAGTACTATTCTCTTGAACATGTTCTCCGGTTCTTGTTAAATCATGGACTCTGTGTAGTTACCTTCGATATCTGTTTGTATTAGTAATTTTGTTCTGTAGCCGCTGTGCATTTGTGAGGCAAGTTCCACCAACTAAATGTTCTTCATTCCTGCTGTGTTTAGTATTGTAAGACCTTCCGGGTAAGGTAAAGTTCATCAGGAGAAGACTTTCCGAGATTAGGAGGGTTTCAGGTATTGAAGCTCGTCCCCGCACCCTGCCGTAATGTGTTTAACTTCCTAAAAAAATAATCTTGTATACAAAATGTTGCAACTATAAATAGTGTGTGCCTAAATCGTAAGAATGTTGTAATCTAAAAGGGCTCTAATTGTAATAACGTGCACACTATTTTGTGAATGCGGTACGTGGAAGGAGAAATAGTAAATGTGGGAGTGGGTAAATAGGCAAGCTTACAAACTGGAAGTTAAGAAATGTATCTAAGAGGGAATTGGAAGACGTAAAATGTATGAGGACGGGCTGCAACTGTAGTTAAAAAGCTATTGTTCACTCTCAAGAACACTCGACTCCGTCTCTATCCTAATCCTAGCAGGGTACATGAAACCTTTATTCAACTACATATATATATATGTATTGGCTCTCCTTTAAGATAATCCTTGTAATGTGTTTGTCTGATGACATGGAAATATTAAGGCTGGTTAGATTAACTAAACTCGTGGGTTGGTACATTGTGGTATTTTCTCCCCCGATTCCATATGACTAACCATCCTGAGATGGGAGCATTAGATGAACGTGTAGCTAGTTTTTGACCTATTGTGTAATCTTTCATAAAGAATAGGGTAGCAGCACATTGCTGTGTATACCTAAGCTTGTTAATAATAAAAAAGTGGTCTTGTTCCATGGAAAGTTAATCAAAATATTTAATGTTATTAATTTTAATCAAAATACATTATTGCCGATTGATTTGGTAAAGGCTTTGAAATGTAGCTTGTATATAATTTTTTCTGGTGTGAAATATTTAAGTCTATTGACGTAGCTAGATAAATTTAGTATTCTACTTTGAGAAGATGTGGGTCCGTAGAAGGGGCGTTTAGTAACGTGTTGAGACAACAGACAAGCGTATACAAAAATACAAAATACAAATAGTCAGTCGTCGTGCAGCTGTCAGCGGTGATGCTACGCGCCCGTGCTGCTGCTGTGTGTGACAGAATAACCAGCACTGTTCACAATGGCAGGCTTATTTAACGCATTTATCTCCACTTAAAGACGCATACTGGTGTGTAAATAAATAAATGTTTATTCAGGTAAGGTACATACATACATACAAGTGATGTTACATTTGTAGAGGTGACCCACGTGTTACAACAATAGTACAGTAATTCACCTGGAACTGTCGTCGTAGGGAGAAGAAGGGCTGGTAGGGTAGGTGGAGCAAGTCTAGGCTCCTCAGGAAGGGTAGGACAGAGGGAATCAATGCCTCTTAGGGGTCCTATGGGCACATATCCTAAGTGCCAGTGGTGCCGGGCAGGCGTCGTCCGCGTTGGGTCACATGCAGTTCAAATCTGGCCCACTCGGCCTGCGCGGGCTGCCGCGCGGGTAGGCCGTGCGCCGTCGTCGTCCACCAATCAGGGCACAGCCCTGCCTATACTGTAAAATGTCTCCTTGGCGGGCACTTTGAATGTGGTTCCCTCTACACTCCTCCCGTCCCTATAGAACAATGGGTATGTTGGAGGGAAAACGTTTCACTATATACAACATGTCTTTTTTGTAAAAAAGTCTGGTTTCATGAATGGGTCCTATTACAATTATTACCCGTATTATCTTTGCACTGTACACGAACATTACGATTGTTACCCGTATTATCTTTGCACTATACACGAACTGTTTCAACATTGCATACACTACACTATTCCCTTTCCTTTTTTCTTTTTTTTTTTTTCTTTTCAGCTTCACTCTTAGGAATTTACTCTGTCCTAACAATATTCCTCGCACCGAAGCGCTGCTCCTTGAATGTGAGTCCTTTGACAGAGCAACCCTCTTCCCACATCTCACCCCCAGGATCCCAAGGGAAAGCAATTGGATCTATGCCTCCCAAGAACTGACCAAATGCTAGTTCATTCTTTATTTTCTTCTGAGCCCTCCTTTCCACATTGTGTCTTAACGGGCCCCACTTCCTGTGAGAATTTTGCTTTGCTTCCTGATCCAGACCTGTTTGTTCAGTAGTGGCATGGTCCCGAATTGCCACTTTTGTCCTGCATTGGATTCCTGAAGGAGCCTCACTTGACGAGTTCTCACTTAGCATAACCAAACTCTGTTGGTTGTATGTGTCTGATGTGCTAATGTCCATGTCCCCCCTGTCAGTGTGAGCCGAGATGTCTTCCACACCTCTAGACAATATCTGGTCAGCATCTTGCTCCGATGCCCCTCCTTGGCCTGTTATGCACTGGGTCGGAATTAGACCGAATGAGCCGACCCGGCAGCGTTTAAAGACGAATTCTGGTCCTTAAATGAAACATGTGGCTTGTTGCCCGAGGTGTCCCCGTGCTGGCGGACTGCTTCCTCATCCCTTTCGGATTCCTCACAGTCCCGAGCAAAATGACCCTCTTTTCCACACCTGTAGCACTGAACAGGTCGCCTAGGGGATGGGCTACGGCGATGCTGTGGTGACATAAGAGCAACTGTAAGGTGCCTCAAACTCTCACACACCTGGTCCAATCTCCCGTTGGTCTCTGAGATACCTGCTACCAAGGTGTCCAACTTCGCCTCCACGCCCCTGGAAGATAAAGGATGCGAGCCCGCACTCGATGGTCGGCAAGTGTTGATTCCAAAACCTGAAGAGCTGGTAGTCGGTGACGTGCCTGGGGAGCTGGGAAGGGCGAGTGTCGAGCGCCGAGAAGCGTCATTACTCCTGGGTGGCCGCTCATACTGGGAGTGCCTTCCCACTGCATTCACTCGCACTGCTGGACCTTGGGGCACTCGGTGATGGGAGTCGTATCCTTTGGAACCTGAGGAACCGTGGATCGCTATGGCATTGTGCTGGAAGATTTGGGCCCGATCGATAGCCTCCTCCATGGAGGAGTTCCTCGCATTGGAAATGTATCCTGCCAGACTCTTATCCTGTAATCCCTGGCCGAATCTCATTACTGCGATTTGTTCCACTTCCCATCGTGGCACATGTTTGTAGGCCCGATGAGCCAAGTGGTGGGCCCTATCTGCCCAATCAGCAATATCTTCTTCTGGTTCCTGCTGGGCCTGGTTAAACTTCATCATGGCTACATCCAGAACTTCCCTATCGCCAAATCGCTTGATCATCTTATGCATCATGCGAATATAATCGATCGACGGTTCTCTGTCCAGTAAGCGATTGTAAAAATCACTTGCCTTACCCTTGAGGCACCATCCTAACTGTGTCAATGACGTAGGCCCGCTCCAGTCCTTTTCCGAGGCATAAGACGTGAAGCGGCGGTAGAAGGTGGCCCAATCTGACTTCCCGTCATAGTCCAACGCCCGAGGTGGTGTGCGGAAGGTCTCTTTTTGTTGGCGATAACCTGTCCGCCTGCTGCGGGATAGAGAGGCATCCGAATCGGAAGTCAGAGAGCTGTGTGACGAGTGTCGAGCTGTCCGTCTCCTTGATCGAGCCGATCGATGGTGGGAGGGGCTCCCCTGCCGAGTACCTTGCCGGCCACTAGCCCTGGAGTAAGCTGGTGACTGAGGTCGGCGTCCACGTTGTCTGCCGCTGGCGGCACCCCTAGAGGAACGGCGGGTACCCGTTTCGCTGGACGAGGACGATGAACGACTTCCTGCCCCCTGACCTGAGGGCCCGGGGCCCTGTTGGGACGGGTCCACCTCAAACGATATAGCAGCCATCAAAGCGGGTGTGGCCCGAAGGCGGTTGATATCATAAATGTTGTCCCCCGTGATCACGTGGCGACGCCGAAACTTGATAATGCGAGCGGCCAAGGTATCTCCTACACCCGGTAGCAGCAGCAGCTCAGCAGCCGAAGCAGAGTTTATCTTGATTGGGGCCATTGTGCTAGTGTCGAAAGTTAAAGCTCCAATATCTCGTGCCACAAACAAAAAAAACAAAAAAACACAGACACCAATGGCCACACTTAAGGTTCCAATGTTCAGAGATAGAGATAAATGTTCCACCAGGAAAAATAAGCACTGCACAGTCAATAATGTAAATGATGGGGCCAGGTGGGTTTCAAGCAACATAAAACACTGCACACTTAATTGGTACCTAAATCACTTGAGGCTTAGACAAAAACTGGGCACTTACTGCACTTGCAAAACTGGAAAATCTGACATGGCAGGCACTTTGAGGAACTTTAACAAGCAATGTGCCTGATTTTCATAAGCACTGGGCTGAGGGTTCTCAAAAACACTTTTTTGCAGGTGAACGTGTGGAACTGTGTGCAGGGCGGATCACCATCCACCTTAAATCTGGTATGAATACAAACTCACAGGCTCACTTAATGTATCTCTTCCCCTTGAGCCGTTACTTCTGTAGAAAGCCTAGAACAGGTTACGTCTAGCTAACAGTAGAAATGAGAAAATAACAGACCTGTAGCAAGCACCCTGCAGAGCTGGGACCAGCGTCGCTGTAGTAAACACGCTGGAGGCGGATGCGCTCGGGAACGACAGCCTGAAATCCTCCGCGAGCGGATTCGTAAACAATACAGGTCGGGTATGCTCATGAACGGTGGCCCGTATTCCGTGTGAATGGTGGTACTCGTCTCCCCTTCTTCAAAGAACTTGGGGGCCGCGGGAATCGGTGCTTGGGGGACAAGACAATAAAATGCAACAAATCCGGAGAAATAATCCGTATAAAACACTGATAACTGGAACTTATGGAGAATCTTGGGGGATTGCGCGAGATGTGGAATAAAACATATGCACAAAAAAAACAGGGGTTGAAATATCTTGGGCACCGCTATTGAACAACGAACCGAAGAACATCTATGGTGCAACCAAAGCCAGTAATTCGAGACTGGAACCGTTGAACACTATCTAAGACGTCTTGACTGAAGTCGGCAGAACGATGATGCAGATATCTTGGCGAGGTCCTCTTGATCACCGCGTGGGAACGTTTACTCACTGCGCCAATGTAGAGGTGACCCACGTGTTACAACAATAGTACAGTAATTCACCTGGAACTGTCGTCGTAGGGAGAGGAAGGGCTGGTAGGGTAGGTGGAGCAAGTCTAGGCTCCTCAGGAAGGGTAGGACAGAGGGAATCAATGCCTCTTAGGGGTCCTATGGGCACATATCCTAAGTGCCAGTGGTGCCGGGCAGGCGTCGTCCGCGTTGGGTCACATGCAGTTCAAATCTGGCCCACTCGGCCTGCGCGGGCTGCCGCGCGGGTAGGCCGTGCGCCGTCGTCGTCCACCAATCAGGGCACAGCCCTGCCTATACTGTAAAATGTCTCCTTGGCGGGCACTTTGAATGTGGTTCCCTCTACACATTAATGCAAGTTGTCTTAGGTGTGTAGGATGGTAATATTAACAACAAAGGGAAGGGAATTGTCGGGAAAGCGCAAAGCCACGACGACTATATAGCACTGGGAAGGGGTCAGGATTAGGATTTGGGATGGGACGTGGAGGGCAGGTATGGTACCCAACCACTTGGACAATCGGGGGATTGAACGCCGACCTGCATGAAGCGAGACCGTCGCTCTACCGTCCAGCCTGTAACGGTTCTATTGTTACGTAAAGTATGGTGACAAATAAACACAGACACTAAGATACTATATATATATTTGGTCGAATATACAGAAGTACACAGGTGATACTTTGGTGTGAGTTGAGCGCACTGAGCGTCGGTACAGTATCTCGCAAGTGTCTGCTCTAGACCACACTTGAAAGTAGACTAGCCAATGTTCGCTACACCGCTGCTTATATGCCCAGGCAACGCCTCACCTCATTCATCTCCAAAGGTTGACAGGAATATTAACACTATATTTGGAGCGAGTATATTATTGGGATAATCTACTCGCTACAAGCCCAAGTGGTTGGACAACAACAAAGGGAAGTACTGTTATCAATTCTCGGTCAACTTTCTGGCCGTTTTAAAAATCCATTTTTAGGCATATTCCGATTTTTGTAGAAGGGTAATAATATTTAACCATTGTTCATGCGTTTTTTTCAGATAATGGAGACTCCTCAAGAGGAGGATTTCCAGCTGTTTGAAGCGATTACGTTAAATGGGGAGAGACACACGTTGCTGAAGTGCCCTCGGAGGTTGCCCTCACGACTGGCTCCACGTGACGGCTCCTTCACCAGTACTGATGTCTTCAACATCCTTATGGCTGATGTCTCTGGCTCTATGAGTGGCTACTGGCCACATGTTGTTACTGGCTGGCAGGAGAGCATAAAAGACAAGCTCTCAGGTATACTAAAATGCAATTTTTTAGTACTTAATGTTAACACCCTGCTGATAAAAAATGGGGAAAAAAAGAAAAAAAAACACATGGAATCATTTTAATCTTAATATTTATCTGCACTGCAGTATTATTTATGAACGCATAAAGAGGAAAATAATTTGGTAGTAATTTATTTTCTATTGAATTTGGATGTTTATACCTGTGTGTGAATGTGTGAGGTGAGAATTGTCATGTCATTCACATTAAATGATAGACCACACAGTACCAATCACTGTCGTGTACACTTAATTCAATGAGGTGAACATTTCATTTGTCACCAACATGAAAATAACACTGGTTATCATTTGATATCGCCTGGTAGTCAAGGATAACATAACCTCTCCACTTACTTCAGGGATAATCATTGATAGGACCACAGACCATTACCCCCACATTCCTCCTAACAATCATTAATAAACTACCTCTAGTTACAATGAAGATAAGCTTTAGGCTGCACAATGAAACAATTTTTAAAATAATTGATATAAGCAATTTTATTGCTTCTGCTACTGCTAATATCAACTAGGAGACTGAATTGGGTAACATATTGAACATCAACTTAGCAGTGCAAACATTTCTTCAGAAAACTGAGCCTCTGTAACACTGTCCAATGCTAATGAAATGAGTCACAACTAAAAGTTTAAAAATCCATGGCTTATGAAGGGTATACTCAAATCTATTAATAAAAAAACATGACCTTGAAGAAGTAAGGTTAGGAGGCATGTCCAAAGAATTTTCAAAGATGTACTCATCAATGCTGTCTAAAATAATTGAGCCAAAATAAAATACTACAAAAATAAATTTACCAAAGTTGAGAGCAAAATTAAGAAAACATGGAGCACTATTTCCCAAATACTAGGATCAAAAAAGATTTTGAATGAAAAACCAATGATGTGCTTTCAGCCTCTTGACACTATTGAATTAAATAGGTTCTTCTCATCCATTGGGACATCCCTGGTTAAGGAGGATGGAATGATCCTTAGCAAATGTTAAAATCTACCTTATAGGTAACTATCCAGAGTCTCTGTACCTAACTCCTGCTAATTCCACTGATGTTAATAGAGATAATTCTTTCTCTTAAAACAATCAAATGCCCTTGCTGAGATGCCAATTCTAATTTACAAAAAAAGACTCCAGATTTCTAGCTCCTGCCATTGCATTGCTCTTCAACAAATCACTTGAACTCCAAACCTTTCTGAATATTCTAAAAAAAAAAAAAAAAAAAAAAAAAAAGTAACCCTACTCCATAAATGTTGGGATCTCACTGTTGTCAATAATTTCAGACCTATATCAATTCTGCCAACCTTGTAAAAAAAAGATATTTGAAAAGCTAATCTACAAGTCGCTTTACTTGTATCTAGCTAAACACAATCTTCTTGGCTCTTGCCAATATGGTTTTAGACCCAAAAAAGCACTAATGATGCACTGATTAGTATGATTAACTTGATACATGCAGCTCTTGATAAAAATGAGTTCCCTGTTGGGTTATGTTGACCTACATAAGGCTTTTGACACTAACCACCTTAAATTACATCATTATCAAATTAGAGGTCACTCCCTCCAATACCTTCAATCTTACACGGGCTCCAGTATGTTTGTGAATAATTCCATATCTTGAACCTTGCCCATCAACATTGGCGTTTCACAGGGCAGCATACTTGGCCCCCACTTCCTCATCTGCATTAATGACCTTCCACATGACTCAACACCTCAAACCAATTTTATTTGCTGATGACACAAGCTTCATTTTCTCCAGTCTTAACTTGCTCCAAGTGTCAGTGAATACTGAGCTAAATAAAGTCCATCTTTGACTAACTGCTAACAAACTCCCCTAAACATTGACAAAACTTTCTATTTTATTTGGCAATAAATTATCAGATCAAATTAATATAAGAATGAACAATATCCAAATTAGTAACAAAAGTACAGTAGATGGTAAATTCCTTGGTCTCCTCATCAATAACAAGCTGATTTTCAAGGGACTCTAAATATAGTAAAAAAAATAATTATAAAACTATTGGCATTCTTTCTAAGATATTATGTACATAGCCCTTCCCTGGTGATGCTCTATTACTATCTCGTCTATCCTTATCTCAATTATGGTATTTGTGCTTGGTTTTACTACTCAAAATCATCTATGTCCTCTAATTACTCAACACAAAGCTGCTACATGTATTAGAAAAATACTAAACTCTGGCCCCAGACAACACTTGGTACCCTTACTTAAATCTTTTAATGTTAGATATTCAGTCACTGCACATCCTCTGTGTACTCTATATATTTAAAACTCTGTACTATGTCAATCCTGACCTTAAATGCTTCTTAGAAAGTTGTAACAGAACCCACTTGCACCACACCAGAAACAAAAACCTATCTTGATATTCCAAGAGTGCGGCTTAACCAAACTAGAAATGCTCTACAAATTGAGGGACCCAGAATGTGGAATGACTTTCCCAATCATGTCAAAGGCTGTACCCCTCTCAACCAGTTTAAGAGGAAAACAGTTCTACCTAATAAACTCCATGTAACCTAACTTACCCCCTAAATGTCAACCTATGTCTTGCTGTTTTCAAACAATACTGTTGACCAAGTTGTATAATTGCTGATTTCTGCCATTCCCCCCCCCCTCCATTTTTTTTCTTTTCCAACACAATTTATACTTTAATCTCAAGTAGTATTAAGCTTTAGTCTGTGTTTTTTCCCCTACACTTTGCCCGAAATGCTGTGCGTATTAGTGGCTTTAGGTATTGTATGTACTAGCTCTATCTTATAACTCCAACATTGTTTGTAACGCATCTTCTATGCATGTACTTTTACCTCAATAAATATTTTTATTGATATTCTTCGGGAGACTTTTTCCCATATTGTCCAGTATGCAGAGCCGTTTACCAGTTCTGGGGAAAAAAAATTCCAACTGGTGAAATTTTACTTATTTTCTTAATGTCGTCGAGCTGTTGTCCACTAGTTAAGATATTTATTCAAGCAAAGGTACATACATTGAAAATGAGTTACAAACATAATGCTGAATTAATAGAGCTAGTACAGTACATAAATGCCTGAAGCCACTAATACGCACAGCGTTTCGAGCAGGGTGGGGAAAAACTAAAGACTGAAACTTGATACTAATTGAGATAAAAAGGATAAATTGAATTGAAAAAAGGTAAAAAGTGATGATAATTACATGGATAGAACAGCAGAAAATGCAACAGAACTGCAGAAGGAATTTTAACTGATCAGATTAGAATTTTCTTTAGCCTTTAGTTTGACCCCAACACTACTTGTGGTTATTTTACACAATGAAATGATTAGGATTTTTTTAAATTCCATTGTGTAAAATTCAATTTAAAATTAACATGGTATAGATTTGTTGAATTCATTTTTCTTTTTACATAAAAAATGTATTGATAATTTTGTACCAGCTTTGAATATTTACACGATCAGTACATGTACAGTGTTGCTAAAGAATACAAAATAGACAGGTGCCATGGCAACAGCACATGCGAAGGGTGAAGATATGCTCCCTCAGTTATTAGGAAGTCTTGGATGTTTTCTTGGTATTGTTGTATATATAATTTTTCAAAATAATTCTAGGTGTCTGTAATACAGTATCTTGAATTCCTTCATGTATTATATTGGCTTTAAATTCTCAAGATGTGTACACTGGAGCAAAAAAAATAATCATATACTGTAGTCATTGAGGTAGGTAGTCTGCCCTGGAAGCAGATTTTAGTTTTTCTTAAATCTTGGGTGATGTGAGAAAGTTCTGACCAAAATCTAGAAGCAAAAGGGTAGCAGCCCCAAAATTTCCACACATGTCCTGATGTAAGGGGATTATTCCCAATTACCAGAGTTGCAAACAGTACCATAGGAAATTTTGCAATTAAATTTATCGCAAGAATAGTTCTACGTATTTTCTTTAGTACCCATTGAGCTCTTTCAAGATAGGTCATGTCTGTCCCCCCCCCTCCCAACCAACAATCATCTCGGTGGGCAATTGACTTGATATTGATTTTAACAAGCCCAATACTGTACCTTCAGTCATAAATTTATTGGAAACATTTTTCCTATTACTAGTTAGCACAAGACAGAACACAGATGGTTTAATAATTTGGATCATATGCGGAGGACACCCAATCCAGTTTGTAGACTTGCACAGTGTTTCAGCATGGAGGTGAAATTGTACGGATTTCTTTTTTTCACTACAATTGGTAAAGTTTGTATTTCCTCTTCAATAACAGAATAATTGTTTATAGCAGCTTTCAGAACCCTAGGTTGATTTTGAGTTTGTGAATTTATCTGGGATCGACACCTCTATAGTTGCCTTGCCAGAGACAGGGAGCTGGTAGGCTGTCAAGGGTATTTCCCTCTTCCATTTTTCCCCAATTTTATCCAGATGGAGTTTGAACTGTAGCAATGTCTTGACATATTCAAAGCTTGAGCTGGTAATTACCGAAGTGTAGTTACAGGATGAGAGTTTCGCTCGTGGTGTCCCGTCTACCCAGTACTGTCATATAACACTTTGAAACTACTACTGACGGTTTTGGCCTCCACCAACACCTCACTTAACTTGTTCTAACCGTCTACCACTCTGTTTACAAAAGTGAATTTTCTTATATTTCTCCGGCAGCTTTGTTTCGTTAGTTTAAATTTATGACCTCTTGTTCTTAAAGTTCCAGGTCTCGGGAATTCTTCCCTATCAATTTTGTCAACTCCTGTTACTATTTTGTAAGTAGTGATCATATCACCTCTTTTTCTTCTGTCTTCTAGTTTTGGTATATTTAATGCCTCTAACCTCTCCTCGTAGCTATTATCCTTCATTTCTGGGAGCCACTTTGTGGCATGTCGTTGCACCTTTTCCAGTTTGTTGATGTGCTTCTTAAGATATGGGCACCATACAACCACTGCATATTCCAGCTTTGGTCTAACAAAAGTCGTGAACAATTTCTTAAGTATATCTCCATCCATGTATTTAAAAGCAATTCTGAAGTTAGAAAGTTTAGCATAGGCTTCTCGCACAGTGCTCTTTATGTGGTCCTCAGGTGATAGTTTTCTATCTAGAACCACTCCTAGATCACTTTTGTTATCAGAATTCTGGTAAAGTTTGTCATAATTTACAAGTTGTGTGAGGTTTATGTTCTCCTATTCCACATTCCATAACATGGCATTTATTCACATTAAATTCCATTTGCCAAGTGGTGCTCCATATACTTATTTTGTCCAGGTCTTCTTGAAAGGCATGACAATCATCTAAGTTTCTTATCCTTCCTATTATCTTGGCATCATCAGCAAACATATTCATATAATTCTGTATTCCATCTGGTAGATCATTTATGTAGACAGTGAACATAACCGGTGCAGGAACTGAACCCTGTGGTACTCCACTTGTGACATTTCGCCAGTCCGATACATTGCCTCTGATTACTGCCCTCATTTTTCTATCAAAGTTTTTCATCCATGTTAGAAGCTTACCTGTCACCCCTCACCCCTCTAGTTACCCCTCCTATATGTTCCAGTTTCCAGAAAAACCTCAGTCTTTTTTTTTTTTTTTTTTTTTTTTTTTAGGTCCAGATAGATGCAGTCAATCCAACCTTCTCTTTCCTGTAAAATCTCTGGCTCGATCATAGAAACTAAATTCGATACACAGGATCTTCCAGATCGAAAACCATACTGTCTGTTTGATATTATATCATTTCTCTCCAGGTGTTCTACCCATTTAGTTTTAATTATTTTTTCCAATATTTTGACTATTACACTTGTCAACGATACAGGTCTATAATTGAGGGGGGGGAGGCCTTTCCTGCTGCCACTTTTGTAAATTGGAACTATGTTAGCCTTTTTCCACACATCTGCTACGACTCCTGTACACAGGCATGTCTGAAAAATCAGCTGAAGTGGAATGCTAAGCTCGGGTGCGCATTCTCTCGGAACCCATGGTGAAACTCCATCTGGACCAACTGCTTTGTTCTTAGTTCCTTGAGCATTTTTTCCACTTCGTCTCTAGACACCTCTGTGCTCTATGTTGTTCTCTGGAGTTCTTATTGTGTGTGGTAGCTGGTTACATGGGTTTACAACCCCCCTGGGTGAAAAGGCATCTTGTTTTGTAATAAATTGACTTGATCTGGCTTTGACTCGATCACATGCCAAATACAGTACATTGTGCCAGTATATTAATCAGACCTTAATGGTTGGTTGGTTTCCAAGGAATGAGTTGGCAAACATCGGTGATCTTTTTCTAGATGTATGGGAAGAAGCAAAACAGTCTGTAAACCAAATGAGCACCATTAACGATTACACACTGGCTACCATGTTCAGTAATATTAGATCATAACACTCAGTCGTTCCCGAGAAATGAGCAATTAAATCCTGTACAGGGTATTAGAATAACTTGCACCCGTCTGAATCGCCTATTATTCTTCTTGTATCCACTGGCCTTGCATTAAACCAGGAAAGGGTCCCAGTAGTACAGTCAGATTCGTTAGTTATCCACAGCATCATCCCACCACTTCATATGACCATGTGTAGTTTTACATGCTTTAAAATTCTTGCTTAATTTACAAATTATTTTCATTTCATTGTGCATAATAAAGGTCAGTAAATGGTAATAGCTGGAGTTGATACATAGTGTACCTTTTTCTTTCTTTTGTACATCTAACATGCATGAAATTTATTAAAGTTTAAATGTTTCTTTACAGGGCATACGAAGATTTTTGTGTTCGAGTCAAATGTTACATTTGTACGTGACGGCACAGACCTAACTGAAGAAGATTTCATATGTGGTGGGACAGATCTTACTTCAGCCTTGCGAACTGTTCGTGAAGAAGTGGATAAGTGTACAGAACAGTATGTGCGGATCTTTATTGTAACAGATGGTGCTCATGGTGAGGGTGAGCCATACCCTGAAACTGAAATTAATCAGATGAAGGCACCACAAGGCAAGACTGTTGATGTTTTTCTACTTGGTATTGGATGTTCTTTTCCAGTCAATTACAGCATTGATATTAGATCTTTTATGCACAATGGAAGTGCTAATTTGCCTACACTGTTTTGGGCTAAAGATGAAGAAGAAATTGAAGAACAGATGATGGCTATTGGTGAAGGACTGAGCTCTGGACTAGTAACACTTAGTCTGAGCCACAATGGTTATAAACTCCCTGGTTTAGATAAAGCTACCACCATTCATCTTGGTGAGTGGAGCTATTTCCCTGAATCTCCTGAGGATCTTCCTGTTTTAACAGTTAAGGTTGATGAAGAAAATCCAAAACTAATATGCTCGAAAGTCGAGAAAATATCAATGACCCTGTTGCTTAACGAAATATTTCGGCAATGGAATTCAGTTTTGATTCAGCAACATCGGAAAAAACTGTTTGTCCCAAGTGAAACCTTTGATCTCATGGATTCGTTATTTAAGAACCTTATGAATGAAATAAACTCTGAAATTATTGATGAAGGAAATGGTGTAAAGCTAAGATTGAAAAAGAAGATGGCTAAGAACTATGAAGTAGAGTATGCAACCCTCATGAATATGAGTAAGACGGTGATTGGTATTGAAGGCAAATATAGAGATGAAATGGAACTTGCTGAAAATATTCTAAAAAGCACCGTCACTACTAGAAAATATGATACAAAAAATTTAAAAATGAAAGGTCATGGGCAGGAGGACTATGATGCTGATATGAAGGCTTTCTGTCAGTTATACCAGAAGGCAAAAAAACGTATTTTGGAATTACCAAATCCTACACCTGAAGAATGCTGTAGAATCACAATGTCGTCTACATTACAAGATATGCAAGATCCTGACTTTCATCTAATGTTTGAAGAGAATAAGTTTGATTTTCTAAAATGTTTTACAATGACGGGAATTCCAGTGTATGCCCCAGTTCGTGATGCCTCGCAGATTAATCCATGGACATTGGGCATAAAGCACATTCTTGTAACACCATTTACAATACTCAGTCAGAGGGCTATTGAAGCATATGCAGACAGTGGTGATAATCTTGGAGTAGAAAACAAAGATGTTATACTTCAAAAAGATGATGAAAAATCTCGTTTCAATGCTATAATTCCTGTTGTTCCTGCTCATGCTGCTAGTGTACTGAAGCCACTTGTTCGCTCTAACTTATATGCCATGTTAGCTACATTTTGCATTTTGAAAAATCCCCACATTGTTGACCATAATGCACACATTGCTGCTCTAGGTTGTGCTTGGGTTAAATCTGTTGTTCAGTATCCCCCTAAAGATCGCCCAGAATATATCACTGATAGACTTAAAAATATAATTTCTACAGCTAGTTTATATATGGATCGAGCAAGAATAGTTTGCTATGTGAATGCATTAAAGAATAATCCACAGCAAGCCCTCATGACAGAAAGCATCGATACATTTGATGACCATACTCTGAAGTGTGAATCACTCATTAAACCTCTGTTTTTCCTTTATCTGGAAAAGGAAAAATTTACGAAACTTGAGCTGGAAAATATTCTGATACTATTATTAGCAGAATTCATTGGACGTTGCCTCTCAAATTACTTGCCCACAGAGAATGATGATAAAGGCACGACTACACCTTTCACCGATTTCTTTGCTGAAGACCTTAATGACCCAGAGAAGAAAAAATCATTGCTTGAAAAGCACTGTCAGGTAAGAGACATGTATTGGTCAAAGATAATATATTAAAATTTTTTGTTATTGTGGTTGACATTTACAATGTCGTGGTGAAAGAGGGCATGTACCATGCTCAGGTCATTCATAACTAGTTAATGATGACATTTAATTACCTGTGTTCAGTGCCTTTGGTTAGCTGTATTGTAAGTGGCACATTATTTTATAAACTTGGAGTGTGAGGCTCGGCTATATTGTTCCTTTGCTGAATTTCAATGTTAAGAAGTATAGTACAGTATAGTGCATTCAACAAATGCTAATTTAATCTTGAGCAGCTCTGTATTTTACCTCCAGACTTTGAACTGCAAGAAAACTGGATTAACTTGTGTGCATGTTCATGGCAAAGGTTTGTGTAACCAAAAGTTGTTAGAATACACAACAGCAAAATATTATGCTCTGACAGTTTCCACATTACGTGCTATGAACCAATACATTTTGATACCTATATATTCTTGCATAGTTCAGCAAATTTTTATAATTAATGTGTTTGCACAATTTAAAGCAACATTGACATACACATCCATTCAACAGTAACTTTGTTTAAATATGTATTTTCCTTTCAGGCTGTAATTGATGAATTTCAGTTGGCTCATGGAAACCTTGTAGATAAATTTTTCACTCTTGATGATTTGCAAGCCAGCATAAAGCAGCATGTTGTTAAACGGGTGGCTGCTTTAGCCGATACTTTAATGGAAGACATAACCATAAAGGTTAACATGGAAAAGGTAGGAATTTCTCAATAGCCTTGATTTGAATGGGGGGTTGTCAGATGTATGAAAGCATAAATGATGAGGTAAGAGTTCATAGTGCTACAAACAGACAATTCTGTTACAATTGTAATAAATGCCAATTTGTGTGTCCCTTTATTGGCAATCCTGAGCTATAGGCACTAACTCTAAATACAGACAGTACAGTAGTAATCACATTTGTTAACTTCTTCACCCCTACCAGGGGCACAGGGAAGAATATCACTCTTAACAGAAATGGGGAAAGCACAGGGATCATAGACATAACAGTTTGCTTCGGTGACGAGTAAGACGTTTACGGAATCTCTAAACAAACCGTCTCTTATAGAAAAGTGTCGTGCAAAAACTGGCAAAGCCAGAAGATGCCAGGAAAGAAGACGACATCCAACACAAAAAACTTTGAGGCGAGATAAAGGTGGAAGGAATATCACGTCACCTCCATACTGACACAAACAAGCAAGATGCAAATTAAATGCCAACAAATCATTTACTTGTGCAGCATACAAACAGCAGTATACAAGACTATAAAAACTTCAAGCATGAAGATTGGTTTATTGGTTAAAACCATAAAGATGTCTGGCTGCTAATTAAGAAATGCAGAGCCTTAGGAATGGAATAAAAGGAAGATACCAGGCCAGAACCAGACCTCAAGGTTGCAGCAACCACTAGGGTGTGAACAAAAAAACAATCCAAAAGGTTTCCAGCCTGGACATACAATGAGTAACACCCGAACAGGTAAAGGTACAGTAATGGAATTTCCAATGGTCCCCAATCCAGACACAAGTCATATACAGTAACTTGATATATAAAGGCAAAGCTGATGCTCCCTGGTTCACTTTAGGAAAAAGGATGCCACGTCTAATACCCATTACATCAAAGTCTGACAAAAGCAGGAGACAGAGTTTACCAGAACACCAGAGACATCCTGAATATAAACTGTGCTGAGAACTAAATCCTGAGAAACGGATTTTTCAGATTCTAACTACCACATACGAGAGCTGGTGGACTCTTAACTTTTCAGGCAATGAAGCACAAGAGTGCATTTAAAGTGAGGATGGAAAGCCATGCTCTGCAAAAAGGAAATGAAAGCATTGAAGCACCATCCACTATGCAAAAAATCTGGACTAGAATATGTAATTAATTCAGCATATGATTAAGATACAGGCAAGGAAATCAGACTGATTAGTAATTACACTAATAATTACACCACTGAAGTGTAGTTACATTACAGGATTAGTTCTGCTCGTGGTGTCCCATCTACCCAGCACTGTAATATGACGTTTTGAAACTACTGCCAGTTTTGGCCTCCACTTTCTAACAAAGGTGAGTGGAGTGTGTGCTGGAAAAATAGCACCAGAAGAGTTGAGACACACCTGCATATAATTAGTGACTGGGGGAGAGTTTGCCTCATAATTGGATCTTCAGAAGCTTGAAGATGGAAGAGAAGACATAATATCCAATGCAGAGTCGATGGAGAATCTGCATTAGATGGTCCTAGCACTGACAAAACATAGCCTTTAGCTAAACTCATCTTGAAGGGTAAGCTATATATATGCCAAGTTCAGGTGCCCAAGAAGCCCCTTGAGATCCTGATGGGAGAGCAACCTGTCCTCTTACAAATTATGTCTGAATTTGGTTGTTTGCCCGTATGGCCAAAAATAGATGTAATTTGAAAATGAAAAAATTTAAAATTTGGGATTTTTTTTTTTTTTCCAAAACAGTAAGTTAAGGGTCCTCTGGTAGGTTAGGAGGGCAGGAAATTCTCCTAAAGTTTCAAAATGTAATGAAAAACATTAATTGAACATTTCCTCTCCTAATCTTTCCAAGTAAGCCGGAAGACTCGCAGAAAACGGGACAGTACATCACTTTAGTGAGCCAATTTCATCTCAAATTATGTCCATTTTTGGCCATAGCATAGCGCGCATACCAGTGAAAGGCAATGTTATTTTCAAGAGGACGGGTTGGGGAAAGAGGTTATGCTCAGAAAGAGAGACAACTGGCCTCATAGACATAACACTGCCAACTCCAGACAAGAGAGGAAGAGGCAGGCAGGATAAGAGAGGAAGATACCGAGTGAGAGGATGCTCACTTGGTATCGCAAATCAAACCCAGCCACATCATTTAATTGTTACCAACAAATGGGATTTCTGTCAATTAACTTGGAAACCAAAGTAGACAGAGTACACCAACAAGATCCCTAGACTGTAAATAAGAAACAACTTGGTAGGTTCAGGCCAAAGCTAAAGGTGTTACCAAAGAAGCCTTTGGTCAGAAGTGTCATAAATATGTGCGGGAAAGCATTTGTAAATTATATTAGTGTATTAAGTAGGGCCTATTTCAATTATGTACTCGAGTAACTTGTAAAAGAAGTTTTAAAAGTGGAATTTAGAATAAATTTCAGCAATAATTGTCATAAGGTCTACTATAAGGCTTGAGATTAGATTGTACAAAAGTAATTAAATTTAATGAAAGTATAGAATCAAAATTCAGATGAAATAAGTATTGTAGATGGGAGAGGTGTTTATTACAATTACTTTTTTCAGGTAAAGAAGCTCAAGAATTTTGGGAGCTGTGGTGATGTCAAATTTACATCATTCCATTCATGGGCACAAGAAATGGGAATTGCTGAGGAAAGTATTCAAAAAGCTACCAATCCATCTCAGGTAATATATTTTAAGGTAGTTTCATCCTGTGATGCTGAATGTTGAATCGCTCGTTTTGGCAATATCCCCACTTAACCCGGGGACATTACAAGCTGACATTGCATGGGTCAGTATGATCTTTTGATCTCAATTAGTATTAAGTTTAAGTCTGCTTATTTTTTCCTCCCACACCTTGCCCGAAATGTTGTGTATCAGTGGCTTCAGGCATTGTATGTACTGTAGCTCTATCTATTAATCCAACATTGTAACTTTTTCAGTGTACATACCTATACCTGAATAGATATCTTATTGTTTCTCAAGCTTTATCTTGCCTGTGTTAGGCTATATTTAGATTATGCAGTTCAATTTTGGGCACCAAACATTGGGAAGGACATGCTTCAGAAAATGTGTAATGATGGATGACAAAGTTAATTAATCATTCAACACATTATTTTCAACATGTTTGTATTTTGCAGGTTCTTGTGTATGTAAGCGAGGCTCTTCAGTATCCAAGCTCAAAGGATCGGCGATCAAGAGATCTTGCCACTAGTGAAGAAGCCTTTATAATTGTCAAAGAAAAAGTGACTCGAGAAAATGTGAAAAAAATGAAGCGAGTATTATTGACAGAGGTAAGTCAAGCTGGGAACACAGCATGTGCTTCCTTTAACAAACTATTAAGAGTTGTACTGTACTCTGTAAATGCAGATAGTTGCAAAACTTTAATGAGGTAAATTGTAATTTATTAATTTTTGAGCCCTTCATATATGTTGTCCTTTATTGCAAATTATATTAACCTCAACTTAACCAAGAGCCACTATGACTAGTGGTCTTGACGGAGACAGAAAGCTACCCGTTTATCAAGTGTCAGCCCTCCTCCACCCCCGAACAATTGTTCCTGATAATTTTGTTCAACTGGATTTTGAACTGAAGTAGTAATGTCTTGGCATTTACAGCTTCGGTGGGTAGGTGATTAAATGGGTTTATTACCCTACAGGTGGAAAAATTTCTGTTTGGTCCTATATTGTGGCTTGAGCTTAAAACTGTTGCTCCTTGTTTGTTACATTTCTTCTTTTAAAGAAGTGGTCTGAATTGACATCGTCCAACTTGTTCTGTATATTAAAGCTGCCCTGCCATGTCTGGTTTGCAGTGTTTAGTCCTGTGTCCCTCAACCCTTCCTGGTATGTGAGCTGACTTAGTTACTTTACTCTGCAGTAAAAACCATAATAGTCAATTAAAAAGTACAATACTGGTACGGTAACTTCTGAGTTATACCATATGTTTAAAAATAATTAACATTTTTTCTCCAGAAGCTGTCTAACCTTGTCACCTTCTTAAATGACCAAAGGTACAGCAGATTAGAATTCCATTATTTACTGTGCCTTTGAGGGACTTTAGTTATTCTCTTTAAGGTTTGAATGTCATGTTAGTGGTACGTACAGAAAAAAAGTCTGACGTCTTGAAGGAAAATAGAAACGGCTTGACTAATGTGGCTTAATTTAATTTTCATTTTGCATTAAATTAAATTTTGGTAATTTTAAAATCAGATCTAAAGATACATAATGCTTATTTATTTATTTATTTACGAGCTGTACCCGGGCACGCGTTGCTGTGGCTCAACAACGCATGTGCGTTGCTGTAAGTAATATTGGTGATGGTTGGTCGTGTAATTGGTTTAAGTAATATTGGTGATGGAATATTAATATTTTCTGTGGCTGCTCTGCAGAGGGGTCTCCAATCTTTAAATTTTGTTGTACTGTATAATAAGTAAAATTATAAACCTATAATCATTAATTATGTCAATTAGTTTGTTCACTGCATACTTTAATCTGCTTGGATTATCTAATGGATTCTAGTAGTATCCAATCAATTTAAGGACCTATATGGGATTTTACCCTACTTGTTAAATCCAGAGCTCCGCTAAACCTGGAAGTGTTAAAATGTCAGCAATTTGTTATATTATATATGTGAGGAGACCTGGTCAATAAGGTTCCAGTTACTGATCTTAAATTCAGGCATTAGAACCATCAGACTGGTAAATCAGTGGTCCTTAGAATGGATACTGTACACATGCAGCAAAAAATCTAATAAAAGAATTGTGAAATGGTAAAGGTTATAAAGTTATTTTTGTATTTATATTTTTGCAAATAGGTTGAAGAGTTTGCTGTTAAAAAGTGGCAAGAAGCTTATTCCATACTTCACACTCCACTGGTAATGCCACTGACTCGTGAGCAGGTTATAGAAGCTGCCCGGTCCAAAGGAATCGAGGTTACTGAAGAAACATTCGGTAAAGTGTACAGGTATGTACAAGTGTGTGTGTGTGTGTGTCACATTTTAAATATATATACAGAGAGACCATAGTTGAATGGACTATGGTGGGCCAGGAAGAATTGCCAAGACAAATTCTTGAACAGTAACATGTCAGCTTCACCAAGCTTGTATGGTAGTAAATACTAATAACCAGGTAGGTAGGGGAGGGGGGGGGGGGAAAGGAGGAGGGTAGCTTACACTACACACAGCAATCACAATAGCCTGATACATCAAATCCTGGTTGCAATTCTTTTGACTGTCGTGGCACAATCGACTAAGGTGCGTCTGGGATCATCCCGGATGTCGGTTCGAACCCTCATCACAACCCTTGTGGAATTGTTTGAGGGTAGCTAAATATGGAAGAAAATGCTAAATAGACTGGTGCCTTTATTTTACCCTCAATTATATACTTAACTTTTGCTCCCTGATGACACTCTAGACATCATTCAAACAATACTAGTACTTATACGCAGTCTCTCTAATGATGTAAACGGTGTGATGCATAAATTTTGCTTTGTCTTGTTAAGTATAAACATTAGATTTTGACATTGGGTCAAAATGCTCGGCCTACCTCCCGGTGCGATGCAGGTTGTCCAATGGGATAGTGATGGTGCTAAAATGCATTGTTGATACAGGTACTGTATATAATGTTAGTGTTTATATAGGTATGCACAAAGTTGTTCTCTCATTTGGGGTAATAAAAACAATATTTTGCAATACATGGCAAATTCATGGACCTGATTACTTTGGTGAAACAGAACAGGTTGGGTCTCGCTTAGCCTATTAAAGTGAAGCGCCACTGTATGCAATTATACAAGATAGCTTATGGTTTTACAGGCTTGTTTTCCTCCTGTACATTACAGTACTGTATTTAGAAAATGTCTGAATGTTTTCTTGAAACTTTAAACACTAACAAATGAAGATGTACTGTAGTCCACTATAACGTAATGGACAATTATGATACAATAATCAAACAAGAAGCTGTAAAAATGCACCAGTTTCAAAATATTGGGGGATGAGGCCCAGAACTTAGCTGCTGTATCACTCATTATATACATTGGTAAGTGCCCGAACTGCCCGAAACGCTTTGCATAATAGTGGCTTTAGGCATTGTGTGTACTGGCTCTATCTATAAATCCATCAACTTTTGTATTTCACCTTGTATGTATGTACTTTACCTGAATAAATTTGTATTTGTATTTTGTCCACACCTTCCTTCCTGCTCACATCACCCACACCCTCCCATTCCAGCCAGTAGCCACTCTTATGTTCTTTTATATCTGTATTTGAAGATTTACAATATGTACAGAAGGACAGGGTCATTTTGCTTAACTATATTGAATATCGGTACAGTATATTGTTTGTATCAAGATATTCCTGGCATAGACTCGAATGATTCACATAAAATTGGTAGTTAAAACAGGTTACTTATGAGCCAGTATTGTTTTCCTTTGAGATACTGTGAATTCAGCCTGTTTGGACAATTGTTGGGATAATATGGAAAGAATGTAGTTGTGTGTAAATATAAAATATTTATAGGACAGTAGTAGTAAAGTATTAGTTAGTATTGGAAGGGAATAAACATACCTCTTCTACGTACCTCTTTATTTATACCCCCTCCCCCCCCCCCACTCTCGTTCTCTCCCTCGTTCTCTCTCTCTCTCTCTCTCTCTCTCTCTCTCTCTCTCTCTCTCTCTCTCTCTCTCTCTCTCTCTCTCTCGTTCTTTTTTTCTTTTTTTATATCTTACCCTTCTGTCGGCCCTTGGGAGGCGGGCCAGGCCTTGGGGACGCAGGCCTGCCATATATAATACTGGTATACAGTAATATAATATCTATACAACGAAGGTTTGGTGTTATAAACTTAACATACAGACGTAGGATGTAAATTTATTAAGAAGGGATGTCTAATGTTGAAATTTATTGATAGGGTATATTAGCAAAGTTTTAAGCTTTTAATAAACAAAATTTATATTTAGGTATAATGCAGATTTAAAGCTGCTGCGCAATGCATGCCAAATCCCAGGCTGTCCGCATTATTTGGTTCCACATAGAAATTTCAACCAACATCTAGCAGTTGAGAGAACTCGAAGTGACTTCCCACATTCTCTTCATTTGGTAAGTGATCTTTTGACGCCTTGTTTTCTTGGGGGTAATTCTGCTATTCAATGAATTGGCCATGTGCAAAATTATCTCGAGATATTTTGACTTCCTTCATTGTAGAAAAAAACGAAGTTGAGTAGACTTTATTGGGGATATTATTTTGCCTAGAAGGGTTTAAAATGTAATGCTGTACACGGTTGGCTATTTATAAAGAGATAAAAAAAAGAGTGGAGGGATTTCAGATATGAGGGATTATGCAGATCATAACATGTACTTCTAGTGTAAATTAATTTGTACAATCCATTATCTTTCTGAAATCCCCACTTCTTATTTTTATCCATTTATAAATGGCTATCCACGTACATTACATTTTAAAAAGCTCTTGTAGGCACCACGTCTCGAATAAGTCTATGCTCAACTTGGTATTTCTCGGCACAAGTCTAACATTTGATGGCAGTAAAATAACTTGATGATTAAGAAAAACGACTGTATACAGTATACTGTACAATATTAAGTACGTACAGTATTTTAGGGTCCTGGTAGTACTGTCTGGTTCATTCTCGATTCTCTGTTGAGAATTCAGTTTGAATCGTGGGCAGCACAGAAATGGTTGGGCACGTTTTCTTTCATCTCGTGCTCCTGTTCACCTAGCAGTAAATAATTATCCTGGAGTTGGCTTTTCTGGGGATTGCATCCTTTGTGAAGTCAGTAATTTGACCCTTGACCTCAGTACGTATAAGCCTAACATGTACTGTATGTATTACCCGACTTCCTGTCCCCCGACACAATGAATTATTATTATTAATTATACGGTACTGTACTATTATTTAGCGCACAGGTTAATAATTCAGAATTTTTGTTTGCCATGTTATTTTGGGTGGACCAGTGTACTGAAGTGTTTTTCATTGGTCCAGTTTTCCCAATACTGTACAATAGTTAAAAAAAACATTTATAATACTTTGTTATTATTCCAACATTGTTATTTATAAAACTTAAGATTATTTTAAAAGTACTGTATATCATATACTGTGTGTTATTGCTCTACAGATTTCTCACCAGTTCAGTGATTTGGGAATAGAAGCAGTTGTAAAAGAGGTAACTACAGGGACTCATACTGGAAGACAAAACCGACCGAAGCCTCCCGTTCCCGAGGCTTCGTCCCTAAATCCTCTGATGGTTGAATTGGACACCCTTTTGCAGGAGTACAAGAAAAATCACACACGAGTAAGTTCACATTACAAGTATTGATTGATGGATGTTGGAGTAATGCTAAAATTACGGAACGTGATTTGTCGTTTTATTGCCAAAATTTCTTAATGGTTCTCATTACTCATATTACATACAAAAATCTCTCTCTCTATTAAGATTAACTTAGATTATCTACTAAATTCTTATATAAAATGGAAATGCATAGTCACTTAAAACATGATTTCAAATTTTCTTAGTAAATTGCTCATTGGCCTCCTTTAAGTCACTATCTAGAGTTGGTACCCATGATTGTTCTAAACTGTAATGGCTTTGCTGATCTTTGGTTTTTATCTCCCACAAATTATCACTGTGCCTATTTAGCGACAGGTTCAGTGGCTATACACCCACACAATCATTTCAAATGCTCGATTTTCTTTTCTGAACAGGAGTGATAGAGCAAGGAGGAGGAGACCACATCACTACTCTAGTCACAGTATTATAGGAGGGTAATTAGTAGTGTTCAGTGTGTTGAAGCATAATTTGTGTTGAAGATTTAAATGGTTTTATTTGTACATTTGTGAAATTTATATGCTAAGAATATTTTGTATACATGAAGTGCCTAACAGTATCAGGTATGACCATTACATCTTTACACATCATTCCCTGATGGAATCATGGTTTAGCTAAAAGTGAATAATATTGAAATTATATGTATTACCAAAGAAATTTATTCAGATTGTCACTTGTGTAAGTACTATCCTGAACATTTCTACTCGTGTGCTTTATTTAAGTCTACACTGCTGGATGATCTGTTCATTCTTATTCCCTACTGATATTGTATTTTTCTTTTGTAAATTCCTAATGGATACTTGACTATTTCTTCCCTGTGATGCAGGTGTAACCCATAGTTTCCTCTTCAAAGTTCCTCTTCCCCTTCCCCGTGAATATTGCATGTGTAACTAAACCAATATATATTTTCTATAGAAATATTTAGTGTTATAAATTATTATAGGCTGAAATGAACAGGGAATATAAGAGCACCTTTCAAAAACCGAAGTTTCTGTTCGGTTTACAGGTAATGGTGTAATTTTTCAGTAATTCGCATTCCTAGTATGGTATTGTCACACTAATTTTGGCTTAATTTGTTGGGACAAATTCTGATATGGCTTACACATTATATATAGCCATATACTGTGTATGGTACATTATTAGAATGGATTATATTATTCCGTGTCAGAATTAGCCAAAGTCATTTCTAATGTGTTATTTTGTTTTTACTTGTTAGTTACCGTGTTTATAAGTGGTTTGGAGGAACTGAAATAGGAAATCACCGTTGCTAAACATGTTCACATTCCGATTATTTTTGTATACTGTAGTATTTGGCTGTAAAACTTGCTAAATTGTATTCTTTTTTTGTCACCAAAATAAAGCAAGTTTTTCATAATTGTTTAATTAAAACCAAGTGAATATTTTAATAGTCTCGGTATATAATATAAGCTGCATGTTAATACTTTGGCATAAATATAACTGAAGTGAAAGGGAAGATATATACCTTTTTATAGTTACTGTACTTGATGGCTAGCTCAGGGAGTGTGAAGGCCTGCACACTAGCCAATCAATTGCATAATTAATTTGCATATATGCAAAGTAACGTTAAAGGTCTGTCAGAATAAAGACAGAGGTAGGTGATGATGTAACTACATTCGATGGAAAATATATCTTGAGTGAAAGCAAAGATATGGTTAAACAAACGGCCAATGCCACATCATCGCTAGTGTCCGGGCACATGAACAGTTGCATTAGGTGAAAGGAAATGTACCCAACTATTTCTGTCCAGATTCTCGATTGTGCGTCGAGAACGAACACAACTATACTACTGGGACCCATATATATACATATATATATATGTATGTATATATGTGTGTATGTATGTTCTATGTCATCGGAAACATACAATATATTTTCAAATATTTTTCATTAAAGTATTTATTTTGGAAACGGGTGTATTTTAGTTACCCTAATATAGAGCACGAATATCATACTCATCCTGTGAATGGTAGTTTGTGCACCCAATACTAGTCTTGTGAGTCTGCTTTATGTGCACCCCATACTCATCCTGTGACCTGTAGTTTATTGTGCAACCCATACTCATCCTGTTACCAGTAGTTTGTACAACCCATACTCATCCTGGAACCTGTAGTTTATTACGCAACCCATACTCATCCTGTGAGTCATAGTATATTGTGCAACCCTTTCTCATGTGAATCCTTGCTTACTTTGCTCTCTACTCATCCTCGGTGCAATAGTTCCATGTGCAACCCATACACATCCTGTGAGTGGTAGTTAATTTTGCACCCCATACTCATCATCAAGAAGAGTATTTTACCAGCATGGTAATATAAATTATTGTTGAAGGCTTAATTGGAACCTAGACCATTTGTCAAAATAATGATGGCTCTTATTTTGACTATGGATCCGTGATCCAGTTAAGCCTTTATTCTTAATTTATATTAAGAATAAAGAGGTGAGTGAGGGGGTGAGGGGGAATAAAGAGGTGAGGCTGCCCCTAGAGGTGAGTATTTTATTATACACCCCCGGCACCCACAACCATGGGAAGGGGGCATTGGAATGTGCAACCCTCTCTCGCACAAAACAGTACATAAATGACTTGATGCTTATAGTCAATATTTGGTATATTAATAAGTACATATATGGTATATTCCAAGTTATATCAATATAGAGATGTGAACCAATCTCTCCCTCTTCTGTTAATAATAAAAATTGAATAATAATAATGGAAAACTTACTGTAATGCCGTAGTGCTTGAATGAAGGCGAAGGAAAGACTCGATAAATGTGTAAGTTTATTAAAACCCAAATTTTCGTATCTAACCTTCATTCTTTCTCAATGTGTTGTATACAATGATCTGATTATACATTGTTCAGTTGTGAGCATTGTATACAATGCCTCAGGATATACATTCCCGCAACAGTTAAGTAATTCCCTGGTACAGTACCTACTTAGTTCTAGGTGAACAGCAGTTCACCTAGCAATGAACACCACCTGCACATCGCACATACATGTTTAATCACCCACACAAGTACACACATCAATAATCTTTTGTCACAAGTGATTCAACAAGAGGCTCACAAGTCACTATAGAAGGCACTTTACATCTATGATGAGTCGCACAGTTACTAGTCTTGCTGCACACCCACCCAACTGGGCGGAGTCATGTACATGCATTACTTACAGTAAGCAAATTTTGGATACTTCGCTAAGATTTCGGGCAGCACATCATTATGAATGAAGTACTTACACATTTCTTGGACACTATTGATGGTGTTATCTCTAAATTCCGCAATTTTTTCACATTCCATTATATAATGACGCAAAGTATGCGAATAGTTCTACTGACAGTTTACATTTAGTCAAGTCTACATCAGCAGATGTTACAAATTCCCAGAGGTACTTGTAGCCGAACCTAAGCCTAGCAGTGGTAACATCTAGAAGTCTGCTAACATCATTGGATGCCCCGTAGACGTGCGGTATCTATAATTAGTAATTGTCGCCATGCCCTGTGGCAGGGGGGATCGGTGCCCTGAAGCTACATAAAAACCCTATACCCCCCCCCCCCCCGAAGTGGCAAGGGGAGTTAGGGGACAAAATTGCATTATTTGAATTTACACTAATTACAATTCTTGGTATATGTCTTGGCTTATCACTTTGGGTGTTCCGCCGGAACCCCCAAAGATAACACGAATGCGTAGCAAGATAGAACAAAAGTGTCCCCAGAACCTGCACGCATGCTTGTCATCCCTTGAAAAAGAAAACGGGATGCAGAGGATCCCGGGAGGAGTTTAGTTTAGTTCAGTTATTATGCACCCGATACCCATCTTGTGGGCGGTAGTGGAAAGGGTTTCAGAGGCACATAATGAGCTCAGACACTGAACCCCCACAATTCATTTAGCTAAGCAAGTTACAATCTTGATGAGCTAGTTGCCACAGAAATAACATCACATGAGACCAGAAGACATGGCAGGATGTGCAGAATATCCCGTTGAAAAACAGAGGTGCAACAGGTACTCTGAGAGAGAACTCTATCAACATCAGAGGCCCGAGACTGTTCAACACGCTTCCACTACACATAAGGGGCATAACTGGCCGACCCCTTAGTGTTCAAGTGAGAACTGGATAAGCACCTCCAAAGGATACCTGATCAACCAGGCTGTGACTCATACGTCAGGCTGCGAGCAGCCGCGTCCAACAGCCTGGTTGATCAGTCCGGCAACCAGGAGGCCTGGTCGACGACCGGGCCGCGGGGACGCTAAGCCCCGGAAGCACCTCAAGGTAGTTACAAAATTCAATATAAGTCGTCACATCTACAATGGGTTCGAGATCAACCACAAGTACAGTTTCTAAATTAAGCAACTGACATATGTGGAGAGCTAGTGTCACAATTGATATGTTTGTCCGCATACCGCCCCCCATCCAGTGGAGGGTGGGTGTTTTGATGTGAAGCGGCTGCGGAGGGCGGCGAACAGGGGTCGTCGAGTCGATTGATTGATTGATGAAGATTAAGCCACCCAAAAGGTGACACGGGCATGAATAGCCCATAAGTGGTAGCCCTTTCGAACCATTAGGAGATCTGTGGAGGTGCAACGGCACCCTGCGTGACGGGAGATGTCTCGATCCCCCGTGGTCGCGGAGTCTTTGTTTTGTTTGTTTTAGATTTAGCTACTCAGAACGAAGTGTCCATGTAGCAAGGGCTATGGTGAGCCCGTACGCCGAGTTGTTGTAATAGATTCAGCTACTCGGAACAAGTTCCAAGTAGCACGGGCTATGGTGAGCTCGTAACTTACCTAGCACAGGAGAGGGGCAATATCCGGTGCAGACTATCGGGCCACCAGGCTGCGGGATGTAATGCGAGCAGGGTTGGCCCTGCATGTGAACCTCTTCAGGGAGGAGGACTTTCCCCCGTTGGCTGTCCCGGACCTGTCACCAAGTGCTGCTGTGACGAGTGATGCTTCTCAGTCGTCTGGTGCCCCTTTGCCGTTCTCTGATGCCCGTCTAAATGTAGCCGGGGGTGTGGGTGTCGAAGTGGTAGTTACTGCGACCCCGTGACTACCCCGCCTCAGCCACCCCTTCCTGCCCTGTCTCCAGTCAAGTCTCCTGTGGTATGTCGTCTAGTGCCCACAGTCATCGAGGCTGCGCCCCGGCCTGCACTGCCTCCGGAAGCTGTGTCTTCGGCCCGTGTTGACGTAACAAGTCCGGGGCTGACCCCCCATAGAATACTCACACCATGAAGTCCAGAAGCAGGAGAGACGAAGGGACGGGGTCCTTCAATTGCATCGCCACAGTGCGGGTTCCATTTGGGATACCCTTCCACCGGCCGGAGGAGACAGTAATCATCCAGACACTCATGACCCGCCCATACCGGGTAAAGTGACGCTGGAGAAGGGCGTCAGGGAACTCAATGGGAGCACCATGAACTGCCACATAGGTAGTCTCACTGCACCTGTCCGACACTTCCACCGAACCCCCACCCTCAAGCAGAGTAATCGTTCTCCCGTCATAGCGGTCCACAAATAAGTCACGATACACAGCCGTGGAGCTGAATTTCACAACACGTCCCACCTAAATATGCCCGAAACGCTATGCGTACTAGTGGCTTTAGGTATTGTATGTACTAGCTCTATCTATAAATCCAACATTATGTTTGTAATTCAACTATGTATGTACTTTCCTGAATAAAATATACTTTACTTTATTTTACTTAACAGCTCGATGCCCATCAGATACCAGTTGAACGTCGCACACAGACGCCACATTCACCAGCAACATATCAAATCATGACCACCTCAACTGCCGGGTATAAGACGCAGGGCCAGTAAATTCCAGGCCAATGGTATCCCTCCACTTCACAGCTAAGGGGGGAAGGCCGCTCACAAACACAATTAAACTACCACTGGCCAACAACCAGGAGCTCACAGCGACACATCCACCTCCAAGGCAAGCACTCTCAAGGTGGAGGGGGGATAGACATCTCCCGTCACGCAGGGTGCAGTTGCACCTCCACAGATCTCCAGTATCATCTATTGATACTGGTAATGTCTCAAAAGGGCCACCACTTACGGGCTATTCATGCCCGTGCCACCTTTTGGGTGGCTTAATCTTCATCAATCAATCATCTCAAGGTGGGGTATGGTCAAATTATACACAGAACTTTTTGACAGTTTATTTTCCGATTTTCAAAACTGTATACTGTATATTGTTAAGTTAGGATATATTAGCTTAGATTATGCTGAGTTAGGCTCAAATGGATTAGATTTGATTTGCTTGGGTAAGATTAGTTTTGGTTTGGTTAGGTTAGGTAGGTTTTAAAATGTTAGCAAACACTTACCGGTATGTGTACGATGCAACTTGTATCTATGGAGATAC